ATGTAGTAAGCAAGTGAATTTTGATTTGTTTTATTTATTTATTTTTGTTATTTATATTTATTTATTATTTTATTTATTTATTATTTATTTTTGTTTTGGGTGCTGTTTTTAAGTCGGGGGGAGGTGGGGGTATAAATGTAGTAAGCAAGTGAATTTTGATTTGATTTATTTATTTTTTGTTGTGGGTGCTGTTTTTAAGTAGGGGAGGTGGGGGTATGAATGTAGTAAGCAAATGAATTTTGATTTGTTTTATTTATTTATTTTGTCATTTATTTTTATTTATTTTTATTTTATTTATTTATTTTTTATTTTGTTGTGGGTGCTGTTTTTAAGTAGGGGAGGTGGGGGTATGAATGTAGTAAGCAAATGAATTTTGATTTGTTTTATTTATTTTTGTTGTGGGTGCTGTTTTTAAGTAGGGGGGAGGTGGGGGTATGAATGTAGTAAGCAAATGAATTTTGATTTGTTTTATTTATTTATTTTTGTCATTTATTTTTTATTTATTTTTATTTTATTTATTTATTATTTATTTTTGTTGTGGGTGCTGTTTTTAAGTAGGGGGGAGGTGGGGGTATGAATGTAGTAAGCAAATGAATTTTGATTTGTTTTATTTATTTTTGTTGTGGGTGCTGTTTTTAAGTAGGGGGGAGGTGGGGGTATGAATGTAGTAAGCAAATGAATTTTGATTTGTTTTATTTATTTATTTTTGTCATTTATTTTTTTTTATTTTTATTTTATTTATTTATTATTTATTTTTGTTGTGGGTGCTGTTTTTAAGTAGGGGGGAGGTGGGGGTATGAATGTAGTAAGCAAATGAATTTTGATTTGTTTTATTTATTTTTGTTGTGGGTGCTGTTTTTAAGTAGGGGGGAGGTGGGGGTATGAATGTAGTAAGCAAATGAATTTTGATTTGTTTTATTTATTTATTTTTGTCATTTATTTTTTATTTTATTTATTTATTATTTATTTTTGTTGTGGGTGCTGTTTTTAAGTAGGGGGGAGGTGGGGGTATGAATGTAGTAAGCAAATGAATTTTGATTTGATTTATTTATTTTTGTTGTGGGTGCTGTTTTTAAGTAGGGGGGAGGTGGGGGTATGAATGTAGTAAGCAAATGAATTTTGATTTGATTTATTTATTTTTGTTGCGGGTGCTGTTTTTAATTAGCAAATCAGGGATCCTGGCGCCAGGCGCAGAATGCAAACAGGAGCAGACAATGGCAGCTTTCCCCCAAGAAATAAGCAACCCCCCCCCAATAATAATAATAATAATTTTTTATTTATACCCCTCCCTCCCCAGCCAAGACCGGGCTCAGGGCGGCTAACAACCAATAATAAAAACAAGCTGATTAAAAGACAATTTAAAATATTAAGATACAACATTAAAACATTAGGATGCAATGTTTTAAAATATTAGGATACAAGAAAATAAAGATAAAACCCACAGCTTCTGCCCCACTGGGCGGGCATTTTGCTTTCACCCCGCCTCTTTGGGACCAGGGTTCAAATCACCCCCTCGGCCACGGAGCTTGCCGGGCGACGTCTCGGCCTGGCCCACCTCGCAGGGCTGTTGTGAGGATTCAGCCAGGAAGCCGCCCGCCCCCCTGAGCTCCTTGGGCCCAAGGACTGCTGGCCCCCGAGCCGAGCCTCCCCTCCCCGCCCTCCCTCCCTACCTGCAGGCCAGCGCCATCTCTCCGCTCCCGGAGGCAGCCAGACCCTCTTCTGTCGCGCCGATTCTGCTGACTGGCCCCCAACACCCCGGCCGGAAGTTTACGGTCCTCGCGCCACAGCCGCTTCCGGGTCAAGGCGCCTCCGTCTGATTGGGCGGTGCCGAAGCTGGCCCCGCCCCCGGACGGCAGGCGCTGTTGAGCCGAGGGCCGACACAAGGGGGCGCTCTACGCCCAGGGATTTGCCTCGCCCCGTTTGCGCCGCTTTTAGGAACTACCGTATTTATGGATGCTTTTGATACCGTATTGCGCTGTAGTAGTAGTAGCAATAAATAATAGTAGTAGTAATAATAATAATAATAATAATAATAATAATAATAATAATATTCCCCAGCCACTCTGGGCGGATTCCAACAGAACACTAAAACAGAATAACCTGTAATGATGTAACTGTATTATTTATTATTATTCTTCCGTATTTATGGATGCTTTTGATACCGTATTGCACTGTAATAATAATAATTTATTATTAATACCCCGCCTATCTGGCTAGGTTTCCCCAGCCACTCTTGAGGGCTCGAAGGTGAAGGGTTGGTAATAAGTAAATGATTCAATTTGTTTTTTTCTTTAAAATTCAGCCGCTGAACCCAATTCAAAAAACAAAGGCTCTTCATTTCTTTTCTTTGATAAGAGTTATGAGCTTGGGGGGATGCAGGAGACATAATCTTGATTTCACTAAGGCTTTTTGCAAATTCCCCCATGAAATTCTCTTCCAATTCCACAATTCTGATGCTGTAATTTATCAGAAGCCGCTGCAGCTCAGCACACTGCAACATCATATGGTTATTTTTAAAAGACCAATAAATAATCCCCTACAGGGCAGATAGGACTTATTTATGCAGCAGTTAAAAACGATGAAATTCTGTCCTCCAGAAGGGGGCGATAGCCACCAACTTGAATGGCTTTAAAAGACAAATGCATGGAGGGCTAGTAGTCATGATGGCTATTGCTCTACCTCGTTTGAAGGAATAGTTTCAGAGTGGTAGTTGCCAGAAGCCGCAGGAGGGGCCAATGTTCACATCCTGCTTGCGGGCTGGCCACTGTGAGAACAGGATACTGGACCAGATGAACCACTGGCCTGATCCAGCCGGCTCTTCTTATGTTCTTCAAATACCAATGTTACAACCCTATGCCTGCGTTTCATGTGTCATTTAACTCAGTAGGACTTCTGGGTAGGCATGCGTAAGAGTCAGTGTTTTAAGGCAGAACCCAATGCAATTTTACATTGTGATATTCTTCACAGCTCATGGAAAGTATTGATGTCACTCCGTTTGAGTTGCACCAGGCCAGAGTGGGAGCCCTGTGTCTAGTTCTGCAGACCAGAAATTGAATCTAAAATTGATGCGTCCAGAGGATGGCACATAGGAGACAGCCATAGAAGTATAAGAGTTGGGAATAGTCATACCTCGGGTTACAGATGCTTCAGGTTGCGGTTTTTTTGGATTACGGACCCGCTGAAACCCGGAATACCGAATAGGGTTACTTCCGGATTTGGGGGGTCATGCATGCGCAGAAGCACTAAACTGTGCTTCATGCAGAAGCGCCGAATCACAACCCGCGCGTGCATCCTGCACAGATCATGTTTGCAACCCAAGCGTCCACTGTATTTAGCTTGGAAAAACTAAAGGGCTGTCACAAGTACAATGAACAATTTTTTTATTATTGCCGCATTTTTCGCTCTATAAGATGCACCATATCACAAGATGCACCTAGTTTTTGGAGAAGGAAAAGAAGAACAAAAATATTCTGAATTTCAGAAGCCAGAACAGCAAGAGGGATCGCTGCGCAGTGAAAGCAGCAATCCCTCTTGCTGCTCTGGCTTCCGGGATAGCTGCGCAGCCTGCATTCGCTCCATAAGACGCACACACATTTCCCCTTTCTTTCTAGGAGGGAAAAAGTGAGTCTTATAGAGCAGAAAATATGGTATTATTGGGGGGGGGCGGGGGAGAGACCTGGACCAATGAATTCATTCAAATCCTTCTTATGTTAGGAAAGCGTCCAGCTTTCTTCAAGTGAAACAGATTGCTTCAGGAGATAGAGGGCTTTCCTTTCCCAAGGTTTTTAAAGACACTGGACAGCTACCAGAGAGCTCCCATATTCCCTGTAGCAGTCATGGCTGATGAACTTTGAGATCTTTCAACTTGTTGAGGCCCGTGGTGAAGTTCAAAGTCCACTTAACATCCACTGCACAGCAACACATCTAGCCCTCTGGTGTTGGCTATCCCGCAGCTTTGAGCATGAGGTTGCAGTCCTATTAAAGCAAATTATTTTCAGCATTGCAAGTTAAATCTGAGAATTGTTGAATATAGTTGGTTTTATTTCAAGCAGTAGTTTTTGCTGCTGTCACCCACCCTGCAACATTATGGTGAAGGACAGATAAGAGATGTGAGCAAGTGCTAGACTAGGAACTGCGAGACTTAGGTTCAAATCCCCACTCAGCACAAAACTCACTGGGTTATCTTGGGCCAGTCGCTGCCCCTCAGAGGGTTGCAAGAATAAAATAGAGGGGGGGGGAAAGAGCCATGACCACCACCATGAGCTCTTCGAAGGAAGTGATAGAACGGTATTTATATATATATATAAAAAAAAAGCATTCAGGGAATGTTTAAGGTACAGGTATCAATTAAGAAGGCACATTCAAAAGTTCAGAAAGACAAGCAATAAGTTGTCTTCAAACCATTCTGGAGCATGGCTTACACATACACCTGGAATTTGTGGAAATGCCACTGGCAGGCTATAGCAAAGTGGCATGCTGGAATTTTTTGGATAAAATATTGCCATACTGTAGCGCTAGTTTGGGCTCCAGGACAAAGTAGGCTACGTTTCATCACTGTGGCTGAGTGATCGTTGCGTTAACTTGCTTTCTAAACATGGAAATGGGGACAAAAATCAGTGATCCAGCTACCACACATGGCCTTCAAACAATAGAACCATTAAAAAAACAAACAGGCACCCAACATTCATACACTGACCCCAAAACTTCTAAGTATGCAGGTAAGACTTCACCTCCTAGATAGGAATGGGCTGTCATCACTGCCTGCACTGGCGAAAACTGCTCAGTATTGAGTAGCCACCTACCATGACACATTTCCCATAATGCCCTGGCATGTACAGCACAGCGCCTCTGGACATGTAACAAATTAAAATGGCACTGCTTCCCAGGACCAGATATTGGGTAACTCACCCCCCTGTCCCACTCCACCAAAACATGGAACCAGACACAGCTTTAAGCCTCCTTAAACTCCCTCCCTCTCTCTGTTCAAAGCCAGGCAGACGCAAGTTAACAAACTGAATATTCTTTATTGACAAGTTTTCAGCTCCAAGGACTCCTGCTTCAAGACAAATAATTAAAATCCAATTTCTCCTATCATTATTACTTTTAGAAATCGAACAGCAGCCTCACTGTGAAGAGATTGCCACAGAACCTCCTTGTCTTTTTAAATACTGTACTCCCTTTTCTGGAGTAAAGGGTTAGCTATAAAAACAAGGTATAAAAGATATGGGGAGGGAGAGAGAGGAATTTTCAAAACAAGTGAAAAAAGTATTTACACAGAGATATCTACAATTGGACCTAAGTGCATATATGATAATTCCATGCACCAAGACGGAATGGTGAACAGGCTTCCAGCAGAGGTTCTTCTTTCACAAAACCCTGATTCTTTCCACCAAATTCTTAAGATTCTTCTTGATCTTCAATCTTTGGAGCCAAATAATATTTCAAATGTCCCATGTCTGCTATCTTATATTCAACAACTGCAAGAGACCAAGAAACCAAAGTTAGTTTGATTTAAATTGAAACCAAATTTAAAACCAAATTAGTTTGCAGAGATAGCTACCTAGTGGGACGCCTGCAGACATACTGAGGGTGACTGTAGAAGACAATGGTGTGGCTTTGGTGAAGAAGTTCAAGTACCTCAAAGCAAAAGTCAGCTGGACTGCCTCATTCATCTCTATTGTAACCTACAACAAATTAAATTTGAATTAAATATTCTATAGAACACTGTTTTAGAAGTCCAACATGCTTAACAACTGCATTAGAAACAGCTTTATCACAAGCAAGGTAGGCAAACTGTTCTGCAAGTTTATGGAGGGGAGAGAAGAGATAGTAAAGGACAATTAACATCATCTCTACTACCTGCAGTTAAAACTTCACCAACTTACAGATTCTTCCTCTTTATCCACATCACTGGTTTGTGACAGTTTTATATTTCCGCTTCCTAGCTCTCCAGTAGCAGAAAATTTAACACCGTCTTTTGCACAAGAGATTACAACAGCATCTCCAATGTGGCTAAGATCTCTGCAGATGCGAGCAAATTCACCAGAAGGCATTTTCACCACACAGCTGTACTCTTGTTCCTGAAAGAGCAACACAGAGCCTTACTTTGAAGAGCATTTTCACAATGTTTGCAGGAGCCATTCAAACCAAAATATTCACTAAAGCAGAATATAAATAGTTCTGTTATTAATTAAGATCAGATGAGCAATAAAAATGTGCCTTCCTATGGAAAAAAAAAGAATCACTTGCTTCAACCCTCCTTGCAAGTCTACTTCAATTCAGTTTAACAATTTCTTATGCAATCAGATGGAAACTATTCATGAAGATGGAAATAATGTAATTCAACAAATGCTTGCTTAAATAGGAAAACAATGTAGTTCTGTAGCAAGGAATGATTTTGTTAAAAGTGCACTTACTGGAATTCCAAGCTGTTCTACATCCAAGTCCATTAATTTCATTTCATAGTCAGACACCTTCTCCTGATCTAAGGAGAAAATGGGAGTATTAGTCAAGTATATAATTACGAAGTTAACTTAAGAGATCTCCTCAGCCTAAATAGTTTTACAGGAAGTGCTTACTGGCCAACCTTCCCCACAATATTTTAAAACCTTCCTTCCAAGGAGAGACATTATGATGTAAAACCCAGTGACAAGACCACAAGGCTCCTTCTATAGTGTTACTAGCAGAATTCATGTCGATTTTGCTTCTGGTGCTTCTATAGTGGTGACAATTCTAACAAGTTTTTTGTGTGTGTGTGTGTGCGGGTGCGCCAGGAATCTACTTTTTCAAGAAATTATGATCACTTCATCTGTGATCCTAAAGTAGCTTAGGTAGTTCATGTAGGCAAGAATTTTATGGCAGTGGCAACCGATCTGCTCAGATAATCATCAAGTAGCCATCCTTGTTATAAGATAACGAGCTTCTAGGAAGCTGAAGTTACATCTTATTGGCCAGCTCCAGAATTAAAATTTTAGAACAAAACATATTTGCAGCAGACACTTGCACAAGTTTCTGTGGGATCATTCTGCATGCATGGACACTGAGACAGGGATGGCTGTTAAGAGCCTGCTTCATTTTCTTGTGGGGCACTTAGCAGCTTACATTGTCTCAGGAAGTAAGAAAGCAATTCTGCAAGTCAATTTTGTTAATGTCTCTTGTCTCTTTCTCTCACTTTGCATGACTGCAAACTGACAGAGGCACTCTCTCCAAGTGTTCAGAAGCAAAGAGAAACATCACAATTTCCCATTAGCCTGAGCAATAAGACAACTCAAGAGCAGTCTGATTTGGGCAAATGCCCTAAATAAATAATATCTCCAGATCAAAACTTAGCTATTTTGCATCCGTGAAGTTTCAGTTACTTACTTGGTGTCTCAAACACCAAAACCAGTGTGTCTGCACTGTCTTCTGCTCTCAGGGTGATGATATCATCGTTACCTGCGCACTTCAGTATTTTGGACATACTAGGAAAGAAAAAAAGGACATATTCTTATCATCTTAAGAATGCATCACCACTGGAAGCAGATGAAGATCTTACAAAGGGGAATGAAAGGAATGACTGCTCACGCCAAAACACCAGCAAGAAGCATTAAAGCACTATGAGATGGTCGTTTTCAGATTTGTGTGAATATCAGGCAAGGACGTCCCAGTTAAGAGCGTGTATATGTATACATTACTGTATATGTATCTGAATCAATAGCAAACGCCTTTTGTGCCAGATTTTTGTTTCATCTACATTGTAAAACAGGGAACACCAACAAGGCAGATGCAAACCTACTTGAATACAGTGGTACCTCGGGTTAAGAACTAATTCGTTCTGGAGGTCCGTTCTTAACCTGAAACTGTTCTTAACCTGAGGTACCACTTTAGCTAACGGGGCCTCCTGCTGCCAGCGCACCGTCGGAGCACGATTTCTGTTCTCATCCTGAAGCAAAGTTCTTAACCTGAAGCACTATTTCTGCGTTAGCAGAGTAACCTGAAGCGTATGTAACCTGAGGTACCACTGTATTTGGCCGCTTAGGTGCTGCCAATGGGGGGGGGTGCTACTCAGGGGCAGGAGAAAAAAAGTATGGCAAACGCGCCAGTCAAATTTTAAGGGGCCCCGAGCCTCATTGCCGGCAATGAAGAGGCCTGCCTCCTTCTGGAGAAGGTGGCCTCATTCGCGACCATTCAAGGACCACGAAGTCCCGCCAAATCCCTTTTCAAGGAGCAGCAGCAGGATACGCCCGCCTGTATTAACTAGAGGGGGAAACAAGCCACACCCCGCGACAGGCCACATCAACCAATCAGGGAAAGACCTAGAGAACGGAACAGCCAATCGGCTCCGAGATTCCAGCGCGCGCCAAACGGCTCCCCCCTTCTTTTAACAGAGGCAGACCCCTCCCCCTCCCGCGCGCTTTTCCCGCCAATGTCAAAAATGGCGGGACGCTTCTATTACACGTCACGCGACCGGCGACGCCGCCGCCTGAGAGGATTTGGCGCGCGGGGCTGGAGTGCAGCGGCCTAAGCCTCCCTAACCCCTGTGTGAGGGAAACTCCCGCCTTTTTCGCGGCCGCCATCCTCCTCGTGAAGGGAGGGAGGGAGGCGCGGCGCTTCTCTCCCCCGGCCGGGCTCGGCCGCCCCGCTTCACCTGGTGAGGTTGACCCCCATGGCGATGTTCCGGTCGCAGCGGTAGGTGTCGAAGCCCTCGGAGCGGAGCGTGAGCTGCACCAGGGAGACGTGCGAGGAGTCCATGCTCTGGAGGCTGATGCCGCCCGAGCCCAGGTCCCAGCAGGCCTCGGTGATGAGGTCCTTGAGGGCCTCCAGCACCTTCTTCAGGACGGAGCCCTGGATGAGCCGAGCCTCGAACATCTCGCCGGCGGCGGAAGGAGACGGAGAGGCAAAGAAGCGCGCGCCCTCTCAGTAAAAGCAGCGACCGCAAAGGAAGGCGAACGCAGTTTGGCGCTGGCGGGTCCCGGGCGGCCGCTTTTATACCTCCCCCGCCCACACGCGCTATGCTCCGCCCACCCGAGCGTGGCACCGCCCTCTCGCGAGCCGCTCTTCCGCCGTAGGCCAATCCCGAGCATCCCTGCAAACGGAAGGCGGGCGCGAAAGGAGCTCCGGCGCGCACGCGCCGCCTGCGCAACGCCCCCACGAGTTCGCCCGCGAACAAGTGCTTTTGAGCGGGAGACCCGCGGTGACGTCGTTAAGCGGAGGAGCCAATCGCATTTCAAAGGAGTTGGGCCGTCCTCCCTTAATCGGCCAATTAGAGGGAGGAGGAGGAGAAGGGGGCGGGAGCTCCAGTTTCCCTGCGCGCTTTGCCCAGGCTTGTCGGCGCTGCGGCGCAGGTTGCTTGGCCGGCGGAGGGGCGTGCGCTCGTGTTGACTTGCTGCGATTTTATTCACACATTGCAAATCACTTTGAGGGGTTTACAGGAAAAAACAACAAGCAGTGTATAAATATTATGAAATAAATTAAATAAATTAAAAATTAAATAAATTAAAAAATATATTTATGCATAGAGATGTGAAAGCCTGGGTGGGGGTGTAGGAAAAAACTGGTTTACCCCATCGCATTAAATTATTTTTCACAACGATTTGTAAAGCCGACCTACAAAGAACCATTGATGAATGGTCTCTGGACGAAGCTTTTCTTAAAGCCTGTGTCAACCAGGATCCCACTCTCAAAATTGTTTTGAGATTGCACTGGACTCTCGAGAGACTTTACCAAGCAATGAAGTCCATGTCCCCTTACTGCTGAAGAAAATGTGGGGAGTGAGGCTCGTTTCTGCATATGCGGTGGGAATGCAAGGTGGTTAACTAATTTTTTTTAATATCAGATACTCAGCAAAACATGCTTCCTGACCCATCTTAGCTGTTCTCTCATTGGAGAGCGATGCCAATCCCTCCAATATACATAAACACCTAGTTTTAATGTTACTAGCTGCCGCCAGATTAGTTATTGTCCATCATTGGCAGTCTCCTGGCTCTTTACCGTGTGATGCATGTTTCACCAATCATCGCTTTGTCAGAACGCTTGACCAGGCACAGTCTATGTTAGGAGAGGCTGCTGAAGCCGAAGCGGCCAGTTGCCAAGGCAGATGAGAGGTGCACTGCTGGTGGCAGCCTTTGCAAAGGCAATCAGCCCAGCGCAGGCAGGCAGGCAGGCAGCGGATAAGCACCCACATCCGGGTATCCGCGGGGCGGGGTTAGAAGAGGCTTAGGAAAGTGGCAGCTAGAGCATGCATTCAGAACAGGAAGAGTCGCACGGTGCGCGGCAGCTTCCGAGTTAGCTTTGTGCGTCTTCTCCTGCGTTCCATAGAATGTCCATAGACATTCAGGATTACAGCGCAGCTGAGGTTTAGTTATTATTTTGTTGCATTTATACCCCACCTTAATCCTAGGAGCTCTGGGGAGCATACAGTCATACCTCGGGATAAATACACTTCAGGCTGAGTGCTTACGGGTTGCGTGCCGTGGTGACCCGGGAGTAACGGAGTGTGTTAGTTCCGGGTTTCGCCGCTCATGCATGCACAGACGGTTAAAAGAACGTCACGCGCATGTGCGGAAGTGGTGAAACGCAACCCGAACACACACAGGTGTGCTGTCGCATCTTACATTCTGTTCGGGATGCGAACAGGGCTCCAGAAAGGAGACCAGGGAGAAGAGTCGGTGGAAGAAGATTGGAAGAAATTTAAAGACTATTTACAGAAATATTGCAAAATTAATGAATGTTAGAATGATGTTGGATTGAAGTTAAGTGGTTTCTAGCTGTACTGGTATAAAAGAATATGGAAAAATTGGTTTTTAATATGTAAAAATTTAACGTTATAATATATCAAGATTAAAGATTAGGATTAAAAAGGAGGGAAAGGAATTGCTGGATTAACAAATTGAATTGGAATACAAAAGAGGGAGGTATGAGGAGGTCCGGGAAACAAGTAAACGTAAAAGAAGTGATGAAAAGGTGGAATTGTTTTTAACTGTTTTTTCTTCTTTGTATTCTGTATTTTTCCTTTTTATTGTTAATTTTCTCATTAATGTGATTTTTCTTTTTTTGAAATTTTAATAAATATTATTAAAAAAAAACAAACCAGAAAGGATCCCGTTCGCATCCCGAGGTACCACTGTACATAGTTCTCCTTCCCATCTTATCCTCCCAACAACCCTGTGAGGTAGGCTAGACTAAGAGACAGTAACTGGTGCAAGGTCACCCAGTGAGCTTTATGGCCATGAGGATTCCACCCTTGGTTTCTCCCAGGTCACAGTCCAACACCCAGGGGTGCACAACCTGTGGCCCTCCAGATGTTTCTGGACTATTAACTCCCATCAGCCCCAGACACCCGCCAGAAGCAACACCTCAGGGCATGCTGCTTCAGGAAGGTTTTGGGCATTGCATCTCTCAAAGATATGCTCTCCCAAGCCCACATTGCCAGCAAGCTTGCACTCTACAGGGAGCTGGCTTCGGGTACCAGGCCAGTTGGCAGACCAACTCTGCATTACAGAGATGTCTGCATACCTGACATGAAGGCTGGCGACATCAACCCCACCATGTGGGAATCCCTTGCAGATGACCGCAGTGCCTGGAGATTGATGGGTCATGTATTCACTCCACAGCAGGGACCAGTGAAGGAATGACTGTTGGGAGGAGACTGCAGAGAGCATCCGCAGCAGCACAGCCCGATTCCTTCATCTGCCCCAGCTGCAACCAAACATGTCTCTCCCATATCGGTTTCTACAACCACAGCAGGCGCCGCAACTTCCTAGCGGGTTGACTTCATTCCTAAAGGTGCACTCGTCTCTGGGAGACAGAAACGAAACAGCGCCTGAAGAAACCAGCAAGTTGCACCTCCCTATAATGGAGTCGTCCCTCTACACTTTTAGTTTTTTTTTTTTAAAAAAATTGAAAGATCTATGCGTAGAAGAGCGAACAGGAGCTTCCTATTGGCCCGGCCGCCTTGGCCCCGCCTCAATCCCCGGGCCCGGCCATCTCTCTGGGCGGCTCGCGCTGCGCTCGCTGCTGTTGCTGCTGTTGCTGCTGCTGCTTCACTGCGCGGTGCAAAGCGGAGCGGAAGGCGAGGGTGAAGGAGCCGCAAGGGGAGTGCAAGATGAGCGAGCTCCGGCAGAGGCCGGGCCGGGATGCCGACGGGCAGCAGCAGGACTCGGAGGGGAAGGTGAGCGGGCGGCGGCGCGGCGGCAGTGGGTGGGACGCGCTTCTGCATAGGATCCCGGCCGCGCACGGGGCCGCTTACTAAGCTTGCACGAGTAGCCTCCGGGGGTGCAGCGCTGACGCGTGTCTCGTGGGGAGGGGAGAGCTACCTCCTCGCGGAGGGGGCGCTGCTCCTGCTTCCTATTGTTGCAATGCTGAGGAGTTGTTTTGTAACGAGGAGGGCCGGGGGTCCTTCCTTCCTGCCCGCTTCTCCCCTCGGGAATGCTTATAAATAAGTTTAAAAATAACGTGCGTAGGATATAACGGATGCTTTAGCCTTCATCGTGCTTCCGAGATCGGTGTCCCCGGGGGTGGGGGAGGGCCGTGCAAACAGGCGTGCCTTCGGTTTGTTGGAGCTGCTGTGCAATGTGACAAACGCCAAGCCCCTTGGAAGCTGCTGCTCTCGCCAAACTTGTGTCAAGGCCTCGAAGAAAACTTGATTATATATATATATATGTGCATGCAAAAAGGATCTGAATTTTTCCTTGTTTCCACTACCCCAGGAGCTTCTCTGTTTACAGTTCATGAGGGCTAGAAACATGGAGAGCTCAAATGCACGTTGTTCCATTTTGAGGTGAAGTTTTCATGCCACATGCCATGAACCAATGCGACATATTGGGAAATTTAAATGTCTGAGCAGCGTGTGGTCATCTGTGTGTTTTGCTCAAAATTTGCTGTGCTTTCAGTTCCCATTTCTAACCTGTTCATGGTTTAAATGGTTTTAGAGGGCAAGGTGTTTGAGGGCAAGGTGGTATATAAACACAATATATACATGCACAATATATATATAGTGTTTATGTACCACCTTCTTGCTTCCAAGAAGCTCAAGGCGGAGTGCGTCGTTGGCCTCATCACAACAACCCTGTGAAGTAGGTCAGGATGAGAGCCAGCTACTGGCTCAAGGTCACCCAGTGAGCTTCATGGTTGAGTGGGGATTTGAACCCATGGTCCCAGGGCCTAGTCCAGCACTCTTAAGCACTACTGGTTTTATATTGAGTCAGACTTCCAGCACATTATCATCTACACCGCCAATTCTCAAACTCCACAGTTTCAGAAACCACTCACTGAACATTTTTTTCCCTTCACTGCTGGCATCATGGCCTAAAAGTGCCATTTTAGGAGAGTCACAGACTCTAGAGCTGGTTGCTAGGAAGAGCCCCTTTTAAATGGTCGGCCTTTGGCAGTGGCGGGAAAACATCACCAGCGGCATACTATGAAAATTATGGCCCCTAACTGGGAGATTGTTAGCGTATTTAGTAAACTGGTCTGGTGAAGATGGCTTTTATGTCAGTCGTCAGGAAAACACATCAACTGTAGGGCCAACTAGAGATGTTCCTGACAAACCCACAACTTTTTCGTGGCCTAAATGGAAATCCTAGGCCTGTTTAAGAATCCTGTTTATGAACACCTCAGCTTTCTAAAGAGGGGTTACCACCCCTCCACTAGGTCACAGCTTGACTTGTGGTGTAAGAAGTGAGTCCAAGGGCTAAAGGTCTGGTCTGAAACGTGTGACTCCAAGGACTGGCCTTGCTCTTCTAGGGGCTCTTCTAGGAGAGGCTTGCCTGGAGATGCTGGTGGCTCTAGTGTACAGTGGTACCTCGGTTTAAGAATGATTTGGTTTACAAACTCCACAAAACCAGAAGTAGTGTCCCGGTTTGCGAACTTTACCTCGGTCTAAGAACAGAATCGTAACGGTGGAAGGGCACTGGTGGCGGGAGGCCTCATTAGGGAAAACACACCTCGGTTTAAGAACGGTTTTGGTTTAAGAACGGACTTCCGGAACAGATTCAGTTGGGACTCTTGCATTTTTTTTACCACTGAGGCTGCATACCTTTAAAGCGCGCGCACACACACACACACACACACACACACACACACACTGCAGCTGCAAGGAATTCTGGCCACTGTAGTTTGCTAAGGGTTGCTGGGAGTAGTAGCTCTGCTCACAATTCTCTGAGGGAAAGAATGTGATGTAAAAGTTATCGTGTGATTGCAGCCTGAGCCAGAGGCCTCCCTTCCCTGCAGTCCTATGAAGAGTAATCTACATTGATTGCTGTGATTTATTCAGAGTAAACATGCGTAGGACTGGACATAATGGGTTGTATCCAGCGCTAGTCCTACTCAGAATAGACCTGTTGAAGCTAATGGATGTGACTGAGTTTATGTTCAGTGGTTTTGAGTTGCCTACTCTGAGTAGGACTAGCGTTGGATACAAGCCTGTGTCTTGATTCCTCCCCTGGCTGTGGATGCTCTTTGCTCAAGGCCGGCCTTACCTGCAAGGTTGCAAGTAACCCAACTGCACCAGTGCAGCCAAGAAGTGTGTGATCCCGAGCAAGCAATGAGGGACATAGGTAAAGCAGTGGTATTATTTATGACTATTTATTGCCTTTATATCCCACCTTTTCCATCCAAGGTTCTCAAGGTGGCATATGTAGTTCTCCCCCATGTCATTTAATCACCACAACAACCCTGTGAGGTAGGTTGGGCTGGGAGGCAGTGACTGGCCCAAGGTCACCCAGGGAGCTTCATGGCTCAGTGGGGATTTGAACCCAGGTCTCCCAGATCCTAGCCTGGTACTCTAACCACTGCACCATACTGCCATTCAGCATCTAATTAACAATGCCATGATTGGGAGACACACATGCACCATTTAACCCACAAAAGGGTGTGCGCTGGGTTATTGTAAGAATTACAAGCTGCTGAGTACTAAATGCTTTGAACTCCCTAATGCACTGCCTAAGTGCTTATTATTCTGCATTGGGGATAAACTTGAAATGGCAGTTCATGGGGTGCAGGACCTCAAACGTTCCACACAGCTTGCAGGAAGGCCTTGGGTAGCTCATTCACCACCTTCTGGCTTTTTTTCTCACCTAGTGCTGTTCAGGTGAACAAGAATGCTGCCTGCCTTGCGCCTCTGGGAATGAAAGGGAGACCGTGTGAAATGTTGGTTAACAGTAAAGTTCTGCAAACATTTTCAGGTCTGAGGTGTGCCTCATCTTTTCCAAACTCGGCTGTGAATCTTAGCGAGCAGAAGCCGAACATCAACTTGCTTAACTATAAGAAAAGTGTTTCTGGTGCAGTTTAAGGTCTGGTTTGGTGGAAGAGACTCTGCTGCTGCTCTGGTACAGTGTGATGTCCAGAACACAGATGTATGTGAGGCCACAGGTAGACCAACCACAGGATTCAACCAGGGCTGGTTTGAGGGCAAGCTGTCTGTTTGCACTGGGCTCTCCTCTGTTCAGGGGAGCGAGCTGAGTGCCTGGTGATCTGAGAGGTGCTGCTTTTGGAATGAAACTCTGCGTCTCCTCCCTACTGGCCTGCTGGGCAACAGTTGGAAGTTATATTCCAGCCTTCATGCAGCGCAGAGTTAAGATATAGAAGTCTCTCCAATGGGAGGCAGTGATGGCCACCAACCCAAGATGGTTTTAAAAGAGGATTGGACAAATTCACGAGGAGAGGGCTATTGGTGACTACTAACCATGATCAAATCCCCGCGACGGGGTGAGCTCCCATTGCTCAGTCCCTGCTCCTGCCAACCTAGCAGTTCAAAAGCACATCAAAGTGCAAGTAGATAAATAGGTACCACTCTGGCGGGAAGTTAAACGGCGTTTCTGTGCACTGCTCTGGTTTGCCAGAAGCAGCTTAGTCCTGCTGGCCACATGACCCAGAAGCTGAACGCCCCCTTGGCTAGTAAAGCGAGATGAGCGCTGCAACCCCAGAGTCCGCCACGACTGGACCTAATGGTCAGGGGTCCCTTTACCTTTAACCATGATCGCTACGGTCTGCCTCCACAGTCAGAGGCAGTAGTGCTTCTGAACAGCAGTTGCTGGAAACCACAGGAGGGAAGAGTTGCTCTTGTACTCAGAACCTGTTTTTGGGTTTCCCATTGAGGTATCTGATTGGCCACTGTGAGAATAGGATGCTGGCCTGGACGGGTCGTTGTCCTGATCCAACTTCCTTGGCATATCAGTGGATACAGAAAGAATCCATTGAAAGTGGAAAATCTGAAATCTGTGGTAGCTCAGGACGGAATAGCAAAAACAAGCTAAGCAAACGCATGGCTTATGCATTGTTAGTTTTAAGTTATTTTGGGGAAAGCTATGCCCTATAAAGGCCAGCTTTTTCTAACAGGAGGTCAGATGCTACGTTACTCAAAGTTCGCAGCAGTCCATCTTGAATAAAATCAACTGCCTGTAGCTGGCAAGCTAAATATTTTCCTCTTCTCTCTCTCTCTTTAAAAAAGCATAGCAGTTTGTCCACAAACATACTGCAGGTTACTAAAGCCCAAGTAGGTGGAGGATCTGCACCAGACATCCTTCCAGTTAAGTCAATCTCAGTAGCAGTAAATTTTTGCCAAAGCATTATAACTTAAATCATAGGGCATCAGTAAAGCGGTTGTTTTAATTCCATCAGTTGTGAAACTGCTTTTTAATAAGAATAAAAAACAGACCTCTGGGTTGTATCCAAATGAATTACTGTATACTCGGAGCAGACCCACTGAATTTAGCTGTGTCTGTTAACTTAAATGAGCTTACTCTGAGTAGGACTTGCATTGACCACCCCCCTTCTCTCTCTCTCTCTCTCTCTCTCTCTCTCTCTCTTTCCTTTAAAGAATAGCAATGATGAGCTCGAAGTCAGCAAACGTTGAGTCATCATTTAACTTTGCACAAGCTGCCAAGTGCCAAAGCTGGTCTTAGCAATGCCATCACGAGAAGATGTCACAGTAACATTGTTAATTGCCAGACTGTGTGATTTTATAAGCTGCATATGTGCACCTAAATTGGGAAACAAAACCCCTCTGCGCTTGCTAGAACTTATGCCCAAGTAAACATGTGTAGGGCAGAAGCATAAAGGGATTTGAGTATCATTTTCTGCAATTCCTGGCATGTCTTGGAGCCAGAGATTGTGAAGTAGCCAGCCCCACATGACCCACAGGCTCAGACCCCCAACTTCACAGGCAATTAATTCACTGGTTCCAACTGGGGCAGGGGGAGGACTAACATAAGACTGGTCTTAAAAGACCTACATTGGCTCCCAGTATGTTTCCGAGCACAATTCAAAGTGTTGGTGCTGACTTTTAAAGCCCTGTTTAGGGAAGGCAGCCCTGTTTAGGAAAGCTTTTAATGTTTGATGCATTAGGGAATTTTAATATTTTGTCGGAAGCCGCCCAGAGTGGCTGGGGAAGCCCTGCCAGATGGGTGGGATATAAATAAATTGTTGTTATTGTTATTATTATTGTTATTATTATTACTAATCATCCTCTCTTGGCATCCACCTGCCTTGAGGGACAACAGAGTCTTGGGCACGCTGCTTGCTCAGGGTTTAACAAATCTTGTTTTGCTCTAAGATTGGCTTACTCGGGTTCTGCCATTCTAATCTGCTTTGCGGCCAACTAAAATTAGCCAGGTTTAAACTGAAATAAGGATGACAACTTGCGAAAAGAAGTGTCCATGCGGTGAGCTTTTGTGCCTCTGTTTATGGGCTGGTGTGCACAAGATGTTTGGGGTCGGATGGGGCACTTCAGAGGCAATATATGGAGTGCTCTGCGGCCGTTCACATTCGCTCCAAAAGGGTTCAAACCAGCACAGTGCCTTAAGGATTGTGCAAATTGCCCTCTCAAAACCACAGGCTTTATGAAGCATTATGAGCAGGGCTTGGGGCAAAAGTGTGGGTTCCACCAAGCCCTGTTGAGGCTTTGAGATGCCCCACTGACTACCTCCTTCCAAGGAGCCTGTACTCCGGCTGGTGTGAGTGGCAAGAAGGGCAGCTCCAGTAATTGCAGGAGCTTATCTTCTTGGGTACAGATTAGAATAGCTTGTCCTGTTCTTCCTGAAAGACGCACTCTGCGGAGGCAGCTGAGAGCAGAATCAGCCCAGGTGGCTACAAGATTGGCCATTAGTCTAGGCTGCAAATCCTAAGATTTTGGAATATGCAAGGTGGTTGGTTTCAAGGCCCGGAAGGCTGTTTCCCGCAACAAAGACCTCTTGAGCTTGCACTTCTTCCCTGTGGGGCATCAGAAAACGTCTCCATCCATTGGTGGAGTGCTTGCACCCCATTAACATCTCCCCCTTTGGAAATTTGTTGGCTCTGCTTCACGCTGGTGTCTCCTTGGCCTTGCAGCTGGGTAAAGGCAAACAGGACATTGCATACACACCCCAGACAGGCTTTGGAGTCTCCCCGTGGAAATGGCACAGAGTAGATTTCTCCAGGGGAACAGCAGCTCAGCAGACTTGGGCTTCAAGGACCCTGAGGCAGGAGACCCTTTGGGGGTGGGAGCTATTCCTCTTGCTCCCTTTACAACTCTCTGCACAGAATCACTGGTGGGGTGGATCTCTGTAGTAACAGCACCATCCACATTCAAGGCACATCTTCTGGCCACAAGCCCCCCTCCCTCCTTGCCAAACCTTGACAGGGAGCTTAGAAGAGGAGGGGAGGAAGAGACAAGGTTAATGAGGGCTGCAAACAGAGTTACTTGTCCGGAGACTTATTTTAATCTGAGGATGTAGGGACAGGCTCTCAGCGGGCATTAAAATCTCCATACTTCTTTTTAAGGTTGCTGTAAACCGCTTTGCTCTTTAGACATGTTCTATGTATGTAATTACAAGGGACGCGGGTGGCGCTGTGGGTTAAACCACAGAGCCTAGGGCTTCCTGATCGGAAGGTCGGCAGTTCGAATCCCCGCAATGGGGTGAGCTCCCGTTGCTCGGTCCCTGCTCCTGCCCACCTAGCAGTTCGAAAGCACGTCAGAGTGCAAGTAGATAAATAGGTACCGCTCTCGCGGGAAGGTAAACGGTGTTTCCATACACTGCTCTGGTTCGTCATGCTGGCCACATGACCCGGAAGCTGTACGCCGGCTCCCTCGGCCAGTAAAGTGAAACGAGCCCTGCAACCCCAGAGTCGGCCACAACTGGACCTAATGGTCAGGGGTCCCTTTACCTTTATGTATGTAATCAACGTGTTAGCTGCTGATAAAAGGCCTTGTAAGCTGGTCGTTTTCCCTGATCTCTTCTCTCTTTGCAGCAGTCTGCATCTGCCCCTCTAGTTCAGACTTTCTGTTTAGCTTCTGCAGTCAGAATTGGTAAGGAACACGTTTCCTTTTAAGGGCTTGTGCTTTTGCTCCTGATCTTGTGTTTGTGAAAATAAAGCCAGGAGCTCGAGTCTTCCTTCCACTGTCCTTATAGGCTACCAATGTCGTGAGTTTCTGCACACAATGAAAGGATGCGCGTCAGGCGTGGTGCAGCAAAAATGGAAATGATTATCTGTCTCTGTATGTCGCCCACCTCCACTTGTTAGACAAGGGGGCAGGCGGTAGTCAGAAAGCAGATGTGCCAAGCCTGGGCATCCATGCGGCACTTGGCTTTTCGTGGTCCTGGCTTGCTTGAAGCAAGCTTTCCAGAAAGGCTCTCTCTCTATTGGGGAAGGCTGCTTTAGATGGTGGTGATTTATTTATTTTTTGCTATATTTATCACCTGCTTGTCGTTGAATATTTTCAGTGGCAAACAAAGTAATAAAAAGAAACAGAAAAGCAACAATTTTTTTTAAAAAAAAACGCGGAATAATATAAGGCAGTCCAATAAACAAGGAATTAACCATTCTGTCGCAAGGCAAACATACGTGGTGGCGATGTGCCTGTGTTGCAGTTCATAATCAAAGCTTCCAACGTGTCCAGAATTGAGTAACAGCTTTCAAAGGTCTACAGGATTGGCTTTTGAGTCGCTATACCCGTGCCTCTGATGAGATAAGCAAGTCACTGGGTTATCTTTTTTTTTGTTTTCTTTGAGCTGATGGGAACTGCCGTCGAAAAGGTTTGGTTGACCCGGGCACCCAGGGTGGCAAAGCCTGGCCTGTGGACGTCTCTGAGCTGTTAAAAGGAGTGTGAGAGCTTGCAGTGCAATAAAAACAAACTGCTGGGAGAATAATAATAATAATAATAATAATAATAATAATAATAATTTTTTATTTATACTCCACCCTCCCCAGCCAAGACCGGGCTCAGGGCTACTAACAACCAATAATAAAAACAAGTTGATTAAAATACAATTTAAAAGGTTAAGATACAACATTAAAACATTAGGATGCAGCCTCTTCACAGGAGGAGAAAGGAAAAAGAAAGAGGGGGAGGGAATCAAACTGATTCTAAGCCCAAAGGCTAGGTGGAACAACTCTGTCTTACAGGCCTTGCGGAAAGAAATCAGATCCTGCAGGGCCCTGGTCTCATGAGGCAGAGAGTTCCACCAGGCCGGAGCCAGTGTTGAAAAGGCCCTGGCTCTGGTTGAGGCTAATCTGACTTCCTTAGGGCCCGGGACCACTAGGGTGTTGCGATTTATGGACCTTAAGGTCCTCCAGGGCGCATACCAGGAGAGGCAAATCTTCAGTGTATTCTTCCTTAGTATAGCAATGAAAGCAGCCTCAGTATATCCATCTTGAAGCTGCTAGACTCAAGGTGCCCAGCATGATACTCTCCATACTCCTGCCCCGTCCTCCCTGACCATTGGCCATGCTGGACGGGAACTGCAGTGTCTGGGGAGCCCCACACTGGCTCTCCCTGTTCTAAATGGTCCCATAAATATCCCCACCAGTGGCAAGTGTCGATCCTGGCCCTGCCAAGCCCCCAGCTCCTGGTGGAGTACAGGGTCAGGTTTAAGGGGCTGGTTTTGACCTTTAAAGCCCTATGCAGCCTAGGACCCACGTATCTACGGGACCGCCTCTCCTGGTATGCCCCGCGAAGGACCTTAAGGTCCACAAATGACAACATTTTGGAGGTCCCAAGTCGCAAGGTGGTTAGGTTGGTCTCAACTAGGGCCAGGGCCTTTTCAGTACTGGCCCCGACTTGGTGGAACGCTCTGTCACAAGAGACCAGGGCCCTGCAGGACTTGACATCTTTCCGCGAGGCCTGCAAGACAGAGCTGTTCCGCCTGGCCTTTGGTTTGGACTCAGTCTGACCCTTATGTTTCCCTCCCCTTATGGTTTTGACTTTTAAAATGAGGCCTCATTTTAACCTGTATTTTAAATTGTTTTTATTCTTTTTTTCTTATTATGTTTTTACTGAAATTTTATTGGTGTTAGCCGCCCTGAGCCCGGCTCTGGCCAGGGAGGACGGGGTATAAATAAAATTTATTATTATTATTATTATTATTATTATTATTATTTATTATCCTGCTGGGCTTTTTGCTGATGAGGCAAGGTGCACCTCAACGAACTAGCCTTACAGAGGTGTTGAATCACAAGTTCCTAATGTTTTGCACAGGCCTTGTTTTTCAAAAGCATGGCAGGCGGGAGAAAAGAGGAGTCCATTCTTTCCGAGGTTCTGAGTTCACGCAGCTCCCCTGGAATTTTGCTGAAGACTGCGGAAGCAATTGAGCTTTCAAGCTCTCTTTTTTAGCGATTGTGAAATGGCTAGAGGCAATGGTTTTAGGGTAGTTACGGTTTCCTAGTTCAGTGCAACCACTTGAGACTGCACTGGAGTGTCAGGCTGCCTTGCATGACTTAAATATTGCTCCATAGCTAAGTAAATAAAGCAATCCCTTGCACACGAAGAGCTAGCTTGTCAGGGTCCTTGGCTAGCCTGTTCCCTGATGTGTTCATTTTCTGCAAGCAGGGAGTGCTTCTTGTGTTGCGCAACAATCCTTGCTGTGAGCCCTGAGGAGGCACAGCCCAGGTGGGCTGCCTTGGGGAGAACTTGGCTTGTGTCACCTGCTGCTCTGAGTAGGTCTACAGGTGGATGCTCAACCCGGTTCACCAACCTCACCATGGCAAGTGCTTTTTACCAGCTTTTCCTGGTTCGGCAACTATGGCCATTGCAGGCCATGTGTTGATAACTTCGAAGATGGATTGCTGCAGTGTGCTCCAAGTGGGGCTGCCCTTGGTTCTTGTTTGAAAGCTCCAGGTGGTGCAGAATGTGGTGGTGGCCAGGTTGCTGATCAGAGCTTCTGGCTGAGAACATGTGGCACTCTTGCTGAAGCATCTGCACTGGCTGCTCATCTTCTGTTGAGCCAGGTTCGTGGTCCTTGCATTAATTTACAAAGCCCTGAACAACGAGTCCAGGGCACCTCAGGGATCTCCTCATATCACAGCTCAATCACAGATCATCTGCAGGAGCGTTGTTCATTGTTCCCAGAGTCTGTGAGGCTCCTTTCACAGCAAGAGAGGGAGCCTTAAGCCAGCGCTACCGTCCCTGTCCTGTGGAACACTCTGCAGCTAGAGATTCAGCAGGCGCCTTTTCTGCAAACTTCTATTTTATTTTTTTATAAGATATTTATTAAAATTTTCAATGTTTTACAAAACACACAAAGAAAAAGAAAAAAAAAGAATAAAAAAGAAAATACATAGTAAAAATATTTAAAAACAATTCTTTCCTTCCATTACTTAACCTTCATTTACTTATTTCCAGGACCTCCTCACACCTTCCTTTTTTGTATTCCAGTTCAATTATTTTGTTCAGCAAATCCCTCCCCTCTTTTAATATCCTAATCATTAATCATAAAAATGTTGTAATTTTAGATTTTTACATATTACATAATAAACCCTTTTTTCATCTTCCCTTGTAGCCTTTCAGCTAGAGACCACTTAGTTTCTATCCAGCATCATTCTAACATTCATTAATTTTACAATATTTCTGTAAATAATCTTTAAACTTTTTCCAATCTTCCTCCATCGACTCTTCTCCCTGGTCTCGGATTCTGCCAGTCATTTCTGCCAGTTCCATATAGTCCATTTTCTGCCAACTTCTAAATGCCTGCTGAAAATCTTCCTATTTAATCAGGCCTATGCTGGTAATCCGAGAGCGAATCTTTCCACAGTGGTTAATTGATGCTTGTTTTAAACTTTTTTAATGGGTTTTATTGTACAGTTTTGTTTTATTGTTGTAAACCACATTGATGTAGGTTTTATGACATGGTGGTAAAATTTAAAAAATAATAATACATAAATGATCTGGCCAGGGTGATGAGTACCGTCGTGCCTTTTTCTCTTTGGCTTTGCTGCCATTTAGAGGCTCCTCCTGTATGAAACATCTGTATCCACCTCCGAACTTGGGGTTTCTGTTTGGGCTGTAGGTTTTAGCGTTGCCTTAAGGGTAAAGGGACCCCTGGCCTTTAGGTCCAGTTGTGACCGACTCTGGGGTTGCGGCACTCATCTCGCTTTATTGGCCGAGGGAGCCGGCGTACAGCTTCCGGGTCATGTGGCCAGCATGACTAAGCCGCTTCTGGTGAACCAGAGCAGCGCATGAAAACGCCATTTACCTTCCCGCCAGAGCGGTACTTATTTATCTACTTGCACTTTGACGTGCTTTCGAACTGCTAGGTTGGCAGGAGCAGGGACCGAGCAACGGGAGCTCACCCCATCGTGGGGATTCGAACCGCCGACCTTCTGATCAGCAAGTCCTAGGCTCTGTGGTTTAACCTACAGCACCACCCACGTCCCTTTAGCTTTGCCTTACTGGGGTTTAACTTGGAGGAAGCATGATGTGTTTCTCCCCAGTTTCTCTCTCTCTCTTTCTCTTTCTCTTTCTCTCTCTCTCTCATTGCCTGCAATAGGATTTCACTTATTTTGACCTGCATGTGGCTTTTAGTTTTTCAATGCTGCATTCACCTCCATCTGCAAGAAAGGAGCTCTTCCAGGTGCTGTTGTTCTACAGCAGGAGTGGCAAATGAGTGAGGCCCTTCAGAGGTTTCTGGGTTCTATCTTGCATCAGTCCCAGACAGAAAAGTCAGGGGGTGAAGGGAGTTGTAGCCTCCCTCTCTCTCAACACTGGAACTCGCGGACAACCGGGGGGCCACTAGGGGGCGCATTGGAAGATGGCCGACACTACCATCTCTCCGACCCACACGGGGTAATTAAGAGGCTGTTATGGGAGTAGGCAGCCTCCCTTGTTGCCCCAAGGAAATGGGGAACACTGCCCTTGCCTGCTGTGCCCATAAATCACCCCCTAATTCGAAAGAAGGGGGTGAGGGCCCTAGGCAGAATGCCCCCGTGTGGACCTCAGCTCTCCTGGACGCTGTCTCTCATCGCGCACTAGCTGCAGCAATTTGGAATAATTAATTACAAAAGAAGCAAATGCACATATTTCAAGTGAAGAAGGCGAGTGAAGTCAGATAAATTAAGTGACCTCTGCGAAAGAAGACGACGGGCTGGAGAAACAGGAATATTTTACGATGAAGATACACCAAAGGCGGGGTATGTTGACAACGGGGCTGAATGGGGGGGGGGGGACCTTTTTTACTTTCCTTCTATGTGATTTACAAGAACCCCTCCTCATTAGAACCGTTGGTTAAACTGACCCAAGCAGGATGATTAAGGTCTGTGTGGAGATAAACTTTAACCAAAAGTATGCTTTATGGAGACCGAGAAGCAATAAGAGCTTTTGGGAATGGCACAGCAATTAATTCGGAGTCGCCATCTTGCCAAAGGATTTATAGCCGGGAGGAAGAATGGGTTTGTTTTCAGACTGCATTCCTAGTGAATCTCCTCAGAGGTTTTGAGAAAGGAGGCAGATTGGTGAAGATTAATGATGCTAAGACTGTTTTGATGTATGGAAGTGATGTTATATGGAAAACGTCTGGATATGGCTACTGGATAAAAAAATTAATATCCACGCAGGATTACAAACTGTTCTAACCAGCTTGCGGAGACTATCAGAGGTCACAAAGAGAAAGGAAAATATATGAAAATAACAACAAGAGATGTGGAAAGATAATAAGAAAGGACTGGATAGTACTGTGAACATCATAAGGTTAGATTTGTGGACATTAAAACAGCAGTAAGAAGCAAGAAGTTGATTGGATCCCTTCGGAACTTGAAATATGGGTACCCCCAACAAAAATTTAAAATTCGGCTGTGTAATTTGGAATTTATGTAATTTGGTTTGATTTGATGTGATTGGTCGGTTAATAAAAAATTATTCTTAAAAAAAAAAAAAGGAACTCGCGGACAACCAATGAAACTGAACGCTGGAAGATTCAGGAGAGATGAAAGGAAGCCGTTTCTGCAGTGCATAGTTAAACTATGGAACTTTCCCCTGCAGGAAGCAGCGATGGCCACCAACTTGGTGTTAGGATATAGTTCTGTTCCACCTTAAAAGGGTACAGGCATGACTATTGTGTGTCACATGCCTGTTTACTTCCAGCACAGATCTGCTGGGATCTTCCGTTTGTGTTGCTGCTGTTTTGCTGGAGACGAAGGGAAGCAGACATGTTTTCCTCTGTTCCTGAACTATGCTGAATAAAATGCTGTACATTATGCTTACACATTTCTCTGTCCGCCTCTTCTGCTGTGAGAAGATTTACACACTCTGCTGACAGAGCGTGCACATGTCTCTAAAAGTATCAGAGGCTCATGTCACTGATTGATGTTTTCCAAGGGAGACTGGTGATCGTCCGGCTGCTGGCTAGTGGCTGGAGCCAGCTGTGGGCCTGCCTGATGCCCCCGTCTCCCTGTCAGTATCCCAACACTTGGATGGCTTTACTAGAGGATTGGCCCAATTCAAGGAGGAGGAGCAGGCTATCGATGGCTACTAGCCACAATAGCGATGCTCTGCCTTCATGGTCAGAGGCATCAATGCTTCTGAATACCAGTTGCTGGAAACAGCAGGAGGGAAGAGTTGCTCTTGTGTTTGGTACCTGCTTGCTGGCTTCCTATAAGAGGCATCTATTGGCCACAGTGAGAACAGGATACTGGACTAGATGGGCCATTGGCCTGATCCAGCCGCCTCTTCTTAAGTTCTTATGTAGTCCTGCATTATATCTGGAGGGCCAAAGATTAGCCACCCCTGGTCTACTAGCATAGTAATGATTCTCAGGTCAGCTCTGAACTCACTTCGAAATTTTGGATTTCATGAGGGTTACTGTGGTGAATCATCCTCGAGTCACCAGTTTGTAGTTTCTCGCGTAACGTCAGAATCTAGGAACAGCGCTGTGCCAGACCATTGGTCCACCCACCTCTGCTGATTCTCTCCATCTTTCCCTCCCTCCAGGTGATGAGGATGGAATTGGGCACCTTTTGCAAAGCAGCCGCTCTTCCACCAAGCTGCTTCTCTTTCTCTCCCCGTAGGCTGCTGGTGAAAGCACAACTGTGCGCGCGCATGATTTTAATAGCAAATCGCCATTATTCAAATTCTCGGGATTGATAATATTGACATTCCTCATGGGCCTAATCAGAGGGGCTTTTTTGTGTGTGTGTGGGATTATAATGCTTCGTGTTTGTGCATTGACCCAGTTGTGTAAGAATTGCCAGGAGCAACGGAGCCATTTTCATCCTGGCGCGTGAGAGCAGGAGGTGGTTGCCATAGAAACTTCTGGGATGGACCAGAGCACAGCACATCAGAAAGCAGCCAGCTTGGTTCCCTGATCAGCTGCTCGAGTCAGTGATTTACAAAGGGACAGCTGTGATTTGCATGGTGACGGAAAGGTTGGCAATTAGCAAGCCCCTCCACTTCCGAATTTTTACTCCTCCCAGCCACCTCTCCCAGTCCTATATTAAGCACATCTCTGTGTAATTAGCAACAGCTTTCTAAGTCAAGAAATCCATCCTGACATCTCTTGTTTGGGTTTGTGATTCTTCTTTATTCAGTTCCATTTTCCCCACCCGCTGTTGATTTTATGTATCTATATCTTATATCTCCCACCTTTCCCCCCCAAGGTGATGTACACAAATTAAATCAATACAGATGCCATGCATACTGCAATTCTGAATAATCCTTTTTAGAGGGGAGGGGAAGGGGCAGTGGGGATGAGCCCATGAAACCAAGCAGGTCCTCCCCCCCCGAAAAAACCTTGGGAACCGCTGGCTTAAACTGTGGTTTACGTGACACGCAAACTGGACCCGTGTTTGTCCTTTGCTTTTAGCTGCGAAGTTTTTATTGATTGATTCTTTTTATGTCAGCATAAATTTATATTTTGGGGTGGAATGTTCCTCTGGATACTTGTAAGCAGAAAGCAATAGCTTTCTGACATGTGGGTTGGATGGAATAAAATTCCTGGTTTGGGGCGTCTGTGTGCTGAAGGCACCATGGTGGAGATGGCGGGCGTAGGGTGCTTTTGTGCCTCTGTGGGGTACAGCTTTTTATTTGCACGGTCGGTTTGGAAACGACTTCTTTTTGCAGCCAAGACATTGGATAGTGGGAACTTGGCTGTCTTTGTCCATTCTAGATAGAATACCTCAGAAGACAGTGACTTCTCCTTCCTTGGAGGTTTTTAAGCAGAGGTTTGGGTGGCCACAAGGGATTCTTTAGCTGGGCTGCCTGCATTGTCAGGGATTGGATGAGATGGCGCTTGGGGGGGTCTCTTCCAAATTTACTTATCTAATAATACTAATACTCATAATAATAAATTTTATTTATACCCCACCTTCCCCAGCCAGAGCCAGGCTCAGGGCAGCTAACACCAGAAAAATTATAGTAAAATCATAATGGGGGGTGGGGAACCAATTTAAAATACAGGTTAAAATGCAATTTAAAATGCAGCCTCATTTTAATAGTAGCCCATAAATCAAAACCATAAGGGGAAGGAAACATAAGGGTCAAACTGAGTCCAAACCAAAGGCCAGGCAGAACAGCTCTGTCTTGCAGGCCCTGTGGAAAGATGTCAAGTCCCGCAGGGCCCTAGCCTCTTGTGACAGAGCGTTCCACTGAGTCAGGGCCAGTGCTGAAAAGGCCCTGGCCCTAGTTGAGACCAAGCTAACCACCTTGCGACCTACAAAATGTTGTCATTTGTGGACCTTAAGGTCCTCCGCAGGGCATACCAGGAGATAGGATTATGGCTGCTATTGCAATTCCCTGATGGCTTGAGGCCATCTTTGCACTTTGGGAAGCTGGTACAATGACTCTTTCCGTTGCTGATACAAAGGAGTACTGTGGCTTTTAAATGAGTACATAATATACAGTGCCAATGCCAGCATATATATTATATCTCATTTTCTGTTGATGTTATCAATTTCCTAGCTGGCCAGGGCCTCCTGAGGCAAATGCATCCACGTAATAATGCAGTTTAAACCTTGCTGGAAGGAAGAGGGGCTGACGCCTTCCTCCCTCTGGTCCTGATCTCCCTCAGCATTTCAGTTGGTGCTGAGGTCTTGTACATTTGCATGCACCCTTCTCGCTCTGGGGCAGGCCCCTTTTCTTCCTCCTTCCTCCTTCCCATGACTTGCTTTAACCTAAACAAGGTTTGAAGAGGGTCATTGTGGTGATCACACAAGGTCCCCAGACGTTTAACGGTCTATTGATCCCTGTACCACTACTGTGCTTGCTTCCCTGCTATCACCAACCAGTTACTCTCTGGTAAAACACTGAGTCTAGTCAGTTGTTAAAAGTGAACCAAAAAAACCACCAAGTTTACAGTGGTACCTCGGGTTACATACGCTTCAGGTTACAGACTCAACAATAGAAAATGTCCTTTCATACTGCATCACGGTGTGGTACGCTGGTTTGACATCAACTGATAAGAAGTGCCCACAGAGGGTGGTGAATACAGCACAAGATATTATGGGCTGTCCCGTGAATCCGCTGGATGACATCGCGGAAGAACATTGCCTCAGGAGAGTGAGGAAAATTCTCAGGGATGATTCACACGCTGGCCAGCACTTTCATAGAATCATAGAGTTGGAAGAGACCACAAGGGCCATCGAGTCCAACCCCCTGCCAAGCAGGAAACACCATCAGAGCACTCCTGACATATGGTTGTCAAGCCTCTGCTTAAAGACCTCCAAAGAAGGAGACTCCACCACACTCCTTGGCAGCAAATTCCACTGTCAAACAGCTCTTACTGTCAGGAAGTTCTTCCTAATGTTTAGGTGGAATCTTCTTTCTTGTAGTTTGGATCCATTGTTCCGTGTCCGCTTCTCTGGAGCAGCAGAAAACAACCTTTCTCCCTCCTCTATGTGACATCCTTTTATATATTTGAACATGGCTATCATATCACCCCTTAACCTCCTCTTCTCCAGGCTAAACATGCCCAGCTCCCTTAGCCGTTCCTCATAAGGCATCGTTTCCAGGCCTTTGACCGTTTTGGTTGCCCTCCTCTGGACACGTTCCAGTTTGTCAGTGTCCTTCTTGAACTGTGGTGCCCAGAACTGGACACAGTACTCCAGATGAGGTCTGACCAGAGCAGAATACAGTGGCACTATTATTTCCCTTGATCTAGATGCTATACTCCTATTGATGCAGCCCAGAATTGCATTGGCTTTTCTTGATCTCCTGCCCTTGAGCAGAAGATATAGAAGCATGACTAGTCGCACCAACAGGGTACAGAACAGCTTCTATCCGTGGGGTGTTAGGCTGCTGAATGAAAAGATAACAACAGGGCAACAGACTTTCGGGTTTGGTGGGTGTGTAAACGAGAGGAATTAAGACTAAGAGAGCTGAGTGGGGGGTGCTCGTGTAATCTCACTGTATACAAGTTGTACAATAAAGTATTTCAATTTCAATAACAGCCATTGCATGTGTGCAGATCGAAGCCCTTCACTCTGACCCCCCCTTGCTTCTTTGCATTAAACCTTTGCCTCTCTCGTCCTGCAGGAATCAGAGTTTGAAAGCAAGCTGGATGGAGAAACGGCGTCAGACAGCGAGTGCAAATCGGAGATTGCCCAAGCAGCGCCAGTGGATGACACCCCAGAGGTCCTCAACAGGGCTCTCTCCAACCTGTCCTCCAGGTAAATGCTGATGTCAAAACACACTCGGGTGTTTTGTAGCAAAGCCCACTTTTTATTTACTTCATAAAATTTATGCACTGCTTGATATTGAAAAAAACCCCACATCTCAGCATAGTTTACAAAGAAAGGCAAAATAATAAAAGGACCAATAAGAAGAATCAGTAATGATTTAAGACGTTCAAAAACTTAAATTTGCAGTGGGCTCAAAACAGGTTAAAACTCACATCAGCTTCCTTGGCATCTGGGTAGGCTTGTCGGAACAAAAAAAGCATTTAGCAGCCACCAGAAAGAGTACAGTGGTACCTCGGGTTACATACGCTTCAGGTTACATATGCTTCAGGTTACAGACTCCACTAAGCCAGAAATAGTGCTTCAGGTTAAGAACTTTGCTTCAGGATGAGAACAGAAATCGGGCTCCGGCGGCGCGGCGGCAGAGGGAGGCCCCATTAGCTAAAGTGGTGCTTCAGGTTAAGAACAGTTTCAGGTTAAGTACGGACCTCCAGAATGAATTAAGTACTTAACCTGAGGTACCACTGTACAGCGAAGACGCCTGCCTGATATCAGTAGGCAGGGAGTTCCAAAGTGTAGGTGCTGCCACATTAAAAGATTAAAGTTCTTACAAATGTGGAACAGGCGTCATGGGACACCTGTGGGACTGCCAGTTCTGTAGACTGGTCAAGTGGAGTAGAGTGACCTCACAAGCATTTCTCCCTCCCAAAGGGGGGCCTGAAAGGGTGCTTTATCTAATAGTTGTGGTGTCGTAGCTCTGCTGAGGAGCAGGTGCCAAAATGGCAGTGGCCAGGACTCCCCACCCCACTAACGTCCCCATATTTTATTTCAGAAATCCTACAGACGTGTTATGAGAGGCTGGGCCCCCCACAAACAGCACAGACATATAGGAAGCTGCCTTATACAGAGTCGGACCATTGGTCCATCTTGCTGAGTATACCTACACTGACTGGCAGCTGCTCTCCAGGGTTTCCAGCAGCCATCTCTCCCAACCCTTCCTGGAGGTGCAACTGGGGTTTGGCCAGGGGCCTTCTGTTTGCAAGGCTGTACCACTGAGCTCTGGCCCTCCCCCAACAAATACGGCTTGGTGCCCAGTCCCATCAAGGCTGGCCCAAGATGCTTTGGTGGTGCCGGAGGCAAGAAATTGACGTGGCACCTCTCTGCCCACCCCTTGCCCTGTCTACTAATGAGCAGGGGGCATAATTTGCCTGGGCTCTCCATTGCTCATAGCTTGTGTCTACAGATGTGTATCCACGCAACGGTCACCTCCAGACTGGATTATTGTAACTCACTCTGCGTGGGGCTGCCTTTGAGACTGACCCAGAAACTCCAGTGGGTGCAGAATGCTGCGGCGAGGCTCATTACGGGGTCCCCGCCATGGGATCACATTCACCCAGTGCTATACCAGCTGCACTGGCTCCCGGTGGAGTACAGGATCAGGTTTAAGGTGCTGGTTTTAACCTTTAAAGCCCTATACGGCCTAGGACCCTCGGACCTACGGGACCGCCTCTCTTGGTATGTCCCATAGAGGACCTTACGGTCTTCAAATAATAACACCTTGGAGATCCTGGGCCACAGGGAGGTTAGGCTGGCCTCAACCAGAGCCAGGGCTTTTTCGGCCGTGGCCCCAATCTGGTGGAACGCTCTGTCGCAAGAGACTAGGGCCCTGCGGGACTTGACATCTTTCCGCAGGGCCTGCAAGACAAAGCTGTTCCACCAGGCCTTTGGCCAAGGCACAGTCTTTGATAATCCTCATAGAACTCTAGCCCATTGGTTGCCATTAATTTGATTTTGAATTGGTTTTAGAATGAATTTATTTTAGAATGCTGTGTTACTTTTATTGTTGTTAGCCATTCTGAGCCCGACTTTGGCTGGGGAGGGCAGGATATAAATAAAAATTATTATTATTATTATTATTATTATTAATATTCTTCAGTAGGACGGGCCTCTTCCTGCATGAGCCTGCCTGTGCCCCCGGGGTGTCAACAGATGCTGTTCTCCATCGGCCACTTCACTCTGGAGTGCAGAGGGTGGCTGCGATGGAGAGGGCCTGGAGTGATTTGCCTGGCCCCTTCTGTGATGGCCCCTCTCTGCCAAGAAAACCTTTTTTTGTTGTTGTTCTCTTAGGCCTCACGGCCTGCTCTCATTAGCCTCATTTAAGACTGATCTTGACATTTGGCACGGCTTCTGCAGTGGCTCATATGCTTTTAATGAAAACCATTTAAGAGAGTTTTATTACGTTGAGCGGGATTATGTGATGAATTTAGTTCTCCATATAATTAGGTGCATTTCCTCCCCCCCCCCATGATATTTTTATTGCATTGTATACGTTTACAAAACTAAAAATCAAAGCAATGTAAGGCATAATAGCATCCGTATACAGGATGTTTCTTGTCAATTATTATTATTCCTTATTGTTTTCATTTTCAGCTTTGCAAACTTACAGAATCAATACAGGAATACTTAACTGGGTGAATTTGAGAGAAGCCATATTTTGTTTTTGCTGATTTGGAGTTTACTTTGTAGTGTTTCCATTGTATAATTTCTTTGTCATCATCATCATAAACTTTATTGCACTAGCCAAAGGCCATGGCATTATTCACAAAGGGAACGAAAAGAAAAGCAACAAGAGCCATAAAAAACCATAAAAATACCCAGCACTGCAGATATAATAAACAACGGTCACTTCTCCTAAAAATTATTTATTGCATACGATAGAGTGGCAAGGGGTTCTCAGGTAGAATGGGCCAGCTTAAATGTCCGAATCACCTTTGCAATTGATCGCTATTTTATCTAGTTCTTTTCTCCTGATCTTCTTAGCTGCCAACACATATACAGTGGTGCCTTGCAAGACGAAATTAATCCGTTCCGCGAGTCTCTTCGTCTTGCGGTTTTTTCGTCTTGCGAAGCACGGCTATTAGCGTCTTAGCGGCTATTAGTGGCTTAGCGGCTTAGCAGCTTTAAGAAAAAGGAAACAAACTCGCAAGAACTTGCAAGACATTTCGTCTTGCGAAGCAAGCCCATAGGGAAATTCGTCTTGCGGAACGACTCAAAAAACGCGAAACCCTTTCGTCTAGCGAGTTTTTCGTCTTGCGAGGCATTCGTCTTGCGGGGCACCACTGTAGTGCTACTTTATAAGTTACGAAGTCATCAGTATCGCTCAGCAGCCATTTCACCCTTTCCGCCCAGTTTGAGTGTGTTCCATTCGTGAGCAGGGGTTTTATAAATCGGTCTCTTGGTTCTATATATAGCGGGCATTGCAATAAATAGTGGTGCAGGTCCTCTACTCAAGGTTGCCCACACAAAGTCTCTCCTTGTACTGTACTTTGCCATACCGACCATCCACCACCACGGAGGGGATCGATTGGAGTCGTAATTCTGTGAAAGCGATTCTTAGTACGGCAAGTTGGGGCTTTGTCAAATAACTAGCTCGGATGTGCCCCATTTTGATAAGTTTATTTCTTTGTCATTCCTAATTTGTGCTAAACGTTTTTTTGTGTACCAAGCCCAGAGGGCCAAGTTATGGAACAATGGCCAAACAGTAATAATTAGTAATGACTTTAAATGATTTGGAGCATGTTGGTCCTCGTTTGCACCAGTGATTCTCCTGGATTGCAGGGGTTTTCCCCTGGCCAATACTTGCTGGATGGAGGCTGTCACTGAGCTGGGGTCCTCCTCCCCAGGGCTCAGTTGTTGTTATTTACAGTGGTACCTCAGGTTAAGCACTTAATTCGTTCCGGAGGTCCGTTCTTAACCTGAAACTGTTCTTAACCTGAAGCACCACTTTAGCTAATGGGGCCTCCTGCTGTCGCTCCGCTGCCGGAGCACGATTTCTCTTCTCATCCTGAAGCAAAGTTCTTAACCTGAAGCACTATTTCTGGGTTAGCGGAGTCTGTAACCTGAAGCGTATGTAACCTGAGGTACCACTGTTTTTTACTACTCGGCCTTCACCCTAAGGTCCCAGGGTGGGTTACAGCATTAAAAAACAATACAAAAAGCAATCTAAAGCAACTTACAGTCACAAAAATAAAAACATGCACCTCAGCTGCCAAAAGCCAGGGGGGAGAGGTGAATCTTCAACATCCTCCAAAAGCTGTACAGTGAAGGTGCCAGGGACACGTCTCTGGGAAGGGAGTGGCATAGCTTAGGGCATGGGTAGGCAACCTAAGGCCCGGGGGCCGGATCCGGCCCAATCGCCTTCTCAATCCAGCCCGCAGACAGCCCAGGAATCAGTGTGTTTTTACATGAGTAGAATGTGTCCCTTTATTTAAAATACATCTCTGGGTTATTTGTGGGGCATAGGAATTCGTTCATCTTTCTTTTTCCCCTAAAATATAGTCTGGCCCACCACAAGGTCTGAGGGACCCCTGCTGAAAAAGTTTGCTGACCCCTGGCTTAGGGCATGGGTAGGCAAACTAAGGCCCAGGGGCTGAATCCGGCCCACGGACGGTCTGGGAATCAGCATGTTTTTACATGAGTAGAATGTGTGCTTTTATTTAAAATGCATCTCTGGGTTATTTGTGGGGCATAGGAATTCGTTCATCTTTCTTTCCCCCCCAAAATATAGTCCAGCCCCCCACAAGGTCTGAGGGACAGTGGACCGTCCCCTGCTGAAAAAGTTTGCTGACCCCTGGCTTAGGGGCTTCCACAGTGAAGGCCTTTTCCTGGGCTGCCACCATCCCCAAACCTCAGGGTGGAGGATTTATCGGGAGGGTCTCCTCTGCTGATCTCAGCACCCAAGAGGGTCTGCAAGGAGGGAGGTGGTCTTTCTGCTTCACTCCCATTATTCCGACCTTATTGGGGGCCCATGTCTGCTGCCTTCCCCTTCCCACTCCACTCCACCCTCCTGGTTGAGCCGCTTGGGGCTTTGGACTGATGCCCCAGAAGCCCCAAATCATACTTGACTTTCCTGGAGACCAGGAACCTGATTCAGTTTTGTTACAAGCCTGCAGTACTTTTTATAAAGTTTTATTTACGACGTACTTAAGAGGATTTTTCTTCCACCTTTCCAAAACGTTGCAAGGCAGCTCACAGCAAAAACCACAACAGCAGCAAAACACACCCACCCAGCTGTAACATTAAGAAACACTAAAAGCAGCCAGTACAGTTTGAAATGAGGCAGCAGATAAAAGCCACTTAAAAGGTGCACTTTGAAGCTAGCATTGCAAGGAAATTAATATGCGAAAGTGTTATTGTGTTCCTGTACGTCTAAAACAGGAAGTATCAGAAGCAGCTAGAGGCGACAGAAGAAAATGGTTGCACAAGTGAGAATTTTGTTGTTGTTTCTCTTGTATCCAAGAAATATTTTCCGGTTTCGGAACTGCTTGTGACACCTCCTTGTTCACCAACCAAGCTCTCCTCTGTCTGGGATGATAACTTTGCACATGGAGATGAGCATTTAAGAACACAAGAACCTAAGCAGAGGCTGATGGATCAGACCGGTGGCCCATCTGGTCCAGCACCCTGTTCTCACAGAGGAGGCAAACCGGGCGCCTCTTCTGGGAAACCTGCAAACAGGATTTGAGCACGTGAGCCCTCGCTCCCCTCCTGCAGTCTTACAATCCGTACATTTTGTATACATCAACTGATACACACACAAACCCTCGGGTTCATTATATTCAGGATTGTTAGACCAGGGGTCAGCAAACTTTTTCAGCAGGGGGCTGGTCCACTGTCCCTCAGACCTTGTGGGGGGCCGGACTACATTTTGAAAAATAAATAAATGAACAAATTCCTATGCCCCACGAATAACTCAGAGATGCATTTTAAATAAAAGGACACATTCTACTCATGCAAAAACATGCTGATTTAAAATGCAAACAGGCAGAGGCAGCAGATAAAAGCCACTTAAATGCTGATTCCCGGACCGTCTGCGGGCCGGATTTAGAAGGTGATTGGCCCGGATCCAGCCCCCAGACCTTAGTTTGCCTACCCATGCCCTAAGCCCGGGGTCAGCCAACTTTTTCAGCAGGGGGCTGGTCCACTTTCCCTCAGACCTTGTGGGGGGCTGGACTATATTTTGAAAAATAAATAAATGAACGAATTCCTACGCCCCACAAATAACCCAAAGATGCATTTTAAATAGAAGGACACATTCTACTCATGTAAAAACACGCTGATTCCTGGACAGTCTGCAGGCTGGATTGAGAAGGCGATTGGGCCGGATCCGGTCTACCCATGTAGACGAATACCCTCCCATGAAGAAGCATTTTCCAATTCTCCCCAGGACTGTCCAGCTTTGACTGCCTTGACCAGCCTGGAAAGAGCATTGGCAAATGTGCACAGGTGGTCCATCTCAGCTTTCTAAGGATGCTGTCCACATTTTTTGGCTTTCTTCATCAGAACAGCCTGCTTTGAGGGAGGCTGTTGGGGGGGCAGGACTCCAGGTGTCAGAAATATGATTCGTTGCAGGCATGATACATTTGGGGGGGGGGGGTTCCTTAGGGACACCACAGGGTGATGTAGTGTTTAGAGTGTCTGCCTAGGGCCTGAGAGACCAGGGTTCAAATCCCCACTGAGCCCTGAAGGATACTGAGTGATCTTGGGCCTCTCACTGCCTGATCTTTCTTTTTTTTTTTAAAAAAAATAATATTTATTAAGATTTGATAGGTTACAAAAAGGAAAAAGGAAAAATAAAAAACAGCATATTAAGCAAAAACAGAACATCACATCACAATACAGAAAAGAAGGGAAAACAACAACAACAACAATAACAATAACAAAAATAAAATAAAAAATGCAATGAATCTTCCCATAACTTATCTTTCATTTACTTATTTCCTTGACCTCCTCACACCTCCCTTTTTTGTATTCTAGTTCAGTTAGCTATTTCAGCAAATCCTTTCCATCTTTTCCAGTTTTTGTCCTATATTTTATCTTAATATAATGTAACTTTACTTTCCCTCCTTTCACCATTTAAGAATCTATTTTTTCTTAATCCTCTATAGCATTTCTGCTAAAACCACATTACTTCATTCCAACATCCATCTAACATTCCTTAATTTTACAATGTTTCTGTAAATAAACTTTAAATTTCTTCCAATCTTCTTCCACCGACTTTTATCCTCACTGCCTGATCTTGGGCCTCTCACTGCCTCTCAGTCTAACCTACCTCTCAGGGCTGTTGTGGGGATTAAATGGAGAGGAGGAAAACCACGTACGCCACCTCGAGCTCCTTGGAGGAGAGGCGGGGTAAAAATGCAATAAAGAAATAATGCATAGGAAGGGGTATAAAAAGGTAACGGTACCCCTAACCGTTAGGTCCCATCGCAGACGACTTTGGGGTTGCGGCGCTCATCTCGCTTTACTGGTTGAGGGAGCCGGCGTACAGCTTCCTGGTCATGTGGCCAGCATGACTAAGCCGCTTCTGGCAAACCAGAGCAGCGCACGGAAACGCCGTTTACCTTCCCGCCGGAGCGGTACCTATTTATCTACTTGCACCGGTGTGCTTTCGAACTGCTAGGTTGGCAGGAGCAGGGACCGAGCAACGGGAGCGCACCCCGTCGTGGGGATTCGAACTGCCGACCTTCTGATTGGCAAGTCCTAGGCTCTGTGGTTTAACCCACAGCGCCACCCATGTCCTAGGAAGGGGTATAGTGAGCACCAAACTGGATGAAGTAAAATGCTACATTTTCACCATGTCATTCCAAAGGAATGCCACACAAAAATTACGAAGTTGCTTCTCACATACAGTGGTACCTCGGGTTACAGACGCTTCAGGTTGCAGACTCTGCTAACCCAGAAATAGTACCTCGGGTTAAGAACTTTGCTTCAGGATGAGAACAGAAACCGCGCGGTGGTGGCGGCGGCACTGGGAGGCCCCGCTAGCTAAAGTGGTACCACAGTGTAAGAACAGTTTCACGTTAAGAACGGACCTATGGAACGAATTAAGTTCTTAACCCGAGGTACCACTGCACTGTATATGGAAAGTCACCAAAGGAATGAAAAATGTATAGACCTATATCAAGAAAAATACAATCACACACACAAAAAGGACAGCTTAAAAAAAGAAGATTTTTTGGGGTGGGAGGTGTCTGTCAGTGGTACTGTTTATTCTCTATCTGCTATTGTTGGCCACTAGCCACAATGGCTGTGATCTGTCTCCACAATCAGAGGCAGCAAGGCTTCGGAATACCAGTTACTGGAAACCGCAGGACGGGAGAGGGCTGCTTTTGTGCCTGGGTTCCTGCTTGTGGTTCTGGGGCATCTGTGAGGACAGGATGCTGAGCAAGGTGGGCCACTGGCCTGATCCGGGAGACTCTACTTACCGTATTTTTCGCTCTATAAGACGCGCCAGACAATAAGAGCCACCTAGTTTTTGGAGGAGGAAAACAAGAAAGAAAATATTCTGAATCCCAGAAGCCAGAACAGCAAGAGAGATCTGGCTTCTGGGATAGCCTCTTGCTGTTCTGGCTTCTGGGATAGCCCGCAAAGCCTCCACAGGGCAGCGGGATGAAGGCTCACTGCTGCCCTGCAGGCTTTTCTACGAGGAGGGAGAAGGGACTGATGCAGCCAGTCAGTCCCTTCTCCCTTCGGGGAAAAGCCCCCAAGAGCTGTGCGCTCTTTTTAAGGGTGCACGGCTCCTGCGGGCTTTTCTACGAGGAGGGAGAAGGGACTGCCTGCCTTGTCAGTCCCTTCTCCCTTCTTGGGCACACACATTTCCCCTTACTTTTTAGGAGGGAAAAGGTGCGTCTTATGGAGCGAAAAATACGGTACATTCTTACGTTGCGCTGCCCTCGCGTTGTGTTTCAGTCTTGCATCTGTTGCTGTGTGTGTGTGTGTGTGTGTGTGTGTGTGTGTGTTTCACAACGGTGTCCTCTGCACATAGCTGTCAACGTTTCCCTTTTCTTAAGGGAAATTCCCCTATTCCGAATAGGATTCCTCGCAAGAAAAGGGAAAAGTTGACAGCTATGCTTCTGCAAGCCTCCGTTTCTCTGGCAGTGTCTGGAGCGTGACCTTCTGCCAAGAGACCCCCGAGGGAGAATGGATGGGGGCTGTGTTCTCTCAGGAAGCAGCCGGGTGCCAGAAATAGCAGCTGCCTTTCGCCCTTGCTAAGAATGTGCCAAAACTTTGAAAGCCATCAGGGAGCGGATCTTCCGATTCTGCAAAGAGTAAATTTCCACAGCAGGGCTTCTGTTTCTTCCCCTGCAAGCTCTCTCATAGACTCAAACAGGATGGATTTGATTCAAATCAAATCAATTTTAATCAATAGTCAGTAAGACTTGATTTAAATCACTAGTCAGTAAGACTTGATTTAAATCATTTTTTTACAGAAAGATTCAACCTTGCTGGCATTCTCTTAATATTTACAACCAGATGAAGGTTTCATTTTTGGAATAATAAATTTTCGGAGTAGTTTTTACAGTTATATCAAAAATTACTGCTTTGGGTAAAGGTAAAGGTAAAGGTACCCCTGCCCGTACGGGCCAGTCGTGTCCGACTCTGGGGTTGCGCGCCCATCTCGCTTAAGAGGCCGGGGGCCAGCGCTGTCCGAAGACACTTCCGGGTCACGTGGCCAGCGTGACAAGCTGCATCTGGCGAGCCAGCGCAGCACACGGAACGCCATTTACCTTCCCGCTGGTAAGCGGTCCCTATTTATCTACTTGCACCTGGGGGTGCTTTCGAACTGCTAGGTTGGCAGGCGCTGGGACCGAGCAACGGGAGCGCACCCCGCCACGGGGATTCGACCTGACGATCATAGACAGATAATTATGAAATTATTGTTTATATTTGGACAACTTTTCTGCTGTACTTTATTGGAAGGAGAAAAATAATCATTTCCTTAATAACAATTTAAACAATTTATTTAACCAAAGCAATAACGTTATAGCATATGTATCCATGTTTGTTAACCAATGTAGTTAAATGATTTTTTTTCTTTAAAAAAAACTTAGACTGAGTTTTAGCACAGATGAAAAACTTTAAACAAATCCTTATTTCCTGATGAATAACCTTTTGACTACAGTGGTACCTCAGGTTAAGTACTTAATTCGTTTCGGAGGTCTGTACTTAACCTGAAACTGTTCTTAACCTGAAGCACCACTTTAGCTAAAGGCTCCTCCCGCTGCTGCCGCTCCGCCAGAGCATGATTTCTGTTCTTATCCTGAAGCAAAGTTCTTAACCTGAAGCATTATTTCTGGGTTAGCGGAGTGTGTAACCTGAAGTGTATGTAACTTGAAGCGTATGTAACCCAAGGTACCACTGTATAATGTAACTTAAATAGAAAATTATCTTTAGAAAGGTTTTTCCTCCAAAAGCATTTTATTTTAAAAATCCGATTTAAATTTTTTTTAAAAATCTGATTTTTAAAAAATCATTGTTTTTTATCCACCTGGGACTCAAACGGTTGTTAAGTTGGAGAGGTAGCAATCTAGTCCAACCCCCTACAATGCAAGAGTCACAGCCAAGGAATCCCTGATCTCTTTTGATGCTTTCCTTCCTCTGCAGATGGAAGAACTGGTGGGTGAGAGGCATCCTGACTCTGGCGATGATCGTCTTTTTCTTCATCATCATCTACCTGGGACCCATGGTCTTGATGATGATCGTAAGTCTTTGTGGTCTTTCTGGAATCTGATCTTTTCCCAATGGAGGCCTGGGGGTTCGGGAATGGCTTCCTCTTGCCGGAAGGCAGGGCTAGATTCCACCTCCTCACGAGTTTAAAAGGCCATGGGGAAAGAGGAATGTGTTTGCCTGGTGCCTAAAACTACCGTATTTTTCGCTCTATAAGATGCACCAGATCTATAAGATGCACCACAAGACGCACCTAGATTTTGGAGGAGGAAAACAAGAAAAAAAATATTCTGAATCTCAGACGCCAGAACAGCAAGAGGGATCGCTGTGCAGTGAAAGCAGCAATCCCTCTTGCTGTTCTGGCTTCTGGGATAGCTGCGCAGCCTGCATTCGCTCCATAAGACGCACACACATTTCCCCTTACTTTTTAGGAGGGAAAAAGTGTGTCTTATAGAGCAAAAAATACGGTATGTACTGAAGGCTCCCGGCAAGACTCCTTGGGGAGATAATTCCACAAGCAGAGAGCCATCCACTGAGCTCCTTGGAGAACAGCGTGGGATATAAATGTAATATATAAATACAAAAAAATAAATGCAAGAATGCTTATTGTTCTCTTGAAGTGGCCCGGGAATTTATCAAAACTCATGCCCCCCTGCTGTCTGTCTGTCTGTTTGTCCGTCTGTCTGCAAAAGCAGATTTAGGGGAACATGACTGGTTTGGTCGCACTGGGCGCAGAGTCTCGGGGCACCACAACTATGATGTAGAATAGGCGTTGTATGTGAGTGCAAATTTTGGTGTCGTACAGGGCACTTAGGAAATTTGAGACCCCAAAGTCCACTGCTGCTGTCTGTCTGTCTCTCTGTCTCTCAGGTGATGTGTGTGCAGATCAAGTGCTTCCAAGAGATCATCACCATTGGTTACAACGTTTATCACTCCTACGAGCTGCCCTGGTTCAGAACCCTAAGTTGGTAAGTGGAATCAGAGTTTGTGCTACCTGAGTTAAGCTCTAGAAGAAGTCTGGTTTCCTTGTTTTCCATGAGGATATCTCTACGCAGCTCTATTCTTCTATACAGCTCAAGGTGGCTACTGTTGTTAACATTTTCCTTTATAACTGTTAATTTATGACTGTTACCCAACAGTGCATCATACCATATAGAAAGCAAACAATAAACAATAAGAAAAAGGAACCAATATAAATCAAGGCTCCTGTGTTTCCCAAACTGGCATGGGTGGTAAATGTTGAGCATCTCAAGTCTGAAACAAAGGAAATAAAACCCCACCAGATGGCATAAAAGCCTTCTGGACCCTAAATCCCCCTGGAGACACACAGTTCATGTATTATCTTTTCCTCACTGGCCAAAGTCCATAAGTCATTGCCGTATTTTTCGCTCTATAAGACACACTAGACCATAAGACGCACCTAGTTTTTGGAGGAGGAAAACAAGAAAAAAAATATTCTGAATCCCACCTGCATTTGCTCCATAAGATGCACACACATTTCCCCTTACCTTTTAGGCAGGACAAAGTGTGTCTTATAGAGCGAAGAACACGGTACGCCACAAAGCTAGATGCAGATTTTTCAGGGTTTTCCACTGCTGGGCTACTGAAATCCTGGCTGCAGTCCACATCCGTGCCACCAGCTGGCGCTGCAAACATGGGTGGGCCACCCCCCAAGCAACTCACTTTTCATTGGCTCCACCCGCTGTCACTCCCTTCCCCAGCCACTGCTTTCTCTCTCAACCATTCTCTGCACAGAGTGTCTCATTCCAACGGCTGGTGAGAGTTCCATGTCTAGCAAATGTCTAGCTGGGCTCTCAGCTGCCTTCACCTCAAGTCTGGTGGTTGGCTGAGCCAGGTGGTTCATACCCTTAATTCCTAAAGGTGTGGAGGGGGGAGAGTCTTGACCTGGATGTGAGGAGCTTCTGAAGAGTCCATGTGGGGGGGGGGGCTGTTTGGGGAGCACCAGCTACTGTATCCCGTGGATTGCAGGGGGTTGGACTAAATGGCCCTTTCTGTCCCTTCCAACTCTACAGTGCTATGCTTCTATGGCCCCATTTGCATATCAACAAGAGTGGTTACCATTGATGTGATGCGTACATATCCTGGAGCCATTGGCTGTTAGAGGCAGGTAGATCTAGACTAAGGCTACCAGATTTTTTTCAAAGAATCCAGAGACACACCCCCTTTTTTTTGAAAAGAGAAAAAAATTATTTAAAAAGTTATTTTTTATATATAAAAAAAGAAGAAGAAGTAATATCTTCTCTTCTGTGGTCTCCCCTGTCGCGCGGCCTTCCTCTGGGCCCCAGCCTGATGTCTTGGAGTGCTGGCCGCCGTGGAGTAGGCTCAGGTCAGGCCTGGGCTCGGCCACATGTCCTTGCCCTCCCGGTGCTCCCCTAACTCTCCTCCTCAGCGGCAGTGACACGGCAAGGTTGGGGCTCCCCTCTTTTTTCTCCTTCCTCTTTCTCTCTCTTCCTTCTCCTTCTCCTCTACTCCATCTCCCTGTGTTGGCTCCGGGGTTTTCCTGGCCCCGGAGTGCCGCTGGGCAGTCGGCCGGGTGGGTGGGCACTCTCACTCCCGGCTTGATTTGGGTCGCGGCGGGGGGGAGTCAGTGGGTCCCCCAGCTGACACGCTGGGGATCCCCATTTTCCCCTCAGCAGTGGCGGTGGCAGCGGCAGTTTCAGCAGCCCAGAGCCAGCCTGGTAGCGCAGTTGGCTCTGGCTGGCTTCAGGAGCTGCTCGCTGCTGTGGCATCTGCCATTTTGCCGCGCCAGAAGTCCCCATATGATGTGTTTTGTACCGTTGAACCAATCACGCAACATTCATCCCCTACTAATAAATCTACAACACTTAAAATATAAATCCGGGGACATTAAATGAAATCCGGGGACGGATTTTGTCCAGGGGCGGATTTGTAAATCTGGGGACTGTCCCCGGGAAACAGGGGCGTCTGGTAACCGTAACCTAGACCAGCAATATCCAACTAGTCGACCACGATCGACAGATAGATCACCGAGGTGCTGCCGGTCGATCACAGGATTAAAAAAAGTGATTGCCTGGTTGCTCCTTAGCGATGGCTAACAACCTAGGCCCAGAGTACCTCAGGAACCCTCTGAATCTTCATATCCCAGCTTTGAAATGTTGTACAGTGGTACCTCAGGTTAAGTACTTAATTCGTTCCGGAGGTCCGTTCTTAACCTGAAACTGTTCTTAACCTGAAGCACCACTTTAGCTAATGGGGCCTCCTGCTGCCGCCGCGCCGTTGGAGCACGATTTCTGTTCTTATTCTGAAGCAAAGCTCTTAACCTGAAGCACTATTTCTGGGTCAGCGGAGTTTGTAACCTGAAGCGTATGTAACCTGAAGCATATGTAACCCGAGGTACCACTGTATTCCCTGCAGCGGACTGTTGGTCAAGGAATTTTATGTAATCCTTTCCCAAAAAAGCTGAACAGCTATGGTCAACCCCCCACCCCAAAGAAAGCTTAACTACTCTTGCCAACCATTCCTAAAAAAAGCTCCACAACTCTGGTGTCTGCCCCTAAAAAAAACTCAACAACTATGGGCAATGACAATGGATAGATCACTGCCAGTTTTATTATACTGGGCATAGATCACAGTCGCTAGAGAGTTGGATGTGCCTGACCTAGACAACCTTCTGGTGTTTTCCAACACCAGGATCCGATTTGTAGCTTGATCAGCTCATTCAACCGGTTGAAGAAGACTTTCCTAATTTGGTTGAAGTATTTCTCATGAAAGAAGCCTTCGGAGCCTCTCTGAAAAAGATGACGTATATTCTTTCAGGTACTTCCTGCTCTGTGTGAACTACTTCTTTTATGGAGAGACCGTGACAGATTATTTCTTCACTTTGGTCCAGAGGGAGGAGCCCTTGAGGATCCTTAGCAAATATCACCGCTTCATTTCCTTTGCCCTCTACTTAACAGGTAAGCGGGACTCTGGTCTCACGTTCGGGACTTAATGGCACTTGAAGTGGGTTCTTCAAGGATTCCTGGAGCCAGGCGGCAATATGGAGACACGGTGTCCTTTTCTCATTGGGCGCCATGTTTTGATAGAAGCACAGTCTAGCCCAATCGCCCACTTGGTCTGAAGGGGAGGAACACCAGGTTCTCACTTAATTAATTTCTCTGTTTCTGCAGGCTTCTGCATGTTTGTTCTGAGCCTCGTCAAAAAGCACTATCGACTCCAATTCTACATGGTAAGAGAGATTTTCTCTCTTCAGAGATAATAGCTTGTGAAGGGAGAGAGAGAGACAGAGAGAGAGAGAGATGAAAAGGAGCAGGCTGTTCTTATCTTGCCTTTGACTGGCCTTCCCCAACCAGATGCCCTCCAGATGTTTTGACTACACGTCCCATCAGCCCTTACCAGCGTGGCCATTGGAGGGTACCAGCTTGAAGAAAGCTTTTTTCTTTTTTTCTGCATTCCTTAAAACACTTTACGTATTTCCTATGTGTGTGAACAACGGATTGAAGAACAGGGAGGCCCACAACTCCTGCCAGTCTTAAAAGTTTATTTTGCAATAGCCTAAATCATCTTAAGAGGGATGCGGGTGGCGCTGTGGGTTAAACCACAGAGCCTAGGACTTGCCGATCAGAAGGTTGGCGGTTCCAATCCCCGCGACGGGTTGAGCTCCCGTTGCTTGGTCCCTGCTCCTGCCAACCTAGCAGTTCGAAAGCACGTCAAAGTGCAAGTAGATAAATAGGTATCGCTCTGGCGGGAAGGGAAACAGCGTTTCTGTGCGCTGCTCTGCTTCGCCAGAAGCGGCTTCGTCATGCTGGCCACATGACCCGGAAGCTGTAAGCCGGCTCCCTCGACCAATAAAGCGAGATGAGCGCTGCAACCCCAGGGGTCCCTTTACCTTTAAATCTTCTTAAACACCTGAAAATGTATGCTAATACACAAATGGATTAAGCATGAATTAATTAAACATGAGTTTCCAGGTAAACTCAGGCTTGAAGATGACCACCCCAGTGCCCAAATTATGAATGCAGTCCATGCCTTGGTAATTTCGGGGCTGGATTACTGCAACGTGCTCTTCGAGGGGCTTCCCTTGGGTCTTGTTTGAAAGCTCCAGGCGATGCAGAATGCAGTGGCTAGGCTGCTGATCACAGCTTCTGGCCAATAACATGCGAGACCCTGGTTGAAGCATCTGCACTGGCTGCCCATCTACTACTGAGCCAGGTTCACAGTCCTTGTATTAATCTACAAAGCCCATAACAACTTAGGCTCAGAGTCCCTTAGGAACCTTCTGAACCCTCATATCCCAGCTTGATCACCAAGATCATCGCTGGTCATTCCCCGAATTGGTGAGGCTCATTTGACAACAGCAAGGAACTGAGCCTTTAGTGTCACCGGCCTAGTCCTGTGGAACTCTCTGCCACTATAGATATAGCAGGCGCCTCCTGTGCCAACTTTTGAACGCCCGCAGAAAAGTTTTCTATTCTGCGAGGCCTTTGTAGGCAATTAAGAATAAATCATTCTGCAGTGGGTTTATTGGTGTCTGTTTTAAATTTTTTAATGATTTTTATTAAACAGTTTTGTGTTTTTTATTGCCGTACAGTGGTACATCGGTTTAAGAACAGTCCGGTTTGAGAACGATTTGATTTACAAATGCCGCAAAACCGGAAATGGTGTCTTGGTTTGAGAACTTTACCTCAGTCTAAGAACGGAATCCGAACGGTGGAAGGGCACTGGTGGCGGGAGGCCTCATTAGGGAAAGTGCGCCTCGGTTTAAGAACGGGTTTGGTTTAAGAACGGGCTTCTGGAACGGATTAAGTTCATAAACTGAGGTACCACTGTAAACTATGTTGATTTTTTTTTTAATGCCACAGAGGCACACACATGTTTTTATAACTAGATTAATAATACACAATGTAGAAGGCTGTGAAGGGGCAGCTAACGTTCCCACTTCTGTAAGCTATTACTGTAGCTTTGGCCAGGCCAGCCCTTCAGCACCACCAGTTGCCGACCCCCAAGCACAACCAAAGGCTCAGGCCATGGCTGTGAGCAGCTAAAGGGGAGACCCTCCCTGGGCCTCTGCTGGAGAGGAAGGGGCTACGGAGTGCTTTGCCCGTGTCTCAGGTTGCGTGGGAGGATTCAGTGGGCAGAGCCAACGTTGCTCTGGCGGTGGCCCCCCAGATGTTGCTGGACTCCAGCTCCCATCATCCCTGATCACTTGCCATGCTGGCTGGGGATGATGGGGGGGCGGTCCAGCAAGAACTCTGGACCTCGCCTTTGCTCAGTTCAAAATGAGGCCTCTCTCAGCAGCTGAATTGCTGATCAGAACCCTGAGGATGCAGAAATATCTGGATCTGGTCTGCATGGGAGAACGAATGGTGGGTGGACCTTTGGTTTTTTGTTTTGTTTGCAAGAAAGGCATGGACAGGTGGCCTTCTGGGAGGCGATGAGCAGTTTTGGATGGGGCTCCCTCGATTCCAGAGTCAAGCAGCCGTGTGTGTGTGTGTGTGGTCTTTTTGCTAACGCTGTGCCTATCATTGTGGAACGTGGGGTGGCAAATTCCCTGATGTTCTCTCTCTCTCTCTAATCAGCATTTTGGTGTGTGTTTTTGAGAAACGTTGTTTTTTTGCCCCCTGCAAACTGGATTGCATGCTGTTCTTTCTTTCCAGTTTGGCTGGACCCATGTGACTTTGCTAATAGTTGTTACCCAGTCCCACCTCATCATTCACAACCTGTTTGAAGGAATGATCTGGTGAGTTGGTGCTGCTTACTGACTTTCTGCTGTGTAGCGCAGGCCGCCGGGCTGCCTTGAAGGACAAAGAACATAGCATGGGGACAGACCTCTTGCATGGGGCGTCACTAGTAGGAGCAGGAATCAATGGGCCGCTGGCTCTTGCCTTGGGGCAACTGTTTGGGTTGGCATGATGAGATCGGGAGGGGGGGGGAGTTTTCCTGGCATTAACCAGGCAAAAAGGAGGAATCCCAGTCTGCTTTGCTGTGCATGCACGTGCTCTCTCTAAATATGAGGCAGCCACTCAGTGGGCCTTGCAGAGGAACTGCTCTCTGCTCAGCAAAAAAGCAGGTATGCTTCGGGTATTTTCCTGCATGAAGCTTAAAGTCCAGCTCTTGCTTCAATCTGATTTGTAAGGCCAGCATAAGACCGGTTCTGAATTAGTAGCGCACGAGAGGCCCAGAGGCGACTTAAGCTTCTTGTCTGAAAATGCCCTTGCAACCTGAATTGTATGGTCTCCATCATTTCTGTCCTCAGGCTGCACACCTGCTCTTTTAGGGGAGTTCAACCCCATCCAGGACAGGGACACGGGTGGCGCTGTGGGTTAAACCACAGAGCCTAGGGCTTGCCAATCAGAAGGTTGGCTGTTCGAATCCCTGCGACGGGGCGAGTTCCCGTTGCTCGGTCCCTGCTCTTGCCCACCTAGCAGTTTGAAAGCACATCAAAGTTAAAGTAGATAAATAGGCACCGCTCCGGCGGGAAGGTAAACGGTGTTTCGGTGCGCTGCTCTGGTTCGCCAGAAGCGGCTTAGTCATGCTGGCCACATGACCCGGAAGCTGTACGCCGGCTCCCTCGGCCAATAAAGCGAGATGAGCACCGCAGCCCCAGAGTTGGTCATGACTGGACCTAATGGTCAGGGGTCCCTTTACCTTTAACCCCATCCAGGACAGGCTGCCTACTCCATTCCCTAACAAATTGCAAGCTGGGTGGCCTAAATGAAGCCAGCAGCAGTTAAAAAAACTGCAAGATCCTCTTGGGGCCCACGGTCTACTACTCCAACTCATTCCAACTAGGAGAGGCCCAAATGGCAATGAGTTCCGTCACCTAATGTGAGACCTGGTCCATGTGTCCCATCTTCTCCAGATTATCTTCTGGGATAATTCAGTGTAGCAGGAATCCCCACCCCAAATAAATCCATTGGCTAACCTCTCCTAACGGCTGTCTCAGAGTGAAACACTCGCAGTTGGAGGGAGATCACTCTCATTTTGCCAGGTGCCAGAACAATTAATAACCATTCAAGCCATGCCAGTATGAAAGGATAACACATCCAGGTTCCCACAACCAGTGTCTTTCCAGCTGGCTCTCACTTTTGCATAAATTGTAATTTCATTTGTCCAGAGGATAAGGGTGGTTTTTGGCACTTAGCAAGTAACATGGACGCGGGTGGCGCTGTGGGTAAAACCTCAGTGCCTAGGACTTGCCAATCGTATGGTCGGCGGTTCGAATCCCCGCGGCGGGGTCAGCTCCCGTCGTTTGGTCCCAGCTCCTGCCCACCTAGCAGTTCGAAGGCACGTCAAAGTGCAAGTAGATAAATAGGGACCGCTTTATAGCGGGAAGGTAAACGGCGTTTCCGTGTGCGGCGCTGGTGCTGGCTCGCCAGTGCAGCTTCGTCACGCTGGCCACATGACCCGGAAGTGTCTTCGGACGGCGCCGGCTCACGGCCTCTAGAGCGAGATGAGCACGCAACCCTAGAGTCGGACACGACTGGCCCGTACGGGCAGGGGTACCTTTACCTTTTTAAGTAACATGGCTGTCAAAATACATTTAGCGTAGCTTGTCAGTCAGCATAGCAAATGCAGCCACTGGCAGGATTATCTGTTTTTATTTATTTTTTTGCAGATCAAACCAATATTCACACCCTTTAAGTGAAAACATAGCAACTAAAGGCCAAACTGGGCATGATATTCAGAAATGCCAACCTTAAAAAAATGCATCAACAAGGGGGTTGGGAAGGCAAGCTAATGTTGGGATTGCAGCAAACATGGAGAGAGAATTTAACAATATCCTCCCTGCAGTAGTCCTGGAAAAAAACCCTTCCCCAAAAACTAGTATTTGCAGGGGTTGGGGAGAATCCCTCTGGACACTAGCAGGAAATTTCCTTTCAGGGCAAATTGAAGCTTCCAGCTGTAGCTTTTAGCATCATGTATAGTTAGTCCCTGAATGATAATGATAACTATCCAAGTACTTCTTGGAACCATTATGTAAATTTTATCACAGAATGCAGAGACAGGTTTAGCACAGAAAAGCAAAATCTAGCTTTGGCAGCTAATATCTTTGAAAATAACCGAGGGGAGGGGTATGAAAATCCATGCACTTGAAAGATACTTGTGGTTTCTGAAAGCTGAAAGATCTGCTTACCAGCATATAAATTCTCATTTAAACTGAGGTTCGAGAGAAGCTCTGGGCCCTTAACTTGCGTCAGGAGTTCTTTCTATAAAATGAAGTTATGAAAGCACTATTAGGAGTGGGAGTTTGCTGATTGAAATGGCGTCTGCTGGTTCAAATGAATGCATTCATCCACCCATCAGGGGACGGGCTTCCAGAGTGCTATTTCTAAATTAGCAGTTAGAACTCCCTGCTGGCAAGGAGATCTCTAGATCTGAGCCACAGCTGTGGGCTGCTGCCCCTTGCTGTCATCAAGTGTGTTTCTCTCCAATCCAGACGGGTCCTTTGAGTGGCTTATCTAGGTCTGTTTTCCTTCCCCGCTATCTAGGTTTATCGTCCCAATTTCCTGCGTCATCTGCAACGACATCATGGCCTACATGTTCGGCTTCTTCTTTGGACGCACTCCGCTGATTAAGGTTGGTTCTGGTCCCGAGATGGATGAACAACTCATAGGAAAAGCTGTTTTCGGCATTGGGTTTGAATGCCCGCCAGGGCATCCAGCCTGATTGTGCTGTGTGAGTGTGTGGAGTGTGTTTGGCAGGTGCACTTCAGCACAGGAATGTAGAGAGCTGTGTTATACTGCATCAGACCATTGGTCCATCTAGTTCAGTATTGTCTGCACTGGCTGGCAGCAGCTGTCCAGGCTTTCAGGCATGAGACTCTCCCAGCCCTACCTGGGTATGCTGGGGATGGAGCCTGGGTCCTTCTGTCTGCAAGGCAGATGTGCAACTGACCTATGGCCCTTCCCCAACACTATTAATAAAATAACACTGGGCAACAATTTTTTACTTTTTGAATGTTGTCTAGATTTCTACAACTGATTTAGGGTATTTTTGCACTGCTGAATCAGGAAATGGCATCCGTTTCTCTCCATCAGGTCAGGTTTTCTGTAAACTGAATGGTGGGCATTGACAAAGGTAAGTACACGTTAATTGCATGTTGCTTCACCATTTTTCAAACTTCAGGGCTTGAACTTCCGTTTCTTGGAACTCCTGGAATGCTCAGCAGCACGGAGGTCTCTCTTCAGAGTCCAGCAGTAGTCAGCCATCATGACTGCGTCCCAGCGACCCTGATACCTGGTCTCCATCTCTTTCACGTCCTGATGGAATCTCTCCCCCTGCTCGTCACTCATTGAACCCAGGTTCTCAGGAAACCGGTCCTTATGTGAAAATAGGTAGTGCATCTTGACGCTCATGTTGCAGCCCAGGTTTCTGAAAGCAGTCAGCATGTTGTTGACAAGTTCTGCGTAGTTTCTGACCTTATTGTTGCCAAGAAAGTTCTTCACTACCAGAACAAATGCCTTCCACGCTTCCAGTTCCACTTCAATCATTGAGTTTCCGAACTCTGGATCTCTGATGAGCTGACGGATCTGAGGACCGTCAAAGATGCCAGCTTTCAACTTCTCCATGGTCAATCCTGGAAAAGCCTGGCACAAGTAAGTGAAGCAGTCACCATCCTTGTCCAGAGCCTTGGTGAACTGCTTGATTAAGCCGAGCTTGATGTGCAGCGGTGGGAAGAGTATTCTGTCTCTGTCCACGAGAGGGTCGTTGATGACGTTCCTTTCTTTGCAAGGCACCAATTCCTCCTGCACAGGCCAGTCCTTCTTCGTGTAATGCTGAGCATGGTCCCTACTATCCCACATGCACAGAAAACATGGGTACTTGGTGAAGCCAGACTGTTGTCCCAACAAAAAGTTCACCATCTTCAGGTTAACACAAATAAACCACTTATGCTGATCATAAACAATTTTCTCCAGCACATACTTCACCACTTCATAGTTCTTCTTCAGTGTACTCGAGTGAGCCAGGGGTATAGAGGCAAACTGGTTGCTGTTGTGTAGCAGAACACATTTCAGTGATCGCTTGCTGCTGTCAATGAACAGTCTCCAATCTTTGGGTTCGTACTGTGGCACTCCAAGCTTGAGCAGAAGCTGTGCAATATCTGCACAGTACACCAAGTCCTTCTCTTCCGAGAAAAAACGGAGGTACTCTTGATGCCTGTTGCGCAAGAAGCTGATGCGAGCACGGTCAGAGAGGAGGTTTTTTTCCTTCAATCTGGATGCCAACAGTTCGGCAGAGTCCTTTGACAAGCTGAGGTCGCGAACTAGATCATTCAACTCCTTTTGGGAAAATGGATGTGGAGCATCATCTTTAAGAACCACTTCTTCTTCTTCATGTCCTTCAACACTGGAGGCATCTTCGTCACTAATGTCAGGAAGTTCTCCGAAGATAGGCACTGGAATTTCATCACAATGAGCTACAGGACGACGTGCTGATTGAAGATCAGGATACTTCGTGGGGCGGCTGCCCCATTAACTTAGTTTTGATCCCCCAACTTTATGCTTTGCCACACCAATTTATGGAAGATTTCGAGGTTTTATGACTTCAAACTGATCCCTTTTCGACATAATCACCCAGAACTATCGGACCTGAATACTTCTTGTCATTAAAATAATCATTTCCAATCAAAACAATTATTTGACAAGGCATTTTACCTCCACCAACTTCTTCTAAAATGCTCCACACAAGCGTACATGTGAACAAAAACGTAAAAAAAAGACATGTGGCCATAGCTCAAAAACTTGACCTGATTGAGCAAAACCAATGTGATTTTTGGATTCAGCGCATCAGATTCATCCTAAATCAGCTGAAAAAACGCAGACAACAAATTTGTTGTTGACCAGTGTAATTTATTATTTATACCCCACCCACCTGGCTGGGCGGCTTCCAACAAAATATTAAAATACAGTAATGCATCAAACATTAAAAGCTTCCCTAAACAGGACTGCCTTCAGATGTCTTCTAAAAGTCTGGTAGTTGTTGTTCTCTTTGACATCTGATGGGAGGGCCTTCCACAGGGCGGGTGCCACTACCGAGAAGGCCCTCTGCCTGGTTCCCTGTAACTTGGCTTCTTGCAGTGAGGGAACTGCCAGAAGGCCCTCGGCGCTGGACCTCAGTGTCCGGGCTGAACGATGGGGGTGGAGATGCTCCTTCAGATATACAGAACCGAGGCCGTTTAGGGCTTTAAAGGTCAGCACCAACACTTTGAATTGTGCTCGGAAACAAAACTTAGTTTTGGGACTTCTGTCCCATCCGATGTGTTCATGGAGACTCTGGTGGCTTCTGCAGCTCCTACCTTTTAACGTTCCTTACCTGTTCCTGTATCTGCAGCTCTCCCCAAAGAAGACCTGGGAAGGCTTTATTGGAGGGTTTTTTGCCACCGTGGTGTTCGGCCTGCTAGTAAGTTGCTTCTTTCCCTATTAAGTTAAGAACAAAAGTCGTGTTGGGCCTCGGAGCAAGAGGCAGTGTTACCCATAAAGCAGCCTGATGGAGATGGATGGTGGAAGTCTGAGGCCTGTTGAGGGCAATGGGCCTGCCCTACAGAGCACCGTCATCCCACCAGGAAGTTCTCTGAATGGTAGCCTGCGTTTGCGAATTTGCAGTCATCACCTGAGGCCCTTCTCCGTGTGCTCCCGGAGGGTGGCAATACGAGAACGGGCCTTTATAGTGGTGGCTCCCCATTTCTGGAATGCTCTCCCCATGGGGGGGGGGGCTACTGGCGCCAGGCAAAAACCTTCCTCTTCGACCTGGCCTTTGCCTTTTAACTATCTATTGCCTTTTTCCCTGGGTGGGATGTTTTAATGTAGGTGGTGCTTGTTTTGCTTCAGATATTGTTAAGTCACTTGGAGTTGCTGTGGCAAAAAAAAAAAGAGCGACAATTTTAATAATAATAATTCACTTCAGGAATCCAGAACTGAAACATCAAGTAGCTATCCAATAGAACAATATTTGGGCTCAGAGCCTGAAAGAAATGTAGGCAAAGCATGAGAATAATTCACACATTTCAGTCATGTCTGGTTCCCAAGGTTCCTAGCCAGGGGTCAGCAAACTTTTTCAGCAGGGGGCCGGTCCACAGTCCCTCATACCTTGTGGGGGGCCGGACTATATTTTGAAGGGAAAAAAAGATGAACGAATTCCTATGCCCCACAAATAACCCAGAGATGCATTTTAAATAAAAGGACACATTCTACTCATGTAAAAACACACTGATTCCTGGACCGTCTGCAGGCCGGATTTAGAAAGTGACTGGGCTGGATCCGGCCCCCGGGCCTTAGTTTGCCTACCCATGCTCCTAGCCATCCAGCTGGTCCACTTAAAATAAATATCTGAAGGGCTGCCACATGGAAGACTGAGCAAGCTTGTTTTCTGCTGCTCCAGAGTGTAGGTCCTGAACGAGTGGATTCAAATGAGAAGAAAGGAGATTTCAAATAACCTTTAAGAATACAGTGGTACCTCGGGTTACAGACGCTTCAGGTTACAGATGCTTCAGGTTACAGACTCTGCTAACCCAGAAATAGTACCTCGGGTTAAGAACTTTGTTTCAGGATGAGAACAGAAATCGTGCAGTGGCAGCGGGAGGCCCCATTAGCTAAAATGGTACCTCAGGTTAAGAACAGTTTCAGGTTAAGAACGGACCTCCAGAACGAATTAAGTACTTAACCCGAGGTACCACTGTATTCTGCTTGGAAGAGTGATTTGACAGTGGAACAGACTTCATTGGTTGCTGGTGGACTCTCCTTCACTGGAAGTTTTCAGAGGTCGGATGGCCATGTTTAGTGAAACTGGGAACCGACTTGTCTGTTCTGACTGTCGGACCCATCTTCTTCAGGAAATGCAATGGCGCCCAGCACGCTTTCACTGCCCGGTGCAGAGAGTTTCTTCGGCAGCAGTGTGCCTGTGTGTTAGGATTTAGCATCACGGCAGTAAAACTCTTACACATCTTCTGTTCTACGAAGCTTTAATGTACAGCAGCAAAACAGTAAGTCAGCCAGGAGAGAGCGATGACACGTTGCCTCTCCTTTGCAGCCAAAACAGAAAGTAAAAGTAAGTTCACCTTCGTACGTGATGTCATTTCCCTTGAGCTATTAACCCTGTAAGCTCTGGGACACCTCACAGGCCACCGGTCAGGGATTCTCTAGTTCTCATTCCTGCTTGCAGGGGCTTGGACTAGATGGCCCTTCCAACTCTGCTGTGATTCATATCAGAGTTCCTTGGCAGTGATTCACCTTTTGCCTCTTCCGTTTCCCCCAACCCAGCTGTCGTATGTGATGTCTGGATACAGATGCTTTGTGTGCCCCGTGGAGTTTAACAACGACACCAACAGCTTCACCGTGGACTGTGATCCCCCTGAACTCTTCCAGCTGCAAGAATACAACATCCCCTTGGTGCTTCAGTCTGTCGTCGGCTGGGTAGGTATCCAGGTTGGAGCGTTCAGGTTTGGAAAACTTCTGAGAACATAAGGAGAGCTTGCTGGATCAGGCCAAAGGCCCAGCCTGTCCAGCATCTTGTTCTCATGGTGGCCAACCAGATACCTATAAGCCAGGACCCCCGAGCACAAGGGAACTCCCCCCTCCTGCGTTTTCCACAACTGGTATTCAGAAACTTTGCTGGTTCCAGCAGCCTAGCCTAGTAGTCATTGATAGCCGTATCGTCCATGAATCTTTTATGAATCTCTTTTAAAGCCATCTAGGTTAGTAGCCATCACTTCCACTTGTGGGAGAGAGTTCCATAGTTGATATCTATGTGCTGGTGCATGATTTCTTTTACTATTATCATTAGATCATTTATATCCCACCTTTTTCTCCAGGGAGCTCAAGGTGGTTCTCCCTCTCCTAATTAAATTCCGCACAACAACCCTCTTGTGGGAATGTTCAGGGATGCAGGAGAGGATATATTGTTTGATTATATCCTTTTCCAACTTGTGTTAACAAGTTCCACAATTTAGCAGAGTAACACTCAGCTTTTTTAAACTTGGAGCGGATGCGTTTGCTCAGGCTCGCTAAAGCCTCTATAATAACTGTTCTGGTATTTTCCCCTTATTCCCTCATAAAAGATATGACACGACACAGTCTTCTATAAAAGTATAAATAGAGTTTACTCACATTCTGTTCACAATCAGATCCCAGGAGGCAGACTTAGCTTAGAAAAGTAACATACAGCTGGAAACTATCTCATAAGGAGACAGTCCCTTTGTCCTCTCTTGGCTGAAGCCAAGAGAGCATCTTTGGTTAAGCAGATGTTGCTTCTTCAATGCATGTAGTCAAAAAGAGAGAGATGGCTCCCCTGCCTTGTGCTTTTGTTGTTACCTGCACAGGTGAGGCCACGCCCACCTCTAGTCACATGCAGAGGAAGTCTGTCCCAGCCCAGAAGGAAACAGGAAGTTTGCCTGCTGGCTGGACAAACATTCCGCCCCATGTGTAAACATGTTCACTCTAGGAATGTTGTACTTGACTGCTCTTGAGTTTCACATCCCACACCTCTGAGGTAGGATAGGCTGAGAGGCAATGACGGACCCCTGAGCTTTATGGCCAAGTGAGGATTTGAACCCTGGTCTACAAGGTCCTAGTTCAACAACCTAACCATTGTGCCGCACTGTTTTACTAAAGCGGGTGTGTGCGATGATTGACGGCTCCCAGCTTATACGTTCAGCAGAATCAAGCACAACTTTCCCTGGACTGTACCAGGGCAAGTGAGGGAGGGTCTGAATCTACCCTACAAAAGCAAGCTCCTTCGTTGAGAAAATGAGGACGTATGAGAGAAATGTTCTGCCTCTGCGTTTTGCTACATGTGGACATTTTGGGAAGGGGATGTGTGCGGGGGAGAAGGATTTGTGGGGAGCACACATATATAGATATAGTGCTTCCTCCCCCTACATAATTGCGGTCCAAAAATGGTGCAGTCCAGAAAAAAAGAACAATTCTGCTGAACTTGTGGACACCCAAGAAAGCTGAATGTCGGGTGATTCAGGACAGATGAAGGAAAATGTTTCTGCACGCATTGTTAAACTAGGGAACTCCCTTCCGCAGGAGACACTGACGCCAACGAACTTGGGTAGCTTTCAAAGAGGACTGGGCAAATTCATTTAGGAGAGAGCTCTGCTCATGCTTCTGAATTCCTGTTGCTGGATATCGCAGGAGGGAAAGAGTGTTGTTGTGCTTGAATCCTGCATGCAGGGTAACTGGCTGATGAGAACAGGATGCTGGACTAGATAGGTTATCCTTACGTTCTTACACTGGTTTGACATCATCTGATAGGAAGTGGCTACAGAGGGTGGTGAATACAGCATAAGATATTATGGGCTGTCCCGTGAATCCGCTGGATGAAATAGCGGAAGAACGTTGCCTCAGGAGAGTGAGGAAAATTCTCAGAGATGATTCACACCCTGGCCGGCACTTTCTTGATCTCCTGCCCTCAGGCAGAAGATATAGAAGCATGATTAGTTGCACCAACAGGGTAAAGAACAGCTTCTATCCATGGGCTGTTAGGCTGCTGAATGAAAAGATAACAACAGGGCAACTGACTTTTGGGTTTGGTGGGTGTGCGTCAGTAAACAAGGGGAAATTAAGGCTAAGAGAGCTGAGTGGGGTTGCTTGTGTAATCTCACTGTATACAAGTTGTACAAGTGACAATAAAGTATTTCCATTTCAATTTAAAGTCAGTCGTAAGACTGCGAGTATAATAGGCAGGATTTGCAGAGCTGTTTTCCAGCTCACCTACCCGCCGGTGTGAGGTTCTGGCATGGCAGAGCTTCTTCAACTGACAATGACCCCCCATCCCCTTCTCCTTTATCCAGAAAACAGTTCGGATGTACCCCTTCCAGATCCACAGCATTGCACTCTCGACTTTCGCCTCCCTCATCGGTCCCTTCGGAGGGTTTTTTGCCAGCGGATTTAAAAGAGCTTTCAAGATCAAGGTATGGCACAGCTGGAAAGGGAGGTGGCCTTGAAAGTGCATGGTCAGGATGGCAGGTCTATCAAACCCACTTCAGTTCTAATAAAACGTTCCCTGGAATATATTTGTTATCACTATATTTCTCTGTATCCTGCCTTTTCCCCCAGACTCAAGGCAGCTTACACAGATTAAAACAACACAGATAAAGTACAAAAAAGCTAAAAACATGTAAAATATTATTTTTAAAGTAATTAAAACTCTAATGGAATAGTTATCTAGATATTATATTATGCCCCACTTTTATTATCTACACATCAAAATGTCTTGCAGTGATAAAATGTACAGTTTACAAAACTTAAAACTGTTTTTACTGTATATGTAAATTTACAGGGGTTTTTTCTATAAAACAATTAAATGTTTATATAAAATATAGGAGCTCGATTTCAAAAACAGAAATCCTTCTCCTGAAAGTCTGGGTTAGTAAACAAGAAGTGAAACAATTTAGATTCCATAACTTCCAGTGGGGTGTGAACAGACTCAGGACTCTTTGTTTGGTAGGGGCTGATGGGGTTGGAAATTAGTGATGATCTTTTCCTCCTCCCTGTTTCCTGGTGTCAAGAGGGCAGGTGGGTTTGGATCAGGAATCCCCTCCACCTGCCAGGGCATACACACACTCTACTTTTCTCCCTCAATTGCGCAGGACTTTGCCAACACCATCCCAGGGCACGGAGGCATCATGGATCGGTTCGACTGCCAGTACTTGATGGCCACCTTTGTGAACGTATACATTGCAAGCTTTATCAGGTGAGATGATGGTTTGGTTTGGTTTGGTTTGGTTTGGTTTGGTTTGGTTTGGTTTGTTTGCGGGTCGCACCATCAATCCTTGGGTTCTCTTTTTCTCAAAGTACAGTGGTACCTCGGGTTAAGTACTTATTTTGTTCTGGAGGTCCGTTCTTAACCTGAAACTGTTCTTAACCTGAAGCACCACTTTAGCTAATGGGACCTCCCGCTGCCACGTGATTTCTGTTCCCATCCTGAAGCAAAGTTCTTAACCCGAGGTACTATTTCTGGGTCAGCAGAGTCTGTAACCTGAAGCGTATGTAACCTGAAGCGTATGTAACCCGAGGTACCACTGTATATGTTTATTGGCTTTTGAAAATGCAGCTGTAAAAAGGCAAAGAGATGTACAGCTCATTAAAAATAGAACAAAGAACCACAACTGTGACTGAACGGAGTACAGAGGTTTTTTACAACATCATCGATATTAAGAAATAAACATGGAGTGATGGGTCAGAGTGAAATCAGAACAGAAGCCATTAGTAAGAGAATTAATGGGTTGGGGAAGGGAGCAGTCAGAAACAGGTCTAGGCTAGGCAAAAGAAATATCCATCAAGAGAAAGGCAAATATCCCTCCAGAGCTATGCGTGAGTCATTGGAGGTTTGTATAATACGCTCTTATTGCTTATAAAAGTTACAAATGACTATCTTGAATGGGTCTGGTTCAGCCAAACCTCAGTTGACTCTGGGACGGTGAATCAAATATTCTGACGGTGCAATTTTCCCACACCATCTCTCATAATCCTTGTGTTCTCAGTTCAGAGGATAGGAGGGTGGAGAGAATGTGAGGCTGGGATCAAAGGGATTCCTCGCTCAGTGGAGAGTCTGACGGTGGAATTGAAAGGAAGACTCACCTTAGCCATTAATCCCAGTAGCAACATAAAACAAGGCATGGGTCTACAGCAGGGTTTTCCAATCCTGGGTATCCAGCTGCTTTTGGACTACAACTCCCATCATCCCTAGCCAGCAGTACCAGTGTCAGGGATGGTGGGAACTGTAGTCCAGCTGGCAACCCAAGTTTGGGAAACCCTGGTCTGTGGGAAGCCTCCCCTTCCAAACGTTCCCAGCCTGGTGAGGTAACATGATTGCCTTATTCTTCTTCACTAGAGAGCCAGTGTGGTGTAGTGGTTAAGAGCAGTAGTCTCGTAATCTGGTGAACCGGGTTCGCGTCTCCGCTCCTCCACATGCAGCTGCTGGGTGACCTTGGGCTAGTCACACTTCTCTGAAGTCTCTCAGCCCCACTCACCTCACAGAGTGTTTGTTGTGGGGGAGGAAGGGAAAGGAGAATGTTAGCCGCTTTGAGACTCCTTCGGGTAGTGATAAAGCGGGATATCAAATCCAAACTCTTCTCTTCTTCTCACTCCAGGGGTCCTAATCCGAGCAAGCTGATCCAGCAGCTGCTAACTCTGCGACCAGATCAGCAGCTGAACATCTTCAACACGCTAAAGGCCCACCTGGTGGACAAGGGCATGCTGGCTGGCTCTGAGGATGCGTAGGCGCCTGTGACGTCAGGATGGGACTGAGCATGGGCAAGCCCCTCACCCCCCAGAGGAAACCCTCTCCCAGCTTGCCTGATTTAGGACAATAACCAAGCCTCATGTCTCTCACTTCCTTTTCCATATAAAAGGTTTGCATTTGTGCATTTTTAAAAAGAAATGTATCTATATCTCTGTGGCGGTGGTTTGGAGCAAACAGAGGGGAGCTTTGAGCTGGGAAGGAACTGTGGCCCGGAAGGAGGCGCTCGGCTGATGGTTTTGGAAGGTGGTTTTACCCCTCGGATCTGCCCGGTGGTTTTTCTTATTCCCAGATGTGTATAGAAAGTCGTGCAAGGCTCGTTCTACTCTCAGAGCAGCGGGGCTTTTGTGGCGGGGAGAGGGAAGAGACAGGGAAGAGTGCCAAATAGTTTGGGTTAAAAAAAGAAAGAAGGCAGGGGTGTTGAATCAAAATTACCTGGATTATGCACTCCTGTTCCACCATTCTGGCTTCCATATCCGTGAGATGGATCCGGTGCTGCGTATTGCATTTGGCAAACGCCCAGGTTCCTAAGTCCAGTGAAGTGAGCAGCTTTCCCCAATCTGCGCCCCCGTTCACCACACAAACATCCAACAATTTGGTGGTGCAGAGAGCCATCCTTAGTGCCATGTGTATAATGTTGAGTGGGTTTTCACAGAGGTGGGTTGGAGATCTTGCCCACCCCCAGGCCAGCCAAGAAAATTGGGATCCAGGGGCCCTTTCCTCACGGAAGCAGCTTGAGAGCCAGGAAGACTCAAGGACAGCGATGCCAAATGTCCTAAGTGGCACTTCTGCAAGCGTGTGGGGGCAAGGCGCTGCCCTGGAAACAGCTGCCCTTGTCTCGTTTCCGTGCAGGGGAAATCCCTGCCAGCAGGAGAAGGCGCTTCCTCTTCTAACCTCTTCTAAATGGATGCATGTTGCTCCCTGTCCTTGTGGCGTCGCCATATTTCTTGCATTGCTGGCGGAAAAGGATGCAAAGTTCACCTGCTGCTGAGCTGTTCTTGATAAGCAGGGAATATCGGGGCATTTATCTTTATGTTCCTGAAGCAGAGCGAACCATTTGCAACAAAAAAAAATTGGAAGACCATGAAGGCAAATGCATTTTTATTTTTATTTTTTTTAGGTTTTATTTCACAAATCCCACTGAACATTTTTTTTGGATATTTTTTGCTGCTTCTTTTTTTAAGCCTTCCTTAATTTTGGAGGAGAAGTACCTGAATAGATGGATATTGAGGCAGGACACCTGGCCTCCTGGGAACTTCAAGGGGTCGTAAAGGAGCAGAGGCTTGCCATTGTATTGTCCAGCTCATGCAGCTGTTTTAGTCCCTGCTGTTGTGAGGCTCCTGTTTGTCTTCTGCCCCCTCAAACGCTCCCACTGGAGTCCTCGTTCCCAAGGCACTGGTCCCACTCTCAGTTGCAGAAAGGGACTCTCAAGACTGAAAGCTCATGCATAAAAAAGGCATTATCAGGACTCAGAAAGTAAGAGGGTGAGGATAAAGATTCTGTTCGTTTTCCATTTGAAGGTGTGTGTTGGAGTTTATTTGGGGGTTTATTTGTTTTGGGTTTTGTTGGAAGGAGGAAATTTCAACCACGTTGAGCCCCCATCACAGCCTGAAGTGGTCCAGCCTTGATTCAGATTTACGCATGCTTTGAGATCTGGGCCTGAGTCACGGAGCATCTGCTAGCTTAGGTGTAATACCACGCAAGTGTCTCTTGACGTGGTTCCAGTTCAGGGTCAGCCTTGACCGTCTGTGCTGTCACTTCCTCTGCGACAGAAGAGAGTGCGTGAGGAGCACTTTGCTGATTAGCTTTTTCTTCTTTTTTTAAGGTGTATTTTTGAGAGCTGCTCACTTAATACTGTTTTGCTGCCTCTTCTGGTATATTCCCTCATCCCATCTGCCCCAAACGCTCTCGGGTTCGGAGTCCAGGCATCTGAAACCACAGGGTGGGAGAAGCTTATTGAGTTGAGGGGGGTTGCAGGGAAATATTTTTGCCCCATTCTTCGTTTTCCTCTGCTGTCAATACGCCCCCCCCTCCCCAAAGGAAACAGTCTTTATTCCTGATCTAACGATGGCCTTTTAACCACAGCTGACCCCAAAATTGGACATGCCTGCCATTTTGAAGTTTTGGGTTTTGAGACCTAAAAAAGGGCAAGTGTGTGTGTGTGTGTGTGTGTGTGTGTGTGTTTGTTTGAACTTACTCAGTGTTTTGACCTTGGGCGAAGCAGGACAGAAGCAGAATGGGTATGTGGGACAACGGGTGGCCATGCAACAGTAATTAATTAATAAACAAAATTGGGGGAAGGGGTTCAAGGGGGGGTCTCTGTTTCATTGAAATGTCATTGACATTTCCTGATTCCAGCTAAATTCAGCTATTTGACTGGTAGCCACAATCCCTTACATCCTGCCTCCGAAAGGGAACTAGAAATGAACAGTGTATCCTAGACCTATATATACCTGCAACAGCCAACAACACTTCTAATATATAAGGCTCGTTGTGTGCACTCTGTCTGGATAGGTGCGCGCTGTTCCGGGATTGCTTCTCATGGCAATGCATTTTTAGGTGGGTTCAGTGTCCCAGCGCATGAGTGACATGCTGGACACCCCTGCAGTCTACAGATCCTTGCAAGAGCCAGTCTTGGGTATAAGTCAAACAAAGTGCTGGCATTTCTGTTGCAAAGGCACCACAGGAGCACCCCTGAGAACTGGCACTCATTTAAAGTTACCCAGAACAGGAAGAATTCACATCCCGGTTTTAGTCATTAGATGACAACATTATAGACGGTTTTATGTTCGATATCTTTTTTGTTTTGTTTTTAATGGCGTATTAGTTTTCTCTTTCGGGGAGTTCACAGAGGGCTGTGACCCATCCATATTAGAAAAGGGCTGCTCAGGGATCCAGAGCATTAACCCAGAAACAGCTGGTTCCTCCAAGGGGCTGAGGTGTAAGTGGGAGAGAGTCTCTCCTGCCCAAAGGGAAGCCTGTGGGTCTTACTCCAGTTGCACACAGGTAGCAAAGGTCTGGCACATAGTAAGGGGAGCAGCAGGTCACAAAAGGCAGTTTGGCATGCAGTGGAGTTGCTTAAGGGGTCATTAGCGGTGTGGGTGTATTTGCTGGTGAAAAAACCCTGAGTTGGCCTGGAGTTGAGCAGGATTAAATTGGGGCGCCGTAGCTATTACTTAGAGGAGTGTGTACTCCATATTCTAGGCCTAGTCAGGCCAAAGTGTGTCCTTCTCCCTGGTTGGCTGGCCTGATTGCCTGGCACACGGTGTGCGCGCACCAGCAACCCAGGTGGAGCTGGAGGTGTGTTGCGCGTCACACGTGAGCCAGGTGACCTTGGCCCACCTCCCCACAATCCCAGTGGTAGCTGGGCCCTGCACACCTCTCATGGGATGGGGAAGGTGGATCCAGAGGGGTTGTGTGAGGAGGCTGGATTTCACAGGGGTTGGAGCTGGGCCCAAGTCCGGATTCTGCATTCTTTGGGACTGAACTCAGTCAGGAGAGAGACACCAACACAAAGCAGTGTCTCTGGAGCAGAAGCCGGGCACTCACTTGCGAGGCGGTTGTGATGCTTTGAGTGGGGATATGGAAGGCTGGCTGAGTGGAGTTGGGGACAGAAGAACTGGGGAACACTGGTCAACTCCCTCTCCCCCCAATTAAAAGACCCTTTGCTTAACTGGTACTGGTGGCTTAGCAGAAGTATGAGATTTGACGTTTCAGGAGCTCGAAGGCTGACGTCCTCATAACTCCCCTTTGTTATATCAAAGAGGGGGTCCCAGGGCATATCTTTTGGGGTGCTCTGCCACTTGTATCTGAGGGGGACTCCTTGCCCCGCTTGCTAGCAAGGGCTCCCAGAAGGAATACTTAACTGCCTCTAGACAACAGATTTCCCAAGCATCAAAGCAGACTCTTCGCCATCCCTTTCCAAGCTGTCTCAGTCCCTCCCTCCCCAATTCTTTCTGCTAACAGCTCTGTATGTTTGGAGGGGTAGCTTAGGTTGACAGAAAAGTCCCACATTCACAATATCTAAAGCTGGCAATACAACCATTGTGCTCATCGGCATGTCTGTGTCAACGAGAACTTGTGAACCCCTTTGATGCCCCCTTTCTGCACTCACAGACTCTACCCTCCTGTTTTTCTTCTTCTGATGCGGATGTGCTTATCCCTTCCACAAATCCTCTGCTTTATTTCTCTGTGCTTTTGTCTTTTACAGGGGGAATGTTGGTGGTTGGTTTCTTTTGGGTTTTGTTTTCTTGCAGACACTTGTAGGCTTGCCTCTGTTACTTTTTGGTTCATTTGACTGTCAGAATGTGAAATATTATATAAAGGTATTTTATCCTATTTATATACGGTAATATTGTTAAATAAAAATGTATCTAAACTGTTTGTGTGCGTGTGCGTGCAGTTATTTACACCACGCAGAAGGGTTCGTTTTATTCTGTTCTGTTTTTTGTTTTTTAAAATTTTTATTTGCATTTTCAAAAACAGGAACAGAGAGCATATTTAACCCCCTCCCCTTCCCTCCCCCATCCCACTTACAACTTTGTACCAAAAACTACTACTACTACTACTACTACTACTAATAATAAAAAATTATTTATATCCCGCCCTCCCCAGCCGAAGCCGGGCTCAGAGCGGCTAGCAACAGTAAAAATAACACAGTTTACATAAAATCACAATCAATTAATTGAAATGCATTCTAAAATCAATTCATTCTAAAATCAATTCATATATACTATATGATTGCCTGTCACTATGCATATACTATATTACTGACTGTCACTATATTAAATGCCTGTTAAGATGTGATTGTACTCTACAACAGCAGGTGGTTGTGCTGGTTGGGGGTGCTGTTGGGGAGTCCAAAATGTCTGGGGAGGCTGATCTCATGGAACACTGTCTTTGAGAGTCCCATGGGCTGCAAGAAGATCAAACCTATCCATTCTGAAGGAAATCAGTCCTGCGTGCTCACTGGAAGGACAGATCATGAAGCTGAGGCTCCAATACTTTGGCCACCTCCTGAGAAGAGAAGACTCCCTGGAAAAGACCCTGATGTTGGGAAAGATGGAGGGCACAAGGAGAAGGGGACGACAGAGGACGAGATGGTGGGACAGTGTTCTCAAAGCTACCAGCATGAGTTTGACCAAACTGCGGGAGGCAGTGGAAGACAGGAGTGCCTGGCGTGCTCTGGTCCATGGGGTCACGAAGAGTCGGACAAGACTAAACAGCAACAAATTTTTGACATTATATTTAGGGGGGGAACTAGTCCTATACACGGAAAAATATGGTATATATAAATTTTTATTGGTTTTACATAATTTTACACATTTTAACTTTAGCCATTTCTAACATTAAACTAAAAGGTTCGGACCTCTATGGGTTCCGTGTTTAAAATAAAGTATTCTGCATCTTTTACCCTTATCCAGCTATTATATATCCACAGTTACCATAGTTGATTCCACATTACAAGTGTCATTACATCCCTGCCAAATGTTTAACTGTTTACAGTGGTCTTTTAAATATATGGAAAATTAACTCCAGTCTTTTAGGAATACTTGACCTTCCTGGTTTCTGACCTTCCCCGTCAGTTTTGTCATCCCTGCATACTCCATCAGTTTAGTCTGCCATTCTTTTGTTGGTACTTCTCCATCTCTGGGCTAGAAGCATTCTCGCTGCGATTGTTCCATACATAAAAAGTCTTTTATCTTCTCTTGGTAGCTCTTCACCTATTATGCCTAGTAGAAAGGCTTCTGGTTTTTTTAACAAATGTATTTTTAATCATTTTCTTTAGTTCATTAAATATCATTTCCCAGACAGCCGATGTACATGTCCACCACATATGGCAAAGTGTACCCTTGTTCCCTTTACATTTCCAACACAAGTTTGAACTAGTTTTATACATTTTTTGCAATTTCAGTTGGTGTTGGATACCAATGACACATCATTTTCATATCATTTTTCTTCAACAAACAGCACGTAGTAAACTTTATGTCCTCTTTCCGTAACTTTTCCCAAGATGAAAGTTGTATATTATAACCAAAATCTCTAGCCCAGTGTATCATCACTGCCTTAATTTCTTCATCCTTTATATACCCTTCCAAAAGCAATTTGTACATTTCTGATAATACAAATTTGTAGCATTGTTCACAGTCTGGTCTAAAGGTGACGCCACGCTCGCAGCATGTTGCCAGATGTTTCCCACAGTCATGAGCACACACAAAACCCATAATACTTTATGGTTGTAATCTCCCTCCACCCCCAGGGCCGGATTTAGGTTTGATGAGGTCCTAAGTTATTGAAGGTAATGGGGCCCTTTATATGTCCAGCTGTCCTTTAACAACAACAAATAGCCGCTGTTTTTTGTGTTGAATATATGCTATATTGTAATTTATGGACCTAATAGGTATCTAAAGCCATTTGTGCATGCAGAATGTAGGCACCCTGTATATAGAAATGAGCAAACCAATGATATTTTAGGGAGCAGGCTAGCAGGTGTGGCCCATTACTTACATCATGTAAAGGTAAAGGACCCCTGACAGTTAAGCCCAGTTGCGGACGACTCTGGGGTTGCGGCGCTCATCTCACTTTACAGGCCAAGGGAGCTGGCGTTTGTCTGCAGACAGCTTCCGGGTCATGTGGCCAGCATGACTAAGCCGCTTCTGGCGAAACCAGAGCAGTGCATGGAAATGCTGTTTGCCTTCCCGCTGGAGCAGTACCTATTTATCTACTTGCACTTTGACGTGCTTTCAAACTGTTAGGTTGGCAGGAGCTGGGACTGAGCAATGGGAGCTCACCCCGTCGCAGGGATTTGAACCTCCAACCTTCTGATCGGCAAGCCCTAGGCTCTGTGGTTTAGACCACAGCGCCCCCCATGTCCCCTCATAGGAGCCTACACAACACAAAACACTTGCTGTGTCAAGGTTTTATTTTACTTGTTTTTTATCTTATAATTTGGAAATGTACATTCAGGTTTTTTTTCCTTTAAATTTTTTGGGGGGGCCCCTAAGAGAGAGGGGCCCTAAGCTATAGCTTGTTTAGCTTATACCTAAATCCGGCACTGCCCACCCCCCAGCGCATGAGTGATGTACAAGCTGCAGCCCCCACTTCCTCAAATGCGCTAACACAGCAGCACCCATGCAGCTCCATGAACCAAGCCTGCAAACTGTTTCAGGGTGTGTGCATGTGCCGGTCTTACTCCACGTTTGCACGTTAGTAGGGAGCTAAATGCAGCTAGAGCCCAGGTGCTCTCCAAAGTCCTTGGGGGGGATGGAGGGGTGCAGGTTGGAAATAAACTGATATTTGCATTGCACCTGGAAATTGAAGAGACTGAACTGGAAAATAAAAAAAGAGAAGTCCTTTGGGTTTCTCACAGAAGATCACAGGAAGTTGTTGGCAAACCAACGTCAACCGAGACTTTTTTTCTTCTTTCAAGTAAGCCCAGAAGGAAATTAAATATATATAAAGCACGCACACACAATCTGTGGAGGAGATTCAGACCCGCAGTTCAGACACAGTTGTGCAGAACTTCCCGCCACTGGAATTGGGATGTCTCTCAAGCTGCCACGGAATTGGGATCTCAACCTGAAGATGGACATGTCTAAAATAGGTAGGGCTGTTTTTTCTTGACTTCATTTCTAGATGGTCCTCCCTCATTTTGTCCTCTCAACGACCCGGCGAGGGAGGCCAGGCTGAGACAGAATGTCTGGCCCAAGGTCACCCAATGAGCTTCCTGGCTGAATGGGGATTTGAACCCAGATTTCTCTGGCCCTTGTCCAACACTCTTGCTGCTCTTGTTTCCTTAATCTCTTGCGTGTATCAAGGACTGCTTGGGTTTCGTGAGAACTTGGAAGTGAAGCTCCCCCCCTTTAGCCAAAGGCAGACTTCCTCTGCTGTTTACAAACCTCTGCACAGCATTTTCCCCAGGCCGTTTTGGGCCCAGGGGCCACATCTACAAAAAGATTTCCAGATTAGCTTGCCTCCTTATCTCAGACATGTTGCTTGTCTTTTCTACGCATCTTATGATCTGATGCAGTGTCAGCGTTTCAGCTTTTAATTCTCTTTTTATATATAAAAAGGAGGAAGTTGGATTTTTCACCCTTTTGATTCTGCAAATGAGCAGGCGGTGATCACTTGAGGGGACGAAGTTTCTGTACTCTGAAGTTCTGTCCTTCTCTTTGAGCTCTTCCCCCCAAACTTTGCCACTCCATGATCGACTACATCATGTCATTATTCCTCAGTTTCACCTGTCTTTCTGGCCACCTCACAGCTTCTGAACAGAGGGAGCAAATGTTTGTCCCCAGGGCCTCTGTGAATATAGGGACCCCGGGCAGAAGGATTAACCACAGCAATTCTGCAAGAGAAAAATATTTGCATGTCTGTTGGTATCACTTGAATAAGCCCCTGAGGGAAGGGAGAAGATCTTGGCAGCAGAAAGGTCCTAAAGGCCATACTTTTCTCTCCTGCTGCTCCCTGGTCTCTCTCTCACAGGGGTGGGGCTCTAGGTCCTCATAATCGGGGTGTGAAAGCAGCCGCCCCATCTCCCATCTGTCCTCAGCACCTGACACTCTCAGATCTGCTGCTTCTGTGAGTTGAAACGCAGGACCTGCTGCAACGGCCTGTAGCCATGGCGGCAGCGGGCCATATTTGGGGCTGGTCTACCTGTGTCCTGTGCTCTTTCCAAGGTGGAAGAAGGTGCCAACTCCTCGGGGGCAAGGGAGCTTTGGTCCCCCCAATAAAATATTTGAGGGGGCTGCCCACACAAGTTGATGGGCATTGCCATTAAAATGGTGTGTGTGCACCATGTCATGTGATTGATTATGTGGGGTGGGGCTTTGTTGTTGTTGTTGTTGTTGTTTAGTCGTTTAGTCGTGTCTGACTCTTCGTGACCCCCTGGACCAGAGCACGCCAGGCACTTCTGTCTTCCATTGCCTCCCGCAGTTTAGTCAAACTCATGCTGGTAGCTTCGAGAACACTGTCCCACCATCTCGTCCTCTGTCGTCCCCTTCTCCTTGTGCCCTCCATCTTTCCCAACATCAGGGTCTTTTCCAGGGAGTCTTCTCTTCTCATGAGGTGGCCAAAGTATTGGAGCCTCAGCTTCAGGATCTGTCCTTCCAGTGGCCACTCAGGGCTGATTTCCTTCAGAATGGATCGGTTTGATCTTGCAGTCCATGGGCCTCTCAAGAGTCTCCTCCAGCACCAGAATTCAAAAGCATCAATTCTTTGGCGATCAGCCTTCTTTATGGTCCAGCTCTCACTTCCGGGGTGGGGCTTACCTGCCCCCAATATTTTATTCAGGTTGGCACCCTGAGAGTGAGTCTTACCTTTCCTACCTCCTTTGCACAAACTCTTTTTGGGGGTGGGCACCCTGTGGAGCAAAACATTCTTCTGCATTTGTGCTGCCAAACCTTTTTCTGCCATTCTGTATAAGTTTCTAAATGTGACCAAACCCTTTGTTACTTGAACTGTGTCCCCCAAAGCACAGGAGATGTACGAGGGGTGATGCTATAGCAGCAGGGTGTGCAAAACGAGTAAGTCTGGCTCCTCCTCCTAACGCTGCAATCAATAAACCCACGTCAGCTGTGCTAAATCCAGGGGCACTTTATTCTGAGTAACGGCACCAACCATCGTACCATTTAGCACGTTCTCTCTGCTTCTCTTGACGTGGAGAAGGTCATCACGAAATAAACCGAGAAAAGGTTTCACAAAATAACGGATGTTTCCAGCACTAAGGTTTTTTTGCTGAGCGCCTTGAAAACACGAAGCACTGCTTCTTCCTGCTTGTGTTTTGAGAGCCTGTGACAGGAAGCACCCGGAAATGCCCTGCAGCCGACATTTCGTCTCTGAGCCGTTTTTTTCAGTGTGCAGAAAATGCCACCAAGGCATGGGCATGTTACCTGCAGTTTCCTCTCAAACTGAAATATGAGGTGCACATTTTGCAGCTCTGTATGAACTTGCTCTTATATCTGTAAGTTCTCCGGCTTGTATCTGTTGCAAGCCTATTTGCATTCGTTCCTCCATTGTTTTCGCCGTCAGTTCTTTTGGAATCAGCGGTAGGCTGCGGGGCATCAAAGCAGTCCAGAAGGCAGCCCACAGGTTGAGATTTCCTGCTGCACAAAGAACCACAGTATTAGAATGGCAAAACAAACTCTGCGAATTTGTAGAAATGGCAAAATTGACAGCAATTATTAGAGGTCACTCAAATCAGAGAATAATCAAAAAGTGGGATGGAGTGAAGGAATACATGAAAAAATATTGTTTCAGAATTGAATTGAAATATTAATAGATAATGTGTAAAACGTGCAGGGGTAAGCAAGAAAATAACAATAGAAATAACTGAATAATTATTAAATTATAACAACACAATAAGATAGAAGAAATAAAATATTGAGATCACACATGGGTGAAGGGGAGTGGGGGGCATGTAGGATCTATAATATTATTTATAATATAAATTTCTTAACTGCGATGTATTTACATATAGCAAAGGGAAGCCTAGAGTAATGATGTATATTTTAATTTAGGTAATCTATGTAATAGACTTGAGCAACTTGTTCGGAGAGATGGACTTTGAGCAGAACCAGGGTGCTATCCTTAGACCAGCTAAGCAGCTGCTAGAGCAGGGGTGGGCAAGGTTTATCAGCCAGGGGCCAGATCACTCCCATGGAGATTGTCCGTGGGCCAGACTGGCACAGCACGATGCTAGAAATCACTTCTGCGCATGCCCAGACACCGAAAATTACGTCTGGGCAGAAGCAGTTTTCAGCGTCTGGACATGCGCGGACACGATTTCTGGTATCTGCACATGCGCAAATGTGATTTTTGGCGCCGCTTGGTGAGTACCCGCACCGCACTGTGCTGATTTAGCGCAGCACCGGGGGGGGTACTTGCTGAGTGGGTGGCTCGGTTTGGAGGCAGTTTGTGGGACGGTAAAATGGTCTTCGTGGGCCACATCGGCCCAAGGGCCACACATTGCCTACCCCTGTGCTAGAGTGCAGACTTCAGAGAGGCACAGTTACTGACATTTGAGTGGCACAGTTTTATACAGATTAGTTTTTGTTATATCCTATAAATTTCGGATACTTTGTTTTTATTTTATATTTTGAAAGCTCTGACTTATAAAATAATAATAATAATAATAATAATAATAATAATAATAATAATAATTTATTTATATCCCACCCTCCTCAGCTAAAGCCGGGCTCAGAGCAGCTAACAACAGTAAAAATAGCACAGTTTACATAAAATCACAGTCGATTAATTGAAATACATTCTAAAATCAATTCAGAATCAAATTAATGGCATTGGGCTAGAGTTCTGTGAGGATTACAGAAGGAGGGGGTCAGACTGTGCCTTGGCCAAAGGCCTGGTGGAACAGCTCTGTCTTGCCGGCCCTGCAGAAAGATGTCAAGTCCCGCAGGGCCCTAGTCTCTTGTGACAGAGCGTTCCACCAGATCGGGGCCACAGCCGAAAAAGCCCTGGCTCTGGTTGAGGCCAGCCTAACCTCCCTGTGGCCCGGGACCTCCAAGATGTTTTTGTTTGAAGACCGTAAGGTCCTCCATGGGACATACCAGGAGAGGCAGTCCCATAGGTACGAGGGTCCTAGGCCGTGAAGGGCTTTAAAAGTTAAAACCAGCACCTTAAATCTGACCCTGTACTCCACCGGGAGCCAGTGCAGCTGGTATAGCACTGGGTGAATGTGATCCTGTGGCAAGGACCCCGTAAGGAGTCTCACTGCCACATTCTGCACCCGCTGGAGTTTCTGGGTCAGTCTCAAGGGCAGCCCCACGTAGAGCGAGTTACAATAATCCAGTCTGGAGGTGACTGTCGCGTGGATCACAGTGGCTAGGTCAGGGTGAGAGAGGTAAGGAGCCAACTGCTTAGCTTGGCGGAGATGGAAAAATGCCGCCTTTGTTATAGCTGAAATCTGCGCTTCCGAAGAAATTACTTGGCATGCTGGAAGATTGAAGAGAGATAAAAGAAAGCCCATCCATAGCTCAGCTATAGAACTTGCTCCCATAGGACCAACCTAAATGGCTTTAAAAGAAGGTTAGATGAATTCATAGAGGGGAGGACTATTGATGGCTCTGCTCTGCCTCTACGGTCAGAGGCTTTTGAATACCAGTTGCTCTGCAACTCACAGGAGGGGGAGAGTTGCACTTGTGCTTGAATCCTGCTTTTGGGTTTGCAACAGGCCACTGTGAAAACAAGATGCTTTTCTTACATTCTTAAAAACAACAACAGCCCTTTTCGCTGCAATATTTTCCACCCCACCCCCTTGCAGACGTTTGTGCTTCTGGGAAATAGTGTTTTCCCCAGCAGAGGAAACAGCTTCAAACCTCTGGGAGGTTTAGATCATAAAATGGTTCTTCTCCGGAAGGTTTCTTTTCTTTAAAGGAAAAGACCCGATTATGGATCTCTGGTGTCTCGCCTCGATTGGGGCTTTGTGTGACAGATCAACGAAGCTCCCGCTTCGCAAAAGCTGGGTGGCTTATCCTGTCGCCATTTGTTCTTCCTGCAGCTTTTTCAGCCAAAAGGCTGATAATGACAAAGGCAATGAACTTCAAATGCCAAGGATCAGAGGAAGGAGACAATACGTTAATTCCACCTTACTTGATAAGACAAAAAATGAGCTTACAAAAGAAACACAGAGTGCAAATGAGTCAAAGCAGGCCAAAGGTGCCTGCGTCTCACTTTCCCTCTCCTGCCTCCGTTATCACAGTAGTTTGTGTGTGTGGTTGAGCAATAACTCAACAAGCATTTGGACTGTTTGGAAACTTCACTTGCAGCTCAGATGCCATTTCTGGACATCGGAAGCTGCCCCATATGGAATCTGATCCATGGTCCTTCCAGGCCAACTTCCCCCAACTGCATACTCCCCAAAAAGCTTGGGACTACAACTCCCTTCAGATCCAGCATCCTAAAGTTGAGCTGGCTACGGCTGATGGGAGTTGTAGTTCAAATCAACATCACCATCATTTCATCATCTATAATGAAATTATAATTTATGATTTATAATGAAATTTCCCCAGGCACTCTGGGCAGCTCCCAGCACAGAAAAATGTTTTTTTTTTTTAAGAAAAGAAAAGAGTCAACAACATCCCCAAGAACATCAGTGAGCTTACAGGGAACCAGGCAGAGGGCCTTCTTGGTAGTGGCGCCCTCCCTTCAGATGTGAAGGAAATAAGCAGCTATCTTATCTTTAAAAGACATCTGAAGGCAGCCCTGTTTAGGGAAGTTTTAAATATTTGATGCTGTATTGTTTTTAACACTCGATTGGGAGCCACCCAGAGTGGCTGGGGAAACTCAGCCAGATGGCGGGGTATAAATAATAAATTATTATTATTATTATTATTATTATTATTATTGCCTGAAGCATCAGGCCAATGGCCCATCTAGTGCAGCATCCGGTTCTCATGGTGCGCAATCAGATGCCCCAACGGGGAAACCCGCAAGCAGAATTTGAGCACAATAGCCCTCTCCCCTCCTGTGGTTTCCAGCCAGGGGCGTAGCAAGGGGTGTGTGGTAGGTGTGGTCTGCCCTGGGTGTCCCCATTGAGGGGGGTGACAAAATGGCGGGTGGCACTCACCGTGGGGCCTGCCTGCAGCGTGCCAGAGCCATGCGTCTCAGGCATCCGCAAGCTCCATGACGTCCGCCCGCTGCTTCCCCCCTCCCCCAGCTATAGGGCGGCTGAGGCCCTGACCCCCGTGGCATGCCTCATCCCTAAGGGCACCATGCCACGCCCCACGCCCTGTCCTGTCCCTATGGGCACCGCGCACCCCATCCCACCCCTCCCTAAGGGCGCCGTGCACCCTGTTCCTATGGGTGCTGTGCACCCCGCCCCTATGGGTGGTTCTCCCCACCCCTGGGCGCGCCACCCCAGGTGCCCAAGAGGCTTCCTCTGCCGCTGTTTCCGGCAACTGGTATTCAGAAGCTTGGCTGCCTTGAACTGTGAAGGAAGAACGTGGCCTTTTCTGGTGAGAAATGTTAGGTACTGAAGTTCTCACCCTGGGCCAGCAGGGGATACTGTAGATAGTTATGCAAATAAGGGATCGAAAGTGATGTTCAGTGATTGGATAGTTTTAGAAAATTGTTACAGTTACGTTGTACTGGAGCTCCATATAAGCAGGCTGACTGAACCCTTCAGTTCAGTTCTGTTCTGGCCTGTGAATAAACAAGAGCTGTTTGAAGAATCGCTGTGTCGTCTGATATGTTCACCCACAACTTAACAAGAAAGGAGCTTTTGAATTCTCTGCCTTGCTTGCTGGGCAAGGCCTGTTCAGCACTCGGACTTTAGAAGGCAAGGGGATTCTCTTTTTCTCATCCTTGCACCCGCCTCACCACGGGGGCAGCTCCAAGGGTTTAGGTATACAGTGGTACCTCGGGTTAAGAACTTAATTTGTTCTGGAGGTCCATTCTTAACCCGAAACTGTTCTTAACCTGAGGTACCACTTTAGCTAATGGGGTCTCCCGCTGCCGCGTGATTTCTGTTCTCATCCTGAAGTAAAGTTCTTAACCCGAGGTACTATTTCTGGGTTAGCGGAGTCTGTAACCTGAAACGTCTGTAACCTGAAGCATCTGTAACCCGAAGTACCACTGTACACACTTTCCATGTATACACAGAACCCTTGTTGGAACAGAACCCCTGTGTAAGATGCGTTTGCACTGCGTTGAATTCACATCTCCTTTTACCCACAACCTGATCCACAAGCCTCCAGCAGAGGGAGCACATTAGCTAATAATGATACTTAACCTTTACAGAGCTGGAGAGAGTTTTATGCATTACCTGCTGACAACAGCCCTGTAGAGCAGGTCAGGTCCCGTATTGGAAGTACTGAACCTGAGCAAGAGCCCACTTGACATGGGCAGTTGAGTCTGCCTAGTTTCTGGCTCACTTCTCAGCAGCTTCAGAGTCACACTCAAATCAGTTTCATTTCCACTTTGCACCTTATTGCATGGCTGCTGTGTTTCTGCTGAAGCAAATATCTGAATGGCCTAATTTAGCCCTTGACACTTTGGGGAGGAGCCTTAGCCTGACAGGGCTGTTGCTGTTGTTGACTTGGCTTCAACAGCATCTCCTGCTAAGGGATTTGGAGCAGCAAACTTGAGGAATGAAGGGCCAGATTTAGGTCTGATGAGGCCCTCAGCTACTGAAAGTAATGGGGCCCTTTATATGTCCAGCTGTCTTTTGTCCACAACAAATTGTCACTGTTTTTTGTGTTGAATATATGCTATTTGACGTTTTCATCCCCCAAAAGTTTTTGATTTGAGTTTCTTCTGAAATGAGGCTGCATCTTAATGTTGTATTTTAATCTTGTTTTTAAGTTGTATTTTAATCAATTGTTTTTATAGCTGGTGTTAGCTGCCCTGAGCCCAGTCTTGGTTGGGGAGGACAGGGTATAAATTATTATTATTATTATTATTATTATTATTATGTAATTTATGGACCTAATAGGAATCTAAAGCCATTTTATTTGTTTTTATCTTATATTTTGGAAATGTACATCCAGGGTTTTTTCCTTTAATTTTTAGGAGGCCCCCAAAAGAATGGGGCCCTAGACTATAGCTTTGGAAGGAGATCCAGGCAACACAACAGAAATATAAAAAACTGCATGGCATGGCGAAAGTGGATAGAGAAAGGTCCCCACCCCACCCCATTTCCCATAGGAGGCTGCCATGGCCACCAGCCAAGATGGCTTAAAAAAGTTGTTGGCATCCGTCTGTCTCAAGAGACAATGGAGTGCACCTCCGGGGGTGACGTTAAACTGCTTTGTTAGATGCTACAACCAAGTGTTGGGGCCCTCCAGACAACTGGATGGGTCTTCCCTCCACAAGCACCCATAGCTGCTAGGAAGGAGAACAATCGCAAGAGAGAGTGTGGGTGAGCTGAGCTGGAAGAAGGCTGGCCGCTAGAGACACAGGGACCTGCTAGTTCTGTGCTGAATCCAAAGCTGCAACTAATGGAGAAGAAATATCTGGGGTGTGAATGCTTTGAGCCCCTCAGTCTTATGCTCAGGTTGTGTCTTGTCAGCATCAGAACCAGTGAAGGCAGTGAAAGTCCTGTGTGCGTGTCTGGAGGCGGTTGGAGGATGGATGGCGGCTAACGGATTGAGGTTGAATCCTGACAAGACAGAAGTACTGTTTTTGGGGGACAGGGGGCTGGCTAGTGTGGAGGACTCCCTGGTCCTGAAGGGGGTAACTGTGCCCCTGAAGGACCAGGTGCGCAGCCTGGGAGTCATTTTGGAGTCACAGCTGTCCATGGAGGCGCAGGTTAATTCTGTGTCCAGGGCAGCTGTCTACCAGCTCCATCTGGTATGCAGGCTAAGACCCTACCTGCCCGCAGACTGTCTCGCCAGAGTGGTGCATGCTCTAGTTATCTCCCGCTTGGACTACTGCAATGCGCTCTACGTGGGGCTACCTTTGAAGGTAACCCGGAAACTGCAATTAATCCAGAAGGCGGCAGCTAGAGTGGTAACTGGGAGTGGCTGCCGGGACCACATAACACCAGTCCTGAGAGATCTGCATTGTCTCCCAGTACGTTTCCAAGCACAATTCAAAGTGTTGGTGCTGACCTTTAAAGCCCTAAAAGGCCTCAGTCCAGTATACCTGAAGGAGCGTCTCCACCCCCATCGTTCTGCCCGGACACTGAGGTCCAGCGTTGAGGGCCTTCTGGCGGTTCTCTCATTGCGAGAAGTGAGGTTACGGGGAACCAGGCAGAGGGCCTTCTCGGTAGTGGTGCCTGCCCTGTGGAACGCCCTCCCTTCAGATGTGAAGGAAATAAGCAGCTATCTTATCTTTAAAAGACATCTGAAGGCAGCCCTGTTTAGCGAAGTTTTTAATATTTAATGCTGTATTGTTTTTAACACTCAGTTGGGAGCTGCCCAGAGTGGCTGGGAAACTCAGCCAGATGGGTGGGGTATAAATAAATTATTATTATTATTATTATTATTATTATTATTAGTCTGTCTCAAGAGACAATGGAGTGCGTCTCCAGGGGTGAAACCAAACTGCTCTGTTAGCTGCACTGAAGTGACCTCCCTGGGGCACAAGCCATCCTGGTCTGCCCAGAGGACAAGATGCTCCTCTTGTCCTCACTGATGTGGCCCAAAGGAAAGCAGAGCAAGACGTTTGGCACCAACAGGAGTTGCTGGAAGGAGGTGTACAAGGCACTATCCAGTTGTCTTAGGGACTCCACTCCAGATTTGTATAGGGTTTACTCCTTGGCCTTTTCTTCTCCTGAAGATATCCTGCAAAGCAGTGGAGGTTTAGGACCAGAGTTTTCCTTTGCCTAACTGGCTTCCTTCCCAGGGGGATGAGCCCCATCTGCCCCTCACTTCCCTCCTACAGAAACCACCTTTCTATGCCTAATAAGAGCCAGTGTGGTGTAGTGGTTCAGAGCGGTAGACTCATAATCTGGTGAACCGGGTTTGCTTCCCCGCTCCTCCACATGCAGCTGCTGGGTGACCTTGGGCCAGTCACACTTCTCTGAAGTCTCTCAGCCCCACTCACCTCACAGAGTGTTTGTTGTGGGGGAGGAAGGGAAAGGAGAATGTTAGCCGCTTTGAGACTCCTTAGGGTAGTGATAAAGCGGGATATCAAATCCAAACTCCTCCTCCTCCTCCTCCTCCTCCTCCTCCTCCTCCTCCTCCTCCTCCTCTTCTTCTTCTTCTTCTTCTTCTTCTTCTTCTTCATTATTAAACCACCTTTCTGACCATTGGACCCACTCTTAGTCTCATCCGCTCAATCTGTTGGAGCTGCCTGCACATGCAGGGGGAAATCCCAAACTCACTGAGGGTTTGAGGCCCACTGGCTACCCTCACCTGGTTTAGTGGGCCAGTGAGAGCTGTTTCCTGGGGTGTGGCCACTGTCCCACGCCGACAGCCTTTAGGAGTCACAGGTGAGAGCTGGGGGTCAAAAGTGTGCAAACTCCCCCAGAAGGAACATTCCTCCTCTCACACCCCCAAAGATAAAACAATAAAATTATCAATGAGAAGAATGAACAACAATAATTTTAAACATTCAAAAGTTAAAATAACCGTAGACTAAAAACAGGTTAAAACTCCCATCAACTTTCTGAACACCTGATTAGGTTTAGAATTATGTAGTTGGAAGCAGCCATCTTTTGCCCAGTGTGGCATTCCTGGCACAGGACACAAATGTCCTCTCCTGTTTTTTCTTGGTGGCTGCCAAGGAAGGCCCCCGCCAGGTCTCCCTCATTCCTGAACAGCCGCATTTAATAAGAAAATCTGATGCCCTGGTTGGCAGCTTCTTTCGGTTGCTTGCCTGCATTTGTGAAGACGAACGCCCACGCAGGAAAAAGGAAGTCCATTTGAACAAATAGCTGCGGTGGCTTCCTTTCTCAAAGCTACGGGCTGCCGCGAGCCCCGCCATCCGCCAGCAATATCTCCTTGGGCTCACTCCTCTGCTCTTTGCTCCATCGGTGCAATGGTGGATTTTCCTCCCTGACGGGTCTGAGCCACTTCTGGGCCAGAAACGCCCCCTGGCTTTGCTCTGGTGTGTGTGTGGGTGTGGGTGTGTGTGTTCTCCCTGCTCCAGCTCACTGCCTCTTGCTTCTCCCCCAGTCCGCTCCCAGAGCATGATGGCCGTCGACCCGAAGGGCTCGGGGAGCTGGCCCCATCCTCCCAACCTTCTGGAGCGACCCCTGAAGGCCGGCTGGCTGAAGAAGCAGCGCTCCATCGTCAAGAACTGGCAGCAGAGGTACTTTGTCCTGAAAGGGCAGCACCTGTATTACTACAAGGATGAAGAGGACCTCAAGCCCCAGGTACTGTTCAGGAAGAGGGTCCAGAGGGATCGCCCTGGTGGTCTGGGCTCTCCATGGGCCAGGGGGAAAGAGCTCAGTCTCAGGAAGAACTGGCCCAGGATGTTCTGCCACCTGAGGCCCAACAGCCACCTGAGGTGACTGAAAATGGCCAGGGGAACCCCTGGTGCTCTGAAGGTGGAGAAAAAAGGAAGCCGGAGAGGAGCAGGTGGTGGGGCAGTGGGCGACAAGCACAGGAGGTGGCGCCCTTGAGGCCCCCAGATCTGCTGCCCCTACCTACTGTCCCGAGCCTGCCGCCTGAGGCAACTGCCTCACAGAGCCCCATGAGTGGGCCGGCCCTAGTGGCAAGAGAGGCTGTGAAAGCAAAGTCAGTGAAGTTCTTGTGAGGTGAGCTTGAGGGGGGGGGAAGGGCTGATTATATTGTCACACCTCAGAAGAGAGAGGCGAGATGGAGCAGCCCCCGAATTCTTCCCTGGCTCAGATTGAAATCCGAGCCGGAGAAGGTGATTCTGGCTTGACTCCTGCAAGTTCTCTTCTGCCCCACCTGCAAGCTAGTGGAGCTGCTTTTCTCTGCTAGCTTGTATGGGGAGGAATCTTGCAGGGGCAAAATCCAAAGGGTGGCGGGGGGCTCTTTTTTTGCCCCTGTAGTGCAGATGTGGGAAGGGCAGGGGAGATGGGCAAACCATGGTTTGATGTAGCCTTCTTTTGAAACCAACCACTGTTGATTCGTGCTCTGGACAATATGACAAACTAAGATTCAGGGAAAGTGGGCAAAGGGGTGGGGGGAGCTGGTGGTCCTTCTCCTGGCTGTGGGGAGGGGCTGGGGCAGGGCTTGTGGGGGCTCCTCCTTGCTTACGCAGCTCTCACTATCCTGCAGCTCACATAAAGTGTGAACCAGATTCTGAACTTTAAACTTCTTTGGTAATGTTATCCGATATAAGGCCTTGTTGGTTTCCTCTACATCTAGTGGCGTCCCACTGCTGATGTTGGTAGTTGGCCACAAGCCATATCTATCCTGTTGTTGCCTATGGAAAACTGCATTTTGATACATTTCCCCCCCCCAAACCAGCTTCAATCTGAATTGAGAAGAACGATGACACAGCTGCATTTTTAGCTGGCAATGTGTACACAGCCTTGGTGGCATTTTCATGTTTTAAGCGCTGAACAAGTTGCCGGCGTCATAAGCTAAATATATACCCAGCTTCCTTCCCCATTTCACAGAGCAGCTGGTATTACACTGGTGGACTATATATTCTCCTTTTTTCATGATGTAGATTAAGATTCACGAAACCAGATTTTGTGACGCCGTCACCAGAAGGTTTGCTAGAAAACGTTTGTAGAATGTTTGCAAAATGATAAGCTGCCCCCTTAAGTGGATTCTACCACTGGGGAGGTCACTCCCACAAGCTTTAGTGGTAGGCAAATGTTTAATAGCATGAGTAAAATTCACCAAGGACAAGTCTTTTCAAAGGGCTCCTGAATAGAACCTCCATCTTCAAGAGAAGTCTATCTCTGATGCTGGGCACAGAGAGCGGTCACTGTCGCCTTTATGCCTCTGCCGCTGCTTCTCAGGGGCAGTGGGCTAACCATAAAATGGGGGCCTAGAACAGGGGTTGGCAAGGTTTACCTCGCGCGGAGATTGCTCCGTGGGTAGGTCATGTCTGCGTCTGAGCAGATGCGATTTCCAGTGTCTGCATCTGTGCAGACGTGATTTTCAATGCCACGGAAGCAAGTCACCACTCTGCGCTGCGCCAGTTTAGCGCAGCACACGGGGACTCGCTGAGCGGGCAGCTCGGTTCGTGGGCGGCTCATGGGCCGTTTAAACGACCCCCTTGGGCCGCTTGTGGCCCATGGGCTGCAGGTTGCCAATCCCTGGCCTAGAAAGATGCACTTTGCTCTGACTCACCAAGACAGTTCTTTTTTTCTTACTTTTCTGCACACTGCTGGGGGTGGGGAAAGGCCTTCCCTCCCACCCCAAACCAAATTACCTCTAAAGACCCTCACTCATTGGCAGTGATCTTGTCAGCCCTTGCTCAAGAAACTCTTCACTGGGGTGCCGACTGACTTTTAATAAACAATGTGCCCCAAACAAATCATGACCCCCTAAAATAGAGGAACATGGGCCCAGATCCTGTGCTTTGAGTAGCAGGTCAAAATCTGCAGAGATCAGTAGGTAGTCACCTAGAATCACAGAATTGTAGAGCTGGAAGGGTTCCCAAGAGTAATCTGGCCCAACCCCTTGCCCTGCAGGAAGAAGCTTTCATGGTGTAGTGGAGATGAACTGCCATCAAAGGCGCAGGAGCAGGGGCTGGTTAAACAGTTGGCAGTGTTGCAGGAATTTATGTATAGGTTGGGGGGGTGGTTGCCCCTCCAGCAGATATCATGCGCATGCAGCCCCCTACCAAAATCAGCACAACCGCTTTTTGTGACTTTTGTGATTCATCCCCACAAAACACTTCATCACAGTTTCTTCCTATCTATTCAAAGGACCTCTGCTGCACAATACCAAATGTAAGAATTCACTGATAAATGTATCTATACACTGGCTCACTGGGGAAACTTCAGAAATTCATATAGACATGTGAGCTCAGCTACTCAGCAGCCCCTCTGCCTGAGTGATAATTCCTGGCATCCTGATACCTGAGTGCCAGACAGGTAGCCATTCCAGAAATAACAAACCCAGATGAAGACAAAAGGGTGTGATTAACTTGGCTGGGAAACAGGGAAATATAAATACAGTGGTACCTCTAGATACGAACAGGATCAATTCCGGAGCCCTGTTCGCATCTAGAGGTAAACGTAAGTAGCGATGGCACGTCTGCGGACACGCGCTTCGCTTTTCGCCACTTCTGCGCATGCGCGTGACGTCATTTTGAGCGTCTGCGCATGTGCAAGCGGCGAAACCCGGAAGTAACGCTCTCCATTACTTCCGGGTTGCTGAGGAGCGCAACTCGAACACACTCAACTCGAAGCATATTTAACCCGAGGTATGACTGTATCTCTTTTGTTATACTTGATGGGTGTTTGGTGGAGGGCAAGGGTCCAGGATGCTCAGATTACTGCCACCAGACCTCCCCTTTCATGATGTAACCATGATGTATTAGTGATGTAGTTTGGGGGGCTGTAACATGGGGATTAGCAGCTAATAAAAGTTTGGGGGCTCTTTTGTTCGGGGCTTCCATCTTGTTCCACCTTGTGGCAGTTGGGAGTCCTGTCGCGACAGTCTTCAATAAAGACCAAGCCTACTGGCTGCTGTTTTGCTCTGGTATTCCTGGCTGGTGTCCTTGTTCTTTGTCCAAGGGAGCCCTCGGATTTCTCTGTTAACAGCAGTCTCATCTGCCTGAATCTGCTCGGCTTCTCTGCCCCCACCAATATAGTTCCTCTCTTCTGATTTCACTTCCCATTTGCACAGGTCCGTCCTGGGTCTTGCTCCACCCACACGTCTGCTTCAACCTCCTCCTGCCTTTGACTTCTGCCACAGTGCTTCCTGTGGCAGGAAAAGACCCTGCAGCCCCACACACTTAATCTGTCACACCCACGAGTTATCTGGCAATGATGTGCAATCTTCACAATAAAAATACTTTGCACCTTTTTATTTTTATTTTTAAGTGCAATACAGTTGAGTAACCATGAAAACACCCAAGGCAGCCCTTGCTACCAGTTCGGCTCAAATCATCTGCCTTTTCCTCGTGACTGCCCTGACTCATGACGTTGTCGTCTGAGCTCTTCCTTCGGCATGAAGAAAAGGCTGTGTCTCCCTTCATTGGGGCAGGGTTGAAATTCCACCTTGCCTGCCCCCCGCCACCCAGTTTCTCAAAAATATTTTCCCCTTGCAAAAAACAGGGGCTGATTTTCTGTTCCTTTCTGGATGAGGGAGTGGGGAGTAATAGAATCATCGAATCGTAGATTTGGAAGGGACCCTAAAGGCCATCTAGTCCAACCCTCTGCAGTGCTGGAATCACAGCTGAAGAATCAGTGACAGGCCTGGCCATCCAAACTCTGTTTTAGAAACTTTCAGCAAAGAAGAGTCCACCACCTTCCTAGGGAGTCCATACAACTGTCAATAATAAAATATTGCTTTTTTGTTTTCAAAGATCTTTATTGAAATTAACATATATGCATAATAACCAAAATTCCCAATGATTCCCTCACATAAAATATAATATCTAAATTACAACAGTTGCATAATTATACACTTAATTATAAAACTCATCACCCACCCTCTACTTCCCTCCACAGCAATTCAACTTCTGTATATTTCTTTCTATCTTTTTTCCCTTGCATTCTATAATGAATTATTTTTGTTAAATTCTGATTTTTCTTTCTTTATTTGTTTTGTTATTGCTTACATTTTTTATTCTAAGCCTATTAACATGTGATTTTTAGAACAATATTTTGACATATAATCTTCGAAATACTTCCACTCCATTCTTAACTTTTGATTTGATTGATATCTTATAATTGAAGTTGGATTTGAAGAAGAAGAGTTTGGATTTGATATCCCGCCTTTCACTCCCTTTAAGGAGTCTCAAAGCGGCTAACATTCTCCTTTCCCTTCCTCCCCCACAACAAACACTCTGTGAGGTGAGTGGGGCTGAGAGACTTCAGAGAAGTATGACTGGCCCAAGGTCACCCAGCAGCTGCATGTGGAGGAGCAGGGAATCGAACCCGGTTCCCCAGATTACGAGACTACCGCTCTTAACCACTACACCACACTGGCTCTCTAAGTTAATTTTGCCAATTCTATATACTCACTTAATTTACAAATCATAAAATATTGCTTTATGTTTCACACTTGCTGCTGTTTCTGGTTTCAGGGATCGATACGCCTTCATGGAAGTTCCATCAGGGAGGTGGCAGCCACGGGCTCTGACGAAGTGGGGAGATTTATCTTTGAAATTATCCAAGGTGAGCAGCCCTCAATGGCATGGCAATTTCAGTTTCAGGTAGGTAGCCATGTTGGTCTGATGCAGTAAGGTAAAGGGACCCCTGACCGTTAGGTCCGGTCATGGCCGACTCTGGGGTTGCGGCACTCATCTCGCTTTATTGGCCGAGGGAGCCGGTGTACAGCTTCCGGGTCATGTGGCCAGCATGACTAAGCCGCTTCTGGCAAATCAGAGCAGTGCACGGAAACGCTGTTTACCTTCCCGCCGGAGTGGTACCTATTTATCTACTTGCACTTTGACTTGCTTTCGAACCACTAGGTTGGCAGGAGCAGGGACCGAGCAACGGGAGCTCACCCCATTGCGGGGATTCAAACTGCTGACCTTCCGATCGGCAAGTCCTAGGCTCTGTGGTTTAACCCACAGCGCCACCCGCGTCCCTCTGATGCAGTAGATATATAATTGTCCAGTAGCGCCTTAGGGCCTCTAAGATGCTACTGGACAATTTTTTAATTTTATTTTTATATATTTCTATGGCAATTTCAGTCCTCCTGTCTTTGCTCTTCTTCGCCCATGCCACCCAGTTAAACCAGATTACAGTCATGGCTTCCCTCTATGGCGCCCTTGGAACTTTCATTCAGTTAAGAATCTCCAAACCTCTCTTGCTTTCCTGAGCAGGAGGAAAGAAAGAATGTCTTCATGCAGCACATCGTTAAACTATGGAACTCACTCCTGCAGGAAGCAGTGAAGGGGACCAAACCTATAGGTAGTTTCAAAGGAGGCTTAGACAGATTTATGGAGGGAGAAGCCCATGGGAGGCAGTCATGTTTCTGAACCCAGTTGCTGGAAACCACAGGAGGTCAGAGGTCTCTTGTGCTTGGATCCTGCTTGCAAGTTTCCCACTGGGGCATCTAGGTGGCCACTGTGAGAACAGGATGCTGGACTAGATGGGCCAATGGCCTGATCCAGCAGGCTCTCCTTATGTTCTTAAGAGGATTCAAATTTGCTACGATACGATATGATACTATAATCTTTATTTATTTTTTTTAAATGATATTTATTGAAGTTACAAAAAATAGAAGAAATACAAAATACAGAAAAAAGAGTAAATTTTTAAAAAATATATAAAAAAAGTAAAGGATAAAAAAAAAACAACATACAAAATAAAACAGTTAAAAAGACATTAATTTTCCAAACCTATCTTCTCTAGACTTATTTCCCCGGACCTCCCCTTTTTTGTATTCCAGTTCAGTTTGTTAGTTCAGCAAATCCTTACCATTAAACATTTGCCCAATTGTAAGCCTTTTTTCATATCTCTTAAATCATTACAGCTAAAAAGCTCTTAGTTTCTATCCAACATCCTTCTAAGATTCCTTAATTTTACAATATTTCTGTAAATAGTCTTTAAATTTCTTCCAGTCTTCTTTCACCGACTCTTCTCCCTGGTCTCGGATTCTGCCAGTCATTTCCGCCAGTTCCATGTAGTCCATCACCTTCATCTGCCATTCTTCCAGAGTGGGTAGATCTTGTGTCTTCCAATACTTTGCGATGAGTATTCTTGCTGCTGTTGTAGCATACATAAAAAAGGTTCTGTCCTTCTTTGGCACCAATTGGCCGACAATGCCCAGAAGAAAGGCCTCTGGTTTCTTCAGAAAGGTATATTTAAATACCTTTTTATTTCATTATAAATCATCTCCCAGAAAGCCTTAATCCTTGGGCACGTCCACCAAAGGTGAAAGAATGTACCTTCAATTTCTTTACATTTCCAACATTTATTGTCAGGCAAATGATAGATTTTTGCAAGCTTGACTGGGGTCATGTACCACCTGTATATCATTTTCATAATATTCTCTCTTAAGGCATTGCATGCCGTAAACTTCATACCTGTGGTCCATAACTGTTCCCAGTCAGCAAACATAATATTATGTCCAACATCTTGTGCCCATTTAATCATAGCAGATTTCACCGTTTCATCCTGAGTATTCCATTTCAACAGCAAGTTATACATTCTTGACAAATTCTTAGTTTTGGGTTCTAACAATTCTGTTTCTAATTTTGATTTTTCCACCTGGAAGCCAATTTTCTTATCCAAATTATATGCCTCCATTATCTGATAATAATGAAGCCAATCTCTCACTTGGTTTTTTTATTTCTCAAAACTCTGCAATTTCAATTTGTCTCCATCTTGTTCCAAAATTTCCCAATACTATAATCTTTATTGTCATTGTCCCATACAGAACAACGAAATTGAAAAATCGACATAAGACAACAAGCCTGCTATCCCAGCTATCCCAACATGGTTAGCCCCCTAAAAACTCTGATACCCCATTTTTAAATACAATATACTCCCATAGAGACTCCTTACACTGCGTTTTAAACCGAAATCGCAGTTGGGTTGGGTAGAAACTGTTTCTCAGGCAGCTAGTCCTAGTCTTTATAACCCTGTACCTTCTTCCAGAAGGCAGAAGCTGAAAGAGATCATTTCCGGGGTGCGCACTATCCTGCGCTATCTCTGCAGCTTTCTTATGGCACCTGGCAGCATAGATTTGATCCAAGGTGGGAAGAGTGCACCCAATTATTCTCTCCGCAGTCTTTGCAACCCTGGACAGCATTGTTTTTCCCCCTAGCTGTGCAGCTCCCAAACCACACACACAGACCTTAAGTTAATACACTCTCCACAGTACAATGGTAAAATGCCATCAACAGGTCCTTTGAAAGATTGTTTTTCTGGAGGATTCTCAGAAAATATAACCTCTGCTGTGCTCTGACCCCGGCCCCAATAACAAGGTTGGCGTGCCACTGGCTGAAGTCCACCCCATCTGTTGCACAAAAGGAAGGGAGTTTCCCAGAATAATAATAATAATAATAATAATAATAATAATAATAATAATAATAATAATAATAATAAATTTTATTTATACCCTGCCCTCCCCAGCCAAGACCGGGCTCAGGGCGGCTAACATCCAATAATAAAAACAAGTTGATTAAAATACAATTTAAGAAACAAGATTAAAATACAACATTAAAACATTAAGATGCAGCCTCTTCACAGGAGAAAGGAAAAAGAAAGAGGGGGAGGGAATCAAACTGATTCTAAGCCAAAGGCCAGGCGGAACAACTCTGTCTTACAGGCCCTGCAGAAAGAAATCAGATCCCGCAAGGCCCTGGTCTCATGAGATAGAGTGTTCCACCAGGCCGGAGCCAATGTTGAGAAGGCCCTGCTTGCAGAAGAATTCTTCTTGCAGAAAAATCCTCTCTGCAAGCCTTTCCCTACTAGCACGCAAGGCAAAGAGAATTTAAAACGATGCATCTTTGATAGATAGGAGCCCATGCAGCGCAGTGGCTTCCACAGTGGGTGGTACCTCCCCCCTGGGGTGGGGGGATTACATAGGTGGGTGCTAAGAGGCAAGCAGGCAGCAGTGGGGCTGGTTTCATTGCATCAAGTTCATCACTTTTGTTGAATTAATTCGTTTAAACGGGGTTTTGAATAAATGTGCAATTAACTGTTACCAGTTTTAATTTCGTTGTGTTGTTACCTTCCTTAGCGGGTTGTGCTTAAGCTGAATCATGCTTTTCACAGGGTATTATTATTGCTATTGTGATTTATTAAATTTATATGCCGCTCTTCATCAAGAGATCCCAGGGTGGTTCACAGAATAAGATACAAGGTGAAACACAAGTGAATATTTAAACCAAAACAACAAAACAATAACCCCGGCTTAGGGACGCAGGTGGCGCTGTGGGTCAAATCACAGAGCCTAGGACTTGCCGATCAGAAGGTCGGCGGTTCGAATCCCCGCGACAGGGTGAGCTCCCGTTGCTCGGTCCCTGCTCCTGCCAACCTAGCAGTTCGAAAGCACGTCAAAGTGCAAGCAGATAAATAGGTACCGCTCCAGCGGGAAGGTAAGGCGTCGAGCTGCCTGGTTCACCAGGCTGCTGCAGCCGCATGACCCGGAAGCTGTACGCCGGCTCCCTCGGCCAATAAAGCGAGATGAGCGCCGCAACCCCAGAGTCGGCTGCGACTGGACCTAATGGTCAGGGGTCCCTTTACCTTTACCTTTAGCGCACACTGGGGAGGAGTTTTTTGGAACAAAGCAGGGAGTGGCCAGAACTGCTGTTTCCTCATTTTTTAAAAAAGCTAGCTCTGAATAAATGTTGATTTTAAGTGCCCTTTTTGGATTCAGCCCTGGGGAAGCACTGCTCCTTTGAGTTGCTGCCATATTTTACAGGCAAAAGTCTGTTGGGGAAAGACATTAGTAGGGAGAGAAATTGATCTGCAGCAGTTTCTCCACTTTCCAGGATGAGTAACTTGCTTTTTTCCACCCCCACGCAGGCATCTCGGGAGACCAGAATCGAGCGGGACAAGACTCCTACGTGCTGATGGCCAGTTCCCAGTCTGACATGGAGGACTGGGTGAAATCTCTCCGCCGCATGGTGGGGTCTCCCTTAGGAGGTAAAGGGGGACGCAAAGCTCAACATGCTGTTAGCCCAACCACAATTTAATGTACCGTATTTTTCGCCCTATAGGACGCACTTTTCCCCCTCCAAAAATGAAGGGGAAATGTGTGTGCGTCCAATGGGGCGAATGCAGGCTTTCGCTGAAGCCTGGAGAGCGAGAGGGGTCGGTGCGCACCAACCCCTCTCACTCTCCAGGCTTCAGGAAGCTCTCCGCAAGCCTTGCAAGCCCGGTGGGAGTTGCCGCTGCGCTCGCAAGGCTTGCGGGCAGCAGCCTGCAGCCCAAAGTACAGGGTGCCCTCCGGAGGGTGCCCCGTGCTTCGCGCAGGTGTCCGCAAGCCTTGCGAGCCCGGCGGGAGTTGCCGCTGGGCTCGCAAGGCTTGCGGATAGCAGCCTGTTCTGGGGGCTGGGGGGGGGATATATTTTTTTTATTCATTTCCCCCCCAAAAAACGAGGTGCGTCCTATGGGCCGGTGCGCCCTATAGGGCGAAAAATACGGTACTTTCCATCCATTTCAGTAGGGCAAGAGACATCCCCACCTTTTAGCTTTTCATCTTCATCACTGCGGGAAGTCACAGGATAAAATTTCCTTTGATGGAGGTTTCTGAAACTCCGAGGATGTGAGAAAGCTGTGGGGTTGCAGCATTGTGAGAGCTGTGTTGTAGCCAGCCTCAGCAATGCACGAGTTGTTGTTCTGCTATTCATTAACCTGCCCTTCACCCCAAGATCCCTGAGTGGGTGGCATCATTAAAACATAATCTTCAAAACAATTAAAAACAATTTTCAATCTTAAAAATCAGATGAGTCCTAAAAGCATACACACATGCTGAAGAGCCAGATGTGAGCAAGGTGCTTTTTGGCGCTAAGGATGTGGTTGGCGCTGTGGTCTAAACCACTGAGCCTCTTGGGCTTGCCAATCGGAAGGTCGGCGGTTTGAATCCTCGTGATGGGGTGAGCTCCCGTTGCTCAGTCCCTGCTCCTGCCAACCTAGCAGTTCGAAAGCACACCAGTGCAAGTAGATTAATAGGTACTGCTGCGGTGGGAAGGTAAATGGTGTTTCCGTGTGCTCTGGCTTCCGTCATGGTGTCCTGTTGCGTCAGAAGCGGTTTAGTCCTGCTGGCCGCATGACCTGGAAAGCTGTCTGTGGACAAACGCAGGCTCCCTCGGCCTGAAAGTGAGATGAGCACCGCAACCCCATAGTCGCCTTTGACTGGACTTAACCATCCAGGGGTCCTTTACCTTTGGATGCTGGAAAATGAGTATGGAAGATCCGTATTTAGCCCCTGATTGCCAGTTGAATGTTCCTGGGGTGGGTGAATGAGTCATGTAGGGGTTAGTGTCGGACTAAGAACTGGGAGACCAGCGTTCAAATCCCCACTTGGCAATGACACTCGCTGGGTGACCCTGGGGGCCAGTCACTGCCTCTCAGCCTAACCTACCTCACAGGGTTGTTGGGATTACAGTGGTACCTCGGGTTACATACGCTTCAGGTTACACACTCCGCTAACCCAGAAATAGTGCTTAAGGTTAAGAACTTTGCTTCAGGATAAGTACAGAATTCGTGCTCCGGTGGCAGCTGGAGGCCCCATTAGCTAAAGTGGTGCTTCAGGTTAAGAACAGTTTCAGGTTAAGAACAGACCTCCGGAACGAATTAAATACTTAACCCGAGGTACCACTGTACACGAAGATGGAGACAACCTTGGAGAAAAGAAAGTGGGACACAAATGCAGGAAATAAATAAAACAAATATGCATATTATTTCTACTCCATATTTCCAACAAACTGCCTCTGTGGTGGTATGCAAAATAAAGCATGCATAATTTTGTAATTAGTTTGGCCTTGGCAACAAGAGACCACCTTAGTAGTGAAGACAAGGAGGCCTTGATGTGACGAGGACCCAGAGACGCTTGCGCCTGTTACTGGCAGATGGCTGGGCTTCCCAGGCCACCTCATGAAGAGCCCATTCAGAGCCAGTCTGTTAGCCCCTCGTCACTGTAGACCTTGACTCGGCTGCAGGCTTCAGAGCTCTGACTCTGACATGGGCAGCGTCATCACTGACACAGCCGTATTCCTGTCGGAGAGACTTTGGGCTCCTGCAGAGCATATTGATTTTTTCAAAGTGCTTTAGTCTTTGGCCTCGTAACAACTGGGGGAGGCAGGCTGCGGACGCCCTCCCTTTCGAAGGCTGTGCCGTAATTTCAAGGCAGAAGGCGAGATGTGATCCCAGGCCCCAGACTGACTAGCGCTGAATTGTGGCGCCGTTTTGGAGGGAAATGACTGGCTCTTTCTTTTGCTGCAAAGAAGGGAGCCGTGATGTGGAGAGGGCAGCTTCAGCCTGAGTGAAGGAAGTCATATGCAGGAGTAATGGAAGGAAGCACCCGTTTACTATGTACAATGACAGGTTTATGATGGTTCTCAAAAAGCCAAAGAGCTCTTTGTCAGATCCTTGCCCCTCTCGACCTTCCTGGGAAGAAGGATGTGTGGATGCTGGGCTGATTTGGAAAGGGAAGAGACTCCAGGATTTCCTTCAGAATCTGGAAGCAAGGATGAGAACAGGAGCCTGTCTAAAGGCATAGAAGCAAGTTCTGAAGTCCTCTGCTGGTTGGAACTTGGACTTCTCTGCCATCGTCTTCCTGCCTGGACTCCCGATGAAGGGCTGGGAGTTGGGTCTTTGCTTTCCAGACCTGGAGATGTTCTTTTGCTGGGAGTACAGGAAGAAGCAGCAGCAGCCCATGGCCCACAGGAAAGGTATTGCTGCCTCCTTAAATGCCAGCCTCTTAGAAATTCATGCAGAGCACAAGCTGCCACAGAGTGGCTTCGTTTTGACTGGTGCAGCCGCAGTGCCCACAAATGCGCCAGGAGCTCTCTGAAGAGGCGGATTTAGGAGAGCGCAACCGGTTTGCCCGCCCTGGGCATTGAGCTGAAAGGGTGTTGCAGGGGACACTGCAACAATGACGATCAATGGAAGGCAGGGGGTGGGGGCCTGAATGTTGGTGTTGCACAGAGCGCTGCTGAAATTTTAAAGCCCAAAGTCCGCCACTGCTCTCTGTTTATTAGACAGCAGGACTTGACTTGCCAAATGCCAAGAGCCACTGAAAAGCTTTTGTCTCTAAAGTGGTGAAATAAACTGGCAAGAATGGCTGAGCTGTGAGTCAAGGAGGTCTCTCATTCAAATCTCACCTCTGCAATACTCAGTAGGTGGTCTTAGAAAAGCTACTACTCTACCCCCTCTCATCTACCACAGGGCTGTTGTAGTAGGTAGTAAGGCTTTTTTGTGTTATTTCATCATTTGTACTCTCATCTTTTTTAAAATGCAAAAGTACTTTGTTGTTTCATCATTTGCACTTCTGTATTTTGAATTCCACAGAATTTCAGTTAAGGATCATCTGCTTCAGACTTGCCCCAACCTGGTGCCTTAGTGGGTTGTGTAAACCACTGTTCTGAATGATGCTTTTTATAGGGTAGGATGGGGTTGGGGGGCACTGGGGTGAGTTTATGGAAACAAGGGGGCAGTGGTCTGAAAAAGGTTGAGACCCACTGTTCCCAGGTTTGGATTACAACTCCCATCAATCCATCCCTGCTCCCGCCAGACCAGCATTAGATGACTGATGGGAGTTGAAGTCTGTAAAATCTGGGCAGGCTGATCTATAGGGATGCAGAAACAGAGCTGAGGATTAAGTGGGCTGGTTCCAGAATAGGACCTTGTGAGAACCTATCTTTCTTTTGTGTCTTCTTCTCTCTCCCCCCCACCAGTGGTTTTTGGCCAACAGCTGGTGGAGACCATGGTATATGAGCAGAAATTTGGGAAGCATCAGGTCCCCATCTTGGTTGAGAAATGTGCCGAGTTCATCAGGAAGCACGGCCTGAATGAAGAGGGCATCTTCCGACTTCCTGGCCAGGACAACTTGGTGAAAGAGTTGCGGGATGCCTTTGACGCGGGAGAGAGGCCGTCCTTTGACCAGTAGGTGGCGTATTTCTCAAGGGAATCCAAGGCTGCCGGTTCTGGGATGGGATTGACCTTTAGATTTCACATCCCACATTCTCCTCACACTTTAGGCCAGGGGTCAGCAACCTTTTCCAGCCGTGGGCCGGTCCACCGTCCCTCAGACCATGTGGTGGGCCAGACTATATATATATTTTTTGAGGGGGGGAATAAACGAATTCCTATGCCCCACAAATAACCCAGAGATGCATTTTAAATAAAAGGACACATTCTACTCATGTAAAAACACACTGATTCCTGGACCATCTGCAGGCCGGATTGAGAAGGTGATTGGGCCTCATCCTGCCCCTGGGCCTTAGTTTGCCTACCCATGTTTTAGGCTCACATGCATGCCTTCAGAGAAATGCTGGAATAAAAGTATTTTGATATGATGTTCTATTTGGGTGTTGAATTATGCCCTACTTTTGAAGTTCCTTAAAGCGAAACCTAGAATTGCATGGGTATGACATGTCCCTGTTTTTCCAGCACTGTTTGTGGGGTCTGCTCCTGCCAGTAGCAAGGTCTTTTGCATGCCTCTCTATCTCCTTTCCGTATTTTGCAGAGACACAGATGTGCACACGGTGGCTTCTCTGCTTAAACTCTACCTCAGGGAACTCCCTGAGCCTGCCATACCTTGGACACAGTATGAGGACTTCCTCTTGTGCGGCCAGCTTCTGACGGCCGATCAGGCAAAGGTTTGGAATAACGCACCTCTTGTCCGTATTCTCATGTTACTTTCCAGGATGCAGTGAATGTGCACACTTATTCTATGGGTTATGTAAACAGCCTGAGCTGCCTTGGGACGCACCTCCAAGGGCAGTACAGTGGTACCTCGGAAGTCGAACGGAATCTGTTTCAGAAGTCCGTTTGACTTCCTAAGAGTTCGGAAACCAAGGCGCAGCTTCCGATTGGCTGCAGGAAGCTCCTACAGCCAATCAGAAGCCGCGGAAGCCCCGTCAGATGTTCGGGTTCCAAAGAACGTTCACAAACCGGAACACTCACTTCCAGGTTTGCGGCGATCAGGAGCCAAAACGTTCGACTTGCAAGGCGTTTGGGATCCAAGGTACGACTGTCTTCACTTTCTCTCCCTCCCACAGTCCCGTCCTCACAAAAATTGCACCTCCAAAGCTGCTCTTTGCATTTCACAGAAAGCTCCTATTGATGCCAATGAAGCCTCCCATTGAAATGCAAAAAGCACTTTCTGAGATTCTTGCCAGTGCCTTGGCAAGGAGAAAAAGAGTTACTCTTTTGACCATGGCCCCCCTGAAGCTGCTCCGGCTTTCCCCTGCCCAGCTGCTATTGGCATAAGGAAAACCATGTATGTTGATTGCGTTCAAAGACTTAGGGCTCACCCACACTTTTGCTTGCTCTGCTGCACCCAACCCCCAAACCCGCTGTTTACTGCTGAGTCTCGAGTTTTCTCTGGATCAATGTTTGCTCCAATTTACTGCCAAAAAGCGGGTTTTCTGGGACAAAGCAGTATGGCAAAACCACTTGAACCGATGCTTTGTAGGGACAAGTGCAAGGATAAGAGCTTTTGATATTGAAAAAGACTCCCTCAGAAGGTTTTTAAAAGGAGGTTTGGTGGTTGTCTGTTCGGGATCCTTTAGCAGTGATTCCTGCATTGCAGGGGGCTGGACTAGATGGGCCTTTGTGTCCCCTTCCAAGTTTACGATTCTATGAAATGACAGTGTTATTTTGTGCTAGGGATAAATGCTTGTGACAACTGAAAACCCAGCCTTATCTTCTTCTAGGGTCATCGGCAGCTAGTGAAGCAGCTCTCTCTTCTGCCTCGGGACAATTACAACCTCCTCAGTTACATCTGCCGGTAGGTGCCCATTCACTGATGTACAGTCATACCTTGGGTTACAGATGCTTCAGGTTGCGTGTTTTCGGGTTGCGCACCGCGCCAAACCCAGAAGTACTGGAATAGGTTACTTCCGGGTTTTGGCGCATGCGCAGAAGCGCCGAATCGCGACTCGCACATGCGCAGACACGGCACTGTGGGTTGCGAACGCTGCGGGTTGCGAACGTGCCTCCCGTACGGATCACGTTCGCAACCCGAGTGTCCACTGTATTTGCATCTCGCCATTTTATACCAGGAGATGTACAAGTTGCCACATCCAAACCCTCTCGCTGGCAGGGCACTCATTTGCAGACCACAGGGTGCTGTGAATTTCAGTTCCAACTTTTGGCACCTCCACATTGTTAGAGGTAGAAATATTAATCTTCTGTTTGTCCAAGAAAGAAGTAAGCAGAAACATTTGGTAATTTTCAGATTCTTCAGGACTGGGACAAGCCCTCTAAGTAGCAAGAATGTGTAGAGCACTGGTTTTGTTTTAATATGTATGTTTTGTTCTCGTTTTGTATTTTTATGTTGTGAACTATCCTGTGATCTTTGCATGGAGGGCAGTATACAAATTTGAATAATAATAATAGGTTCCCAAAGTATTGTTATATATATATATATTATTAATATATATATATATATATATATATATATATATATATATATATATATATATAAATATATATATATATAAAATATATATAATATATATTATATATATATTATTAATATAATATATATATATATTATTATAGTATTTATATATATATATAAAAATAAAATAGGTATCGTTGGATCAAGTTTATAAGTTTTGTTGAATTAATTTTTATATGTAAAAAAGCAATATAATACCTTTTTTTAAAAAAAAAAAAGTTGGCTCCGGGAGGCATGCTTTTCTCCCCTCAATACACAGATGAAGCATTTGCACAGGCTAAACTCAGAAAGTGTAGGTTTTTTTAAATAAAGTAAAATGCAGTCAATTTGCAACTTATGCACGCATAATTTCAGCTTTACGTGCTGCCAGCAAGCCAGCTGAAATCGCACAAATTAAACTCATGCAAGGGGGAGAGTTTAAGAGCTCTATTTTTTGCTTGAGGGGGACAAAACCTTTTTGACATGCTGGGTCTGGGAGGTAAGATTGCTTGCACAGTTGCGCTTCCAAGTGGTTGTTTTGAGTACCTACGTACATACGTAATTTTATTTGTATGCTGCTTTTAGATAGTTGAAACCATGTTCAAGGCGGCTTACAACATGAAAAAAACCCAAAATCACAACATAACAAAATTACAGGCATAAACAACGAACAAAACTTCAAAAAACAAACAGCCAAAGTGAACAATTTCCACATGAATCATAGTAAGATCTAAAACAAAGATATAAAAATTCATATCAATAACAGCAACCTCCCTAAACAATACTCCAGCCCAAGAGTTGGTTCAGCTGCTTTTGTAGTTGGAGTCAGTCCGGACCCACCTTCCCAGGCCAAGGGGAAAAGGCCTGCAAGGCGCAGGGAGTAGGTCTTCCAGGACTCACAGCCAAGATGGACTATATGCAATTTTGACTTTACACGCAACTCACCCCACTGCCCTAGGCATCACCCCCGTGCAAATTGTGAGTTGACTGTAATCATAATAAAAAACAAACCTATGGACCTGTTATTGCTGGACTCTCACTTTCCGATTTTCTGGCCTCTGGATTCTGGCAGGTTCCTACATGAAGTCCAGCAGAGTTCCTCCACCAACAAGATGAGTGTGGAGAATCTGGCGACAGTGTTTGGAGTGAATCTCATCAGACCAAAGATAGAAGACCCTGCCACCATTATGAGAGGTGCAATGAGGTGGAAGGGTGGGGTGTATGGATGAAATGAGATGCCCCATTTATCCAAGAAGGTGCACCCCATTTTGCAAATGTTCATATATCCGTATTTTTTGCTCTATAAGACGCACTTTTTCCCTCCTAAAAAGTAAGGGGAAATGTGTGTGCGTCTTATGGAGCGAATGCAGGCTGCGCAGCTATCCCAGAAGCCAGAACAGCTAGAGGGATCACTGTGCAGCGCTCTATCTCGCTGTTCTAGCTTCCGGTTTACCCCCTCAGTCCCTTCCCCCACCTCCTGGAAAAGCCCCCAAGAGCCGCGCTCCCTTTAAATAGCTGCGCGGAGCTCCTCTTCGAGGGAAAAGCCTCCACACGGCTCGTGAAAGGGAGCGCTGAGCACAGCCTGGGATGCATACAAGCTCTGCTCAGAGCTCCCTTTAAAGAATATTTTTTTTCTTGCATTCCCCCTCTAAAAACTAGGTGCGTCTTATGGTCAGGTGCATCTTATAGAGCGAAAAATACAGTATGTTAGTGCAACCTACATTTCTATATTATTAAATGAAGCTGATATTGTATAGATCAGTGGCTCCCAACTGGTGGTCCTTGGGCCCCAGGGGGTCTCCGTAACCTACCCAGGGGGTCCGTGGCACCATCCCCCCTGCCCCAGGCTTCTACCTAGCATGATCCTTTGGTGTATTCCGCCCCCCGCAGGCACTCCTCAGATCCAGAAAGTGATGTCAACCTTGATCAGCGACCATGAAAAGCTCTTCCCCGTATCGAAAGACGTGGCTCCTGCTCCGCCTCTGCAGAAGAGTGACTCCAATAAATCTCCAGTTCCTCGCAGCTCCGTCGGCTGGGATGCTGCCCAGAGGCCGCTCATGGCCAGGGCGGGGAGCAGGACTCTCCTGCGGCAAATCGTGAGCAGCCTTTATTACTATTATTTATTAATTTGTACCCCAACTTTCTTTCCTCCTAGGAGCTCAAGGCTGCGTACATATTTCTCCTCCCCCCCCCCATTTTATCCTTGCAACCACCCTGCAAGGTAGACAAGGCTGAGAGTGAGTGAGTGGCCTGAGGTCACCCAGTGAGCTTCCTGTCCGAGTGGGGATTTGAACCCTGGCCTCCCAGGTCTCAGTCCGACACTCTGACCACTGCACCACACTGCCTCTCCGTCTTTCTTTGTGGCCTGTGCGTCTTACCCATGCGCCGCAGGGGGTGTGATGCACATTCATTTAGTTGCTTGCAGAATCGACGAAGTGGCTTCCAAAATAACGAAAAAGCAACATGAAATCTAACACAATGCAGTAGGGATATGAAAACAAATAAAGGCAGGTAGAGCGAGATGCAAACGCAAAATGAGCCACAGCGACAAGACTTCACTAGTGGCAAATAGAGCCGAAATGGTTTCCAAGGCGTGAATCTCAGAAGAGCCTGCTGGATGAGGCCAGTGACCCATCTGGTCCAGCATCCTGTTCTCACAGGGGCGAACCAGATGCAACCTATGGGAAACAAGCAAGCTGTGGGAAGGTACAGGGTGGCAGGAGAGGATATATTGTTTATTAATATCCTTCCTAACTTGCACTAACAAGTTTCTTTACTGAGCAGAGTTTACATTCCCCTTTTTACACACACAGCAGAGAGCTGGTTGCAAGCTTATGTAAGCCTCTCACTATTATACAATTCAGTCAGTCTCATACCAGTGCATTCCTGGTAAGTTCCCTTGAATCCCTCTTAAAAGAATAAAGATCATTTGGGTCGCCCTTTTCTGAACCTTTTCCAGCTCTATAATGTTCTTTTTGAAGTGAGGCGACCAGAACGGGATGCAGTATTCGGAGTGCGGTTGCACTGATTTGCCTGAAAAAACAGCCCTGCCCTTCTGGTGTCTAGTTTGGCCTCGGCATTTGCTTGAAGGTTTCTCTCTTCTCTTTCAGAAAGACAACCCTGACGGTTCCATCTCCGAATCGGCTGCCAGGTCAGCTGAGGTGGCAGAAGGTAACGGGGAGATGCAGCCCAGCGATGTTCTGGGGACGTGGACAGAAGAGCCCAGGAAAAGGACTCAGACACTACCCAGCAGGAAATGCTTTTCCTTCCTTTCCTCCAACAGAGGGAACCAAAGCACGGATGGAAATGAGATTTTCAACAGTGAATTTTGGTCCTCAACTTCCCCAGCCGGCCTGCAGCCTGTTTCATCTACAAGTGCCCACAAAAGGACACTCTCAGGGGGACTGTCCAAGTGGTTCAATCTCCCACAGGCTTCCAACTCCCACACCCTCAGTGGTTCAGCGATGGAAACGAGGAAGGAGGCCCACAATGAGAAACCATTGGACCAGATTAGTGAAATTTCAGGACAGGGTTCTCCAATACATGACATTCCTCATCCCGGGCAAAACGGGACAGTGGTTGCAAACCCCAGTCCTGAAAGCAGGGGCTGCCATTCAGAGGACCCCGAGGTGCTTAGGAAGATGATTGTGGAGCTGAAGGAGGAGATGGAGTCGCAGAAAAAGGACTATGAAGAGCAAATTAGGAGGTAATGCAAATATCTCGGTTGAATCAGTTTCTCTCTGAAGCTGATAGTTTTATTTTATTATTTATTTGTTCCATTCTCACTGCACCTTTTTCTCCATGGAGCTCAAGGTACATGGTTCTTCCCCCCCCCCCCATTCCTCCTTTAATCCCCAGAGCAATAATATTCTTGGGGGGGTGTTGTTATTGTTTGTTATTATAGTACAGTGGTGCCCCGCAAGACGAACGCCTCGCAAGACGGAAAACCCGCTAGACGAAAGGGTTTTCCGTTTTGGAGGCGCTTCGCAAACGAATTTCCCTATGGGCTTGCTTCGCAAGACGAAAGCCCATAGGGAAATCTCCGGGGACCTCTTTTAAATGCTGGCGGTGGGGAGCAAAGCCTTCCCCTCCGGCCTTCAGAAGAGGTCCAGGAAGGCTGGCGGGGGCCGAAGGCTTTGCTCCCACCGCCAGCATTTTAAAAGCAGTCCGGGATAGCAGGGAAGCGCTTCCCGCTATCCCGGACGGCTTTTGAAGGCAGGAGAGGTCCGCGAAGCCTGGGCGCGCTGATCTCAGCGCGCGCAGGCTTCGGCATGCCGGCAACTCTCCGCAAGCGGCAGCGCTGCCGCTGCTTGCGGAGAGGTCCGCGAAGCCTGGGCGCGCTGATCTCAGCGCGCGCAGGCTTCGGCATGCCGGCAACTCTCCGCAAGCAGCGGCAGCGCTGCCGCTGCTCGCGGAGAGGTCCGCGAAGCCTGGGCGCGCTGATCTCAGCGCGCGCAGGCTTCGGCATGCCGGCAACTCTCCGCAAGCAGCGGCAGTGCTGCCGCTGCTTGCGGAGAGGTCCGCGAAGCCTTGGCTGGACAGCTTTGAAGGCAGGTGGGGGGACAAGACTTTGCCCCCGCCAGCCTTCAGAAGAGGTCCAGGACCTCTTCTGAAGGCTGGCGGGGGCAAAAGTCTTTGTCCCCCTGCCTGCCTTCCCAGGGGCTTTAAATTGCCCCGGACAGCGGAGAAGTCCTCCGCTGTCCCGGGGCAATTTTAAAATGCCGCCCGCCAGCATTTTAAGATCGCCCCGGACAGCGGAGAAGCCCTCCGCTGTCCCGGGGTTTTAAAATGCTGGGGTGGGTGGGAAGAAAAGCCCTTGTCCCCCCAGCCTTCAGAAGAGGTCGGGGACAGACTGTCCCCGGACCTGGTCTGAAGTCGGTTTCCTAGGAACGCATTAATTGATTTTCAATGCATTCCTATGGGAAACCGTGCATCGCAAGACGAAAAACTCGCAAGAAGAAAAAACTTGCGGAACGAATTAATTTCGTCTTGCGAGGCACCACTGTATGTATTTTTTTGTATTTCATCTAATCCCAATGCCCTGCAGTCATCAAAAAGAATGCATATTCTCTCCTCCCCACCCCAGAAATTTCCCCAAAGAATTATGGAAAACAAGTGTCATTTATATATCATTTCTTACTCCCATCAAATTGATCTCTTAATGGATAAACCTGCAAATACAGAATGTGGCTGTTTGCCGGGTGCTTGAGCCATCTTCAGCATCCTTCCTGAACTTTGGGCTCTCCTGATCTTTAGGGCTTCAACTTCCACCAGCCCCAGTGTCCATCCAGCCATCTTCCCATCAGCTACAGCATCCTAGGGTTGTGCTGGGTAGAGCAGATGCAAGTAGCAGCCCAAAGCAACCAGAGAGAGCACCATGTTGAGGAAGGCAGAACAGTAATAATACCACAGAATGGCTGCGTCCATCCACCATGCCCAGCCCCCCGGTGCGCACATCTGCCCCGGCTACCAGCAAACCACGCTACGCTGCTGACAATATGGCATCTCCCATTCCATGTATAGAAACTAAGTGGATTGGCAGTTGAAATTAGCTTCAGCGCTGGCAATGGGATAGTTGCCTCTGAGGGGAACAGGCCAGTATAAGGGTGCATGTTATAAGCCTGCTTTGATCTCCAACAGAATGGCCAAGGGCTCAGGAGGAAGGGCTGGGGAGACGTGGGGAAAGCTATCGCTGAAATCCTCCCATCCCCTGCCGCCTGAGGCAGTTGCCTCACTCTCCTAATGGTAGGGCCAGTCCTGCCTGTTGACATCACTTCCCCCTTTTTTTTTGCAGCCTCGAGAAGGAGAACTATGAGGTCTGGGCCAAAGTGGTAAGGCTGAACAAAGAGATCGAGGAAGAAAAGAATAGGTTCACCGAGCTGGAAAGTAAGCTTCAGAGCGTCGAGCGTTCCCAGGCTGACGTTGAAAAGAAGAACAAACTTCTGGAGAACTCCATAAAGTCCATGATCCAATCTGCAACGAAAACTGACTAAGGGGAAGGGCAGCTCATTCTGAACAGAAACTAGCCGTGCTCCTTGCAGGGCAGGGGGCGGTCAGAGGCTCTTTCGAGCACCGGGCCTGCCTTTCTTCCAATGGCCTGATGTGCTGGGTCACGGGTCAGGCCTGGTGGAGACTGGTGGGTCCTGGGCGGCTGATAGATGCTCCTAGGAGATGCTGGAGAGCTGCAGGCTGCAACGTCCTTCCACGCCCAACTCTCTTTGCAATAACAGCACAGCCGCCTCAGGCCATTTTCCTTCCTTAACCCCATTGATTAAACATCCCGTTCTTGTGGCCAAACTGCAAGAGCTGCCACCCCAGCATTCTTTCACTTGCTGGCTTTTTGTGTGTGTTTTCATTCCATGTTATATTTATTTTGCCAGGACAGAGTTCAGCCCTCCTTTTAACCCTGCTTGATTGCAGGACCAGGCATGGGGTTCCCATAGCCCAACTCATGCAAATAAGAGACCAATGAGGCTGGTTTTTTGGGGGGTTAAAACAGGCCACAACTTTATTGAATACAGATGAAAGAGGTTTGGCTTAGGCATGGGGCAATCAAAATACTTCCGGCCGCCCGCTGGAAGTGATGCGTGGTCAATCCAGACGGGGGTTCCTAAGACTTACATCCAATAGGGTGGCTGTGGCGATCCCACAGGGTCCCCGGACGTTTAATGGTCTATTGATCCCTGTGCCACCACTGTGCTCGCTTCCCCGCTGCCACCAACCAGTTACTCTCTGGTAAAACACTGAGTCCAGTCAGTTGTTAAAAGTGAACCAAAAAAACCCCAAGTTTATTTTACAAACATTAACAAGTTTATGGTTTCTCAGATAATATTCCTGTCAGTATCTTAACTTTAGTTTCTTTACTGGCCTGTACCTTCTCCTGCCCACCTAGCAGTTCAAAAGCACGTCAAAGTGCAAGTAGATAAATAGGTACCGCTCCAGCAGGAAGGTAAACGGCATTTCCGTGCGCTGCTCTGGTTCACCAGAAGCGGCTCAGTCATGCTGGCCACATGACCCGGAAGCTGTACACCGGCTCCCTCGGCCAATAAAACAAGATGAGCGCCACAACCCCAGAGTCGGCCACGACTGGACCTAATGGTCAGAGGTACCTTTACCTTCCTAATATCTTCTGACTGATTATCTCAACTGTTTGACTGACTCCTCTTAACAAATTCTCTCCTTCTCTCACACCAGACTAGCCCAACCTACAGACTTATCTTCTCTGTCTCTTCTAACTCCAGACTGTCTTCTCAACCACCCTAACTCTAACTCCTCCAAAAACCCTCTGTAATTATACACAGTTATATTATACACAGTTATACACAGTTAACTCTGCCCCCTGGGTTCCAATTGGTTAGTCATTTTACAATTAGTTAACCCTTTCCCTATGAACCCAGTATGATGTCACACACATAGGCGGGCAAACGCCACAGTGGCCCTTGCAGGGCCCGCCGTCTGGGGGGGTGCCTTTGGTCCTGGCCCCCCTGGGCATGTGGACATGGCCACTCCCCCCCCCCCGGATCACTTTAACAGGATACCCCAGCATTTGGAGGGATAGGCGAAGACTACAACCTCCCCTCCATCCAAAACAAAGGATTCCCCCAATGCCCAATCAGTTGTGATGATTGCTATGAGGTAGACAAAACCACCGGGTCAGGGCCAATTAGCCCAGTGGGCAAATTCCTACCTGGCCCCTTAAAGAACAATGACCACCGTAGCCACAGCAAAGTCATTGACTATCAGCTTAAACCGAGTGTGGGTGGGCAGGGGAAAAACTCAGCGAAGGAACAAATAGGTAGTGCCCCAGGTGTGGGCTGCTTAAATGGGCAAGGGGTGGATCCAAGGGAAGCCTACCTGCTCTGTTGGCTCTGCCCCTGGCACAGCCCAAGCCCCCAGCCTCCATCCCCATTAGCCAAAGCTGGGTGCAGGCTAGGATCCAGTTCCTGATAGGAAGGGCACCACTATCAGGAAGGGCAAGTCCAGTTCCCTCGCCGGGGCCCCAGTGAAGCCTCTGCCATCCTGCAACGCCACGGCACGAAAAAGTGTGAGCAGACTTGCCATCTGAGGAAGAGCTGGATCAAGGCAGAGGGCAAGAGGCTCTGCTTTGGCACCCAGGTGGATTTACATGGGGGGAGTGGGAGCTGAGGGAGAAAGGCTATTGACCAGGGCTATTGACTATTTGGCTCCGAAGCGCCCTCTCCGATTGCATGGAGCCCGTTCAGCCCTGTGGTTTTCCACGGATCTGAGGGCAATGAAACAATCGCTGAGACAGCTAGAGCGCCGGTGGCGGATAACTCATTCTGAAGCTGACCTGACACGAGTTAGAGCTCAGTGTCAAGCCTACCAGGTGGCAGTGGCGATGGCGAAGAAGACTTTCTTCACCGCCTCTATTGCATCTGCAGAAAACAGCAGCAGGAGACTCTTTCAGGTGGTTCGCAATTTAGCGGAACCACCTGCTCCATCAGGGCCCAGTAGGGGCCACCTGATCTCCTGCAATGATTTTGCAAAGTTTTTTGCAGATAAAGTCGCCCAGGTTCTGGAAGAGGTAGACTCCACCATGGGAGCAGGGCCGGGGCGGGAGAGTCCTGTCTAGTCAAGTTGCGTGGGATCAATTCCAATCTGTTACCTCTGAGGATGTGGACAGGCTGCTTGGACGAGTGAAATCGACCACCTGTCTCCTTGATCCTTGCCCATCCTGGCTTATGAAAGCTAGCCGGAAAGGGCTGGGCGATGGGCTTCGTGGGGTGGTGAATGCTTCTCTCTGTGAGAGAGTCTTCCCAGACCCTTCTCAGTAGAGGCACCTGCCCTGTGGAACGCCCTCCCACCAGATGTCAAAGAGAAAAACAACTACCAGACTTTTAGAAGACATCTGAAGGCAGCCCTGTTTAGGGAAGCTTTTGATGTTTAATAGATTATTGTATTTTAATATTTTGTTGGAAGCCACCCAGAGTGGCTGGGGAAACCCAGCCAGATGGGCGGGGTATAAATAATAAATTATTATTATTATTATTATTATTATTATTATTATTATTATTAACTCTCTGAAGTGCCCTCCGTCCCAATTTAGAAACCTTGTAGAATTACTGAATTGTAGAGTTGAAAGGGACACAAAGGGTCTTTTGCCCCCTGCATCCTCCGTGACGGTGGTCTTGTGAGTCCAACAATTTATTTCCCATTCTAATTTTGGTGCTGGCCACCCTGCTGTATGCCCCCCCCCCAACTTTGACTGAAAGCAGTGTCAACCCAGTTAGCTGTTGCCTTCTTTTGTTTGATGGTACTTTCTATTTTATACTCACTGGCTGTGGCCAATGGGGTCTGAAGTCCAAAACATCTGGCGCTTGGGGAAAGACTGCCCTGGACTGAAGGAGTCCCACAGAAACTTGACACTGAAAAGTCTTTGTCTACTTTCACACTCTGGTGTTTTGTTCAGAGCTGAAATGAAACAAAACGTTACCCAGTTGTCAGATGAGCAAATATTACACACCTGAACACAGTGTATTGAAGCTTTACATCCAACCCTTGAACTGTTATCTTTTTTTAAATGAAGAAATGTGTGTGTGAAAATGTCCAGTTGTTGCAAACACTGGGTATGTGCCTTCAAGGCTGGCTGGATAGCTTTAAGGTATTAAGCAGCCCCAAAGAGTGGATCGAGGTTCTAGTCCTGTGGGAGTCTGGCGGAGACACAAAACTGCTGAAGTGATGAAGAGATTTAACCTCAAAGTGGTTTCCTCCTATGCTGGAAGAAATACTGGCACATAAAATGATGGTTTCATCTCTGTATAAAGTCTCTGATAGTTTGTGTTCAAACAGTTCTTGAAATGTTCCATGAGCTTTGCACTACTCTTTTCTACTCAAGAGTCCTCTAGCTGTTATTCCTGAATTTCAGGGGGTCGGACCAGATGACCCCTTGGGTCCCTTTCAAGGCTACAGTTCTGTGATCCTGTGCCCCACCTGGTTAGTGTGCCATGCACTTTGTGTAGGTGAATAGGTCCGCCAACCGCAAGCCTGTGAGAGGAAGACATCAAGGCATCTGGTGATGAAGAGTTAACAATGGGCTTTGCTCACATTTCAAAACATTTTCCTTAGCAGGCCAACAGCACATTTATTTTTTCTGACGCACGAGAGCTTGCCTCTGCAGCAAAGGGCTCTGAGACCAGGCCAAGTGGGTGTTCGTTTAGCATAAGCTTAGAAATTTCACCACTTCCTCTGCAGATAGGCCTGCATGAAAACGTGTCTGTTTCTAAAGAGCGGCACTAACCTCTTTGAATTATTTCTGCGTCCCCCGCTTAAAATCCACAGGGTTTATAAGAATCGTATGCAGAGAGTTTATTTGCAGCCAGAAGGTCAAGGCAGTGGGAAGTTTGAACTGCTAATGGTTATTATATTTATAGAGAGGTCATCCCTTGGGGCCAGTGACCTTCCTGAAACTTGCACTACAACATCTGGTAGATGAAAACATGCCCTCCATGTGCTGGATCTTGCATGTGCTGGGCCTGTTTTCTCAGGGAATTGTCACAGCTGCTGGTTTATGGAGCAAATCTTTAGACTGCAGCGTTCCTCAACGTGGTGCTCCCCAGATGTTTTGGCTGATGCATGGCGCTGTAGTATAAAACATTTGGAAGGGCACCACATTGGGAAAGGTGCTTTAGAGCATATTCCCCAGGCCTCTCCCCACCTGATAAGCTGTTTCACTTTATTTATTAATTTCATGAAATGTATACACTGCTTGATTGTGTGTGTGTGTGTGTATGGGGGGGAACCAGACATACACAAAGCAGTTTACAAGAATGATAAAGCAACAAAACGATCTATAAGAAAAATCAACAGCAGCAATTTAAGACTTTCCAAAAGTTAAAATAACAATGGACAAAAAGCACATTAAAACTCGCAATAACTTTATAAATACAGTGGTACCTCGGAAGTCGAACGGAATCCATTCTGGAAGTCCGTTCGACTTCCAAAACGTTTGGAAACCAAGGCGTGGCTTCCGATTGACTGCAGCAAGCTCCTGCAGCCAATCAGAAGCTGCGTCAGATGTTCAGGTTCCAAAGAACGTTCGCAAACCTGAACACTCACTTCTGGGTTTGTGGCATTCAGGAGCCAAAACGTCAGACTTGCAAGGCATTTGGGATCCAAGTTATGACTGTAGCTAGGTAAAGGTAAAGGGACCCCTGACCATTAGGTCCAATTGTGGACTACTCTGGGGTTGCGGCACTCATCTCGCTTTATTGGCCAAGGCAGCCGGCGTACAGCTTCTGGGTCATGTGGCCAGCATGACTAAACCGCTTCTGGCGAACCAGAGCAGCGCACGGAAATGCTGTTTACCTTCCCGCCAGAGTGGTACCTATTTATCTACTTGCACTTTGACGTGCTTTCGAACTGCTAGGTGAGCAGGAGCAGGGACCGAACAACGGGAGCTGACACTGTCGCGGGGATTCGAACCGCCGACCTTCTGATCGGCAAGGCCTAGGCTCTGTAGCTAGGTAGGCTTGTCTAAATAAAAATGTTTTTAGCAGGCACCTGCCTGACATCAATCAGCAGAGAATTCCAAAGTGCAGATGCCGCCACGCTTAAAGATCGGCTCTTGCAAATGCAGAGCAAGTATCCTGAGGCTTCCCATCCTTGCCTCATGGTCCACATGCAGCCTGGCGACTTCAACCTTTACTTTACCTTCTATCAATATTAAATTGGCGTTTTGTGTGCATTGCAGGCCTGGCCCCATATGCCTCAAAGTGAGAAAGAAGTGAAAATAAAACTGTCAGTGTCATGATGCCGTGATACAAATCTATGCTGCAACCATGCTTGGAAAACTCTGTACAGTGGTGCCCCGCAAGACGAATGCCTCGCAAGACGGAAAACCCGCTAGACGAAAGGGTTTTCCGTTTTGGAGGTGCTTCGCAAAACGAATTTCCTATGTGCTTGCTTCGCAAGACGAAAATGTCTTGCGAGTTCCTGCGGGGTTTTTTTCCTTTTTCCCAAGCCGCTAAACCGCTTATCAGCTGATCGTTAAGCCGCTTATCAGCTGATCGTTAAGCCGCTTAACAGCTGATCGCTAAGCCGCTTATCAGCTGATCCGCTAAGCCCGCTAAGCCGCTAATACTGTAGCGCTAATCCGCTAAACCGCTAATGGGCTTGCTTCGCAAGACGAAAAAACCCGCAAGACGAAGAGACTCGCGGAACGGATTCTTTTCGTCTTGCGAGGCACCACTGTACAGTTCTGTCTGCCTCACCTCAAAGCAGATATTGCAGGGTTGGAAAAGGGCAGCCAAAATGATCAAGAGGGTGGAGCAGCTCCCCTACGAATAAAGCTTGCAGCATTTGGGACTTGTTAAGTTTTGAGCTGGAGAGGTTTTCTCCCTGTCTCAGAACACTAGAACGCATGGACATCCAAGGTAGCCAAATGCTGGAAGATGCATGACAGATAAAAGGTAGCCTTGCCAACAAAGGTCCGTCAAGTTCAAGCTATGGTTTTCCCAGTAGTGATGTATGGAAGTGAGAGCTGGACCATAAAGAAGGCTGATCGCCAAAGAATTGATGCTTTTGAATTCTGGTGCTGGAGGAGACTCTTGAGAGGCCCATGGACTGCAAGAAGATCCTATCCATTCTTAAGGAAATCAGCCCTGAGTGCTCACTGGAAGGACAGATCCTGAAGCTGAGGCTCCAATACTTTGGCCACCTCCTGAGAAGAGAAGACTCCCTGGAAAAGACCCTGATGTTGGGAAAGATGGAGGGCACAAGGAGAAGGGGACAACAGAGGATGAGATGGTTGGACAGTGTTCTCGAAGCTACCAGCATGAGTCTGACCAAAATGCGGGAGGCAGTGGAAGACAGGAGTGCCTGGCGTGCTCCGGTCCATGGGGTCATGAAGAGTCGGACATGACTAAACAACAACAACAGCCATGTTGGTCTGCCGTAGTCAAAAAAAATTCCTTCCAGTCGCACCTTAGAGACCAACTAAGTTTGTTATTGGTTTGTTCTGATATCAGGAATCACAAGACAGAGAAACCAGTAGGAGAACACTCCAGTCTCCCAGGAGATTCTATACAAGATCTCCAAGTAGCTGTCTTATTACAAAAGAATTTCAGAAATAGACTGAAAAGAGAAGTTGCTGAGTTGCAACTTATTACCAAACTTAAAACCACGGAGAGACCTGGTCTGCATAGAGACATTGGATTCTTATCTCGTTATACATGATAAGCTATTTTTAGCCATCTCACCCCTTGCTTTTTCCTGTAAGACCAATTGCAGTCATTTACAGTCGTCAACAGGTTTACCACACCTATCAGCCAATCACCCATTCCCACCACCCTTCTGAGTAATACCCCTCCCCACCCTCTCACTATATTTAAGGGTCTGGTGACTTCTGTTTCAGTGTACAGTGGTACCTCAGGTTACATACGCTTCAGGTTACAGACTCCACTAACCCAGAAATAGTACCTCGGGTTAAGAACTTTGCTTCAGGATGAGAACAGAAATCGTGCTCCAGCGGCACGGCAGTAGCGGGAGGCCCCATTAGCTAAAGTGGTGCTTCAGGTTAAGAACAGTTTCGGGTTAAGAACGGACCTCTGGAACGAATTAAGTACTTAACCCGAGGTACCACTGTATCTGAAGAAGTGTCCATGCACAAGAAAGCTCATACCAATAACCTAATGGCTACAGTCTGCCTTCACATTCAGAGGCAAAGATGCTTTTTAACACCCTTTGCTGGAAGGGGGAGGTGAGAGATTTCTTGTGCTCGGGTCCTGCTTGCGGCGGGTTTCCCATGGGGGCATCTGGGGGGGGGGCACTTTGAGAATAGGACGCTGGACTAGATGGGACACTGGCCTGATCCACCGGGCTCTTCCGATGTTCATGTGCTTTTATTGATGGCCATAAAAAGCGCCACCAGGTCTTCCAACTTGCAGAACCTGCCCCGTCCGAATTTGGACATTCAGAATTTGGGCATAGGTGGGGGTGTAGCAGGCTGTCTTCTAGGCGGTGCTATCATCTGCAGCAGCTGGTGAAGCTTGTGAAAATTTGACTTATCACGTGTAAAAACGCGGTGCGATATTTCAGCCCTCTTGACACAACGTGCTGATGACGGGAACTGGGAAGGAGGGAATTTGGCTGAGCAAGCCCCTGCCGGCTGGCTTGTTGCTGCATCCAGAGAGATATTTTCCACAGCTGGAACGGAGGGGGGGCATCGGGTTCATTTCTTATTAAAGAAACTAGGACACACGTGAGAGAATTTGGCATCTGCTCCCCTGAGCATGAGTTGCTGCTAATTTTCCTCTTCCCTGGCAACCTTGGGAAATTCCTTTTTTAAAAATGAAATAGGGTGCCCCCTTTTTTTTTTTGCTTTTGGTTCACTCTTTCCTCTTCCACCTCCATTTTATTTTCCCATGCCTTGCCTTTTGAGCCCAGTTCACACAGCATTGTGGGCAGCATCATCAACCAGGTGGAGCCCATGCCTCGTGCCTTCACTTCTGACCTCTGCACAGAACGTCGGAACATCAGAACCAAGCTTGCGCATGGGGAAACGGCCTCCTGGGAAGGAGATAAGGCTGTGGATCTGGCTGCGTCTGCTGTCCCAGTGCTGTCGTTGCACTGAGGTAAGCAACACCCTTCAGTACATTTGTATGTGAGGGTTTGGAAACTTGGGGAGCGCAAAACAGGAAGCTCGAGTGTCACCAGGACCTTGGCAGGGAGTCAAGAGCATTGTGGAAAAGTTGCAGGCTCCCATGTTATCGCACGAGTGTTGCTCACGTCTTCCTCTCTCTCATGCATAAGGCCTCATAAGGAGCTGAACAGAAGACCTGGTCTACCATGCATGAGGCAGGATGAGTGGACACAGTGGTACCTCGGGTTACATACGCTTCAGGTTACAAACTCCGCTAACCCAGAAAAAGTGCTTCAGGTTAAGAGCTTTGCTTCAGGATAAGAACAGAAATCGTGCTCCAACGGCGCAGCGGCAGCAGGAGGCCCCATTAGCTAAAGTGGGGCTTCAGGTTAAGAACAGTTTCAGGTTAAGAACGGACCTCCAGAACGAATTAAGTACTTAACCCGAGGTACCACTGTATTCCATTTCAAATGTCAGGGAGGGGCACTGATTCTGAATGTGCTCTCATATCAACAAGAACTCCCTGGCAGTGAAAAATGCGTTTTGGAGAAAGGGGTTCCAGCCTCGCCAATTCCCTGTTGTGCTAGTTCTTTTTTAAAAAAACCATGGGGAGCTTTTCAGCCCAGAGAGAACACAGTAGTACCTCTGGATACGAATGGGACCCATTCCAGAGCCCCATTTGCATCCTGAAGTAAACGCAACCCGCGTCTGCGTGGGTCGCAATTCGCCGCTTCTGCGCATGCGCGTGACATCATTTTGACCATCTGCGCATGCGTGAGTGGCGAAACCCGGAAGCAATGCATTCCGTCACTTCCGGGTCGCCGCGGAGCGCAACCCGAAAGCGCTCAACCTGAAGCAACTTCAACCCGAGGTATGACTGTATTCACAAATGTGATTTTGCACCTCCACCTCACATTCGGAAGTGTGCCAGTCAGTTCCTCAACCTCAGCACTCCAGCGCCACATAAAGAACACCAGAAGAGCCTGCTGGGACAGGCCAATCTAGTCCAGCACCCTCTTCTCACAGTGGAAAACCAGAGGCCTGTGGGAAAACTGCAAGGACATGAACACCAGAGCACTCTAGCACTCTCCTCTCCTGAGATTTCCAGCACCTGATATTCAAAAGCATTGTTACCATCAGTATCCTCCATGAATATCCTCATCTTCGTATATATATATATTTTAGTTTTTTTAACATATCATTTCCAACCATCAGATAACATAACTTCTTATCTTATACAATGTTTTAGACTTCCGTCAACACCTCTGATGATTTTCCGTTCTTTATCACTTATTCTGCATTTCTTAATATATCTATTACTCTTAATTATCATTAACTAATAATTCTCCTCATAGCCTTTCTTGGAATATTTCATATAATTCTCCTTACAAAATGTCTTGCAGTCCTACTGTTCATTACTATTACTTTTCAAATAGTTCATATATTTACTCCAGTCTTCTAAGAATCTCTGGTCCCGCAGGTTTTGAATGCTTCCAGTTAATTTATCCAATTCTGCATAGTCCATCAGTTTCATCCGCCATTCTTCTTTTGTTGGTAGTTTTTCTTCCTTCCATTTTTGTGCCAATAATATTCTTGCTGCCGTCATTGCATATAAAAACAATTTACAATCCTGTCTATTAATCTCATCTCCCACAATGCCAAGTAAAAATGCTTCTGGTTTCTTAATAAATGAATATTTCAACATCTTTTTCATCTCATTATATATCATTGCCCAGACGTTTTTCACTTTTTTACACCCACCACATGTGATAAAAAGTTCCTTCCTTTTCTTTACATTTCCAACATTTATTACTTGTTTTATACATTTTAGCTAATTTCACCGGGGTAATATACCCCCTATACATCAAATTTGTCTAATCATCTTCTAAAGTCATTGGTGGGAGAGAGTTCTATAGTTTAACCATGCACTGCATAGAGAAGTCATTTTTCAGCCCATGAGTTCTAGTGCCATGAGAGGAGAAAAATTTAATGCACATTCTTCATGCCATGCATCATTTTATAAACTTCTATCATGTCACCTCTTACTCACCTTTTCTCTAAACTTAAAAGTCTCAATGCTGCGACCGTTCTTCATCAGGGAGCATTACAGCTTTAGTCAGTGAGTCGTTTTATTAGCTAAGGAGCAATAGCATTCACTAGAGAGTCATAAGCCAAGCATAGGCAAACTCGGCCCTCCAGACGTTTTGGGACTACAGTTCCCATCATCCCTGACCAATGGTCCTGTTAGCTAGGAATCATGGGAGTTGTAGTCCCAAAACATCTGGAGGGCCAAGTTTCCCTATGCCTGGTTGTAGCATTAGAGAGGGAAGGAAAGTGATTCAGAGAATCATTATATCTTTGAAAATGTGGAATCGTGGAGTTGGAGGAGACCTAAAGAATCATCTAGTCCAACCCACTGTTGATTATTTTGCAGATTAGTTGGGCTGCAGAAGGCGTGCTGGGGAGACCACACATTAAGAGAAGCAAAAGTAACTTTTGCTTGGTTTAATAACAAAAAGAAAAACAAAAACTCCTTTTACACTAAATTACATTATATCAATAAGTGTGACCCATCCATCAGGGTACTGAGAGAGTGACATGCTGCTCTTTATATACTATACCCAACAGCTTAATTAACATAGCTTGCTATACTGCTTCACAGCTGTAAAACTAGGTCATGTTATTTGCTCTGGCCCTTAAAGACATACACATCTTGTGAAACAATAATGAAATCTAAAATTTGAAGAAACCATTCAACACCCACTGCAATGCATGTGAGGACGATTTTTAGCAGTTTCTATATTCTGGGTCTGTCACTATCAGTGAAGACTTGGAATCATAGGGGACCACCCCTCTACAGCCACAGCTGGATTATTTTCAAAACATTAACCTCAGAGACCAGTTGATTTGCTCCGGGTGAAATGGCTTGCCTTTTCTTTTGCAGGCATATTCAGAACAAGACCTGGAGGGGCCTCTTGACAATGGGTTCAAGTCCTCACTGAACTCTTCACATGACAGCAAATATGCACCAAACCTGGAGATATCAGGTTTAAGTCCAGTGTAGCGATTCAGAGAATGACGACTATAGACGCAAGAAGTTAGCAAGGCCCGTTCTGACACGTATTAGTAGCAAGCAGCACTGTTTCCCTTCTGCTGCAGTTTGGCTTCCATTTAAAACTACTCTAGCCTTGCTGTCCATGGTGGCCAAATTTAACATATGATTATTTAAGTAATGGCAATGTTATTGTGTCCCTCCACATCATTCATTTCAACGCAAAGGAAATATCAGGGAAAAGGGGGGTGGGATGAACATTGTTAATGACGTATCATTTGGAGTGTTGTAAACAAAATCTGCCCTTCTTCCCTTATGGGGTATTCAAGAGCCTGTATAGAGTTCTTAAGTGAGTTCCCTATCGTTAGGAGAAAATAGCAGAGGCCAACCAGAGAATATTGAGAAGCAAAGCAGCTAGTAAGCCTGATCTTTATTAAGGCTGTTGCAACAGGGTGCTCCCCTCACACGCAGGAAAGGAGAAGGACCTCAAACAATGGCGCGCAAGGCCTTATATAGATATTTTAAATTCCCTGCCCTGGAGCTCAAGACCACCCCTCTATACATACATCACAGAAAAAGCGGTCTACAACAGAAATTTGAATGTTGTTTTTCTTGTCTGCCAGGTTATCTGATAATGCCTTATCTGATTGCCTTTCCTGGTAGTCTGCCCATTCCTTTGAGATGGTGATTACCTAATTCCTGAGACAATGGGAAGGTTCACTCATCCCCTCCCTCCTTGCAGAGAAAACATTTGGCCAGTTTGGGAGTCAAAATGGTTTCAGGACGGTCTTCCTGTGCTGCTCCAGACATGTTGTCCACATATCTATGTACATGCTTGGTTGGTACATTTATGAACATTTATTTTATATATATATAAGACCTTAAATTTTTTATTACAGGAGACTGGAAAAAAGAGACTGGCTCATATCCCCTTGCCTGAATGCTGTTTCCAAGGACAAATGAACACATGAACTGGGACAATTTTTGCTTCTGTGACTGGACTGATCAGAGTAGAATTATACGCCATACCTAATGAAGAAATTTCCAAGTTCAAGGGCATCTGCAGGGAGATGGGAGAGAACCAGTTGTACACAATACTGAGCTAAGTGGACCCAAGGGTCTGACGCTGGATGGGGCAGCTTCCTATGTTCCTATGACTCCTTGTTCTTTTAGTTCTATAATGAATTATATAAGGCTAGTTAAGTTGCCTTTTATGGTTTCTCTGAAGTTCCCTGTTTCCCTTCTCTTCAGATCTGCCCTCCTGTTGCTTCAGGGGACGGTCCCACTCCATAGCACGCACTAGAGCAGGGGTCAGCAAACTTTTTCAGCAGGGGGCCGGTCCACTGTCCCTCAGACATTGTGGGGGGCCGGACTATATTTTGAAAAAAATAAATAAATGAACAAATTCCTATGCCCCACAAATAACCCAGAGATGCATTTTAAATAAATGGACACATTCTACTCATGTAAAAACACGCTGATTCCCGGACCATCCGTGGGCCGGATTCAGCCCCCGGGCCTTAGGTTGCCTACCCCTGGGTTAGAGTATCACAGGGTCTAAAATTTAGGCTGCGGTTCTGGCACTTGGTCAGTGCAAACTTGCAGCCGTGCTCCTTTTGTCCCTTTTGACTCTGCCTGAGCTGTGGTGGTGGTGGTGACAGCTCAGGAAATGGATCCCACAATAAAATCTGTGCAAGTAGTGATTGAGAAGACTCTAATCTCTGTGGAGATAAGGAGTTGCTACAGCAAACGACAACATGAGCCCGAAAGTGATGGATGCTGGGAATGTTTGGTGACTGTTGTTCTTCAGCTCCTGGGCTTGTGGCTTTCAGAGGCCCTGCTCTGAAAGCTCCTCATTTAACTCAGCACGGAGCTTTTCAACACCATCTGGGGCTCACGCCTTGCTTAACCTCATCAGATTGAGGGCCAAGGGTGCCTGTGCTGGAAGCTGCAGAGAGCAAATATTGACAATATTATTATTTGTAAAGGTATGGCTGTTTTTGGGTCAAGGTGCTCTCCAAGACATTTTGGTGCTTGAGGTGAATACATTTGAAATCACACAAATGCAGAGAGTATGTTTTCAACAACCTCTGCTTTAACCTTGCACTCTCCCCTTGGTGTTGAAGATGCTGTCATCTTGGTATCGGGTAGCTTAAATTTTCTCTGTATGGGGTTCACAAAGACATCCCCCCCAGTGGTTTAAGGGTTGGCCTCATTTCAGGGTCTTGTTATAAGAATTTTTAGGTCATATATATATATATATATATATATATATATATATATATATATAATAAATGTACCAAGCAAACACATATATATAAATATATAAACCACATGTCCAAAACCCACAGGAAAAGTCCTAAAGCCATTTTGACTCTTTCAGTCACCTCAAATATTTCTCTACAAGGTCAAAGGAAATGCAGAAACCTCCCCACTCTCTCTGTCCTCACAAATCCTGCCTTAAGGGCACATTTAAGGTGTGAATAGGGTGAGCCTGTGACCTGGCTCTGGAATTAAGTATTATCATTACAAAAGGATGGCCAGGCTCCCCAGATAATCCAGTTAAGTGACCATTAACAGGTAACCTGGCAGACAGGGTAAAAACAACGCACTCAGATTTCTGTTGTAGACCGCCTTTTCTGTGATGTAGGTATGATGTATCTGGGGGGTGGTCTTGCGCTACACCCCTTCTGTGATGTATGTATGATGTTTCTGGGGGTGGTCTTGGACTCCAGGGAGGGCTATTTAAAACGTCTATATAAGGGTGGGCACACCTTTGTTCTGGGTCGTCCTCTCTCTTCTGTGTGTGTGGGGAGCACCCTGTTGCAGCAGCTTTAATAAAGATCAGGCTTACTAACTGCTTTGCTTCTCAATATTCTCTGGTTGGCCTCTGCTATTTTCTCCTACCGACAGAGAACCTACAAAAGGACTCTATATGGGCTCTTGGGTACCCCATAAGGGAAAAGGAGCAATTATTTTTACTTACATCTGTCTGTTCCCCTGCAATGGGAGAGATCCTTGGAGATTCATCATGTCTTTGTAATCTGCACACTGAGTTTGTGAGAACAGTTGGCACCAGCCTACTAAGCAGCATCACCTCCCAACAGACAAACAATATTTTATGGAGACACCCCCCCCCCCCCGCAACCATAAGAAGCAGGAAAAATCCCAGTTTAAGGCAGGCTACAAATATCAGTGTTCTCTTTCCAGTGAGCTTTCTTTGTTTTGCCACATAGCTATCAAGAGTGAGACCACTAGGCTCAGGAAGCTTCCAGATGGCCTTTGTAATGAGCATTCACCCTAATTTGTTTGCAGAGAGTTTACATGACAGCTGCATACACCTCAACTGTCCCGATTTAAGCAGGACATCCCGTTTTTGAGAGCCATGCTCTTGCATGAGTCACCTGGCTCCCACGAGATCGCAGCCCTGAAAGATGTGTGTTGGGGGAAGGGGCATTCTCTCATGTGAGTTGCGTGACTCGTACAGGGGTGTGGCCCCCAAAGACACGTGTCTGAGTTTTACTCTGGGACGTGTTGGAGGGTGTGCAGTTGGTTATTTAATGACTCTGATTTGCAAGGAGGCTAGGCTATGTTGTAGGGACGCGGGTGGCGCTGTGGGTCAAACCACAAAGCCTAGGACGTGCCGATCAGAAGGTTGCTCTGTCCCAGCTCCTGCCAACCTAGCAGTTCGAAAGCATGTCAAAGTGCAAGTAGATAAATAGGTACCGCTCCGGCGGGAAGGTAAACGGCATTTCCGTGCGCTGCTCTGGTTCGCCAGAAGTGGCTTGGTCATGCTGGCCACATGACCCGGAAACTGTCTGCGGACAAACGCTAGCTCCATCGGCCAGTAAAGCGAGATGAGCGCCGCAACCCCAGAGTCGGTCATGACTGGACCTAATGGTCAGGGGTCCCTTTACCTTTAGGCTATGTTGTATGAAAGCAAGTGCCAGCCCATCCTTTCCATTGGTCACAACAAGTCTAGTGTTTCAGGGAGGTGGGTTTGTTATGCAGGATCTCCAGTCCAACTAGAATTGGAAACAAAGAATTGTAGAGTTGGAAGGGACCCAAAGAGTCGTCTAGTAGTCCATCTAGCAGGAATCACAGCTAACTTGCACAACCTGAGTTTGCTGGTAGGCAACTGAATCTCATCTGAACTTAGGGACAGTCTTGAAGTGTCCTCAAACAGTACCTCCTAAAATTGCCCATTCAGATAGCATCTCCTAACAACAAGTTCTCATCAGTGAAATATCATCAGCCAATCTGCTGCTACCTTTGAGCTAGCAGCCAACTTGTTGTTGCTGTTTAGTCGTTTAGTCGTGTCCGACTCTTCGTGACCCCCTGGACCAGAGCACGCCAGGTACTCCTGTCTTCCACTGCCTTCCGCAGTTTGGTCAAACTCACGCTGGTAGCTTCGAGAACACTGTCCAACCATCTCGTCCTCTGTCGTCCCCTTCTCCTTGTGCCCTCCATCTTTCCCAACATCAGGGTCTTTTCCAGGGAGTCTTCTCTTCTCATGAGGTGGTCAAAGTATTGGAGCCTCAGCTTCAGGATCTGTCCTTCCAGCGAGCACTCAGGGCTGATTTCCTTCAGAGTGGAGAGGTTTGATCTTCTTGCAGTCCATGGGACTCTCAAGAGTTTCCTCCAACACCATAATTCAAAAGCATCAATTCTTTGGCGATCAGCCTTCTTTAAGGTCCAGCTCTCACTTCCATACATCACTACTGGGAAAACCAGAGCTTGAACTATACGGACCTTTGTTGGCAAGGTGATGTTTCTGCTTTTTAAGATGCTGTCTAGGTTTGTCATTGCTTTCCTCCCAAGAAGCAGCCAACTTAAAGACCACCAATTCTTCCTTGACACATCAGTGTAACATTTCTGGTTTTGCACAATATCCCTATAAACTCACATTTAATGGCACGTGACATTTCAGGTGCACAAATGAACGTTTAAATAAAAGTATAGTTTTCCCTTCCCTCACCAGACTCCACTGGAGTTTTCCCACCATTTTATTGTCACTCCTTTGTGCCCCCCCCGATGGTTATGCAGGTGCCTCTTAGTTTTGCCCAAGTCTCAGGTGCTTAACTGCTTATCTAGAGACATTTTCAGTAGCCAGCCCAGCTGTGTTGGTCATAAAGGACACAACTGGCTTTTTCAAGAAGACTAACCCAATGCAGTAACTTAGGGCATAGACTCTATCCTATCAAAGGAGAGTTTCAGCTTCCAATTGACATCAAAAGGCAGTAAGAGCTGCAAGGCTATGATTGTAGGAGACAGAGTTGCTTGGGAAAGTTGGACCAACTCCATTGCAAAGAGTGAAGAGTTAGCCATAGCCTAATGGGTAAGAGAATGAGCTTTTTAAAGAGTATGTATACATTTAATTATCTCCTATAAGCAGGGATGGCTCACCTATGGCCCTCCAGATGTTTGCTGAACTACAGTTCCCATCATCCCCATACCAATACCTTGAGAGCCCAAAGTTTCATAAGATAGTTCTATGCAGCAACATCTGGCTCCTCTTTTAATATTTTTCAGAACTCTGGGCAACTGTAAACATATGTTGGTGATCTACCTGAAGGCAGTCTGGGGAGGGGGCAGGTGTCAAACTATTGCCATATTCAACTAAAGAAGTAGTAGTCGAGTTTCTAGCTTTCTCCAGTCATTGGCTAAGATGGTTGGTTGATGTAAAAGACACCGTACAAGCTGTTCAGCCAGCGGTTTTGAAGCTAAGTTTGTAAGGCACGGTCATCAAGGACTGTATGGAGGAAAAGGCTTGTTGTGGCCAATGGGTGAACACGAGAACGCAAGAACATAAGACGCACCTGCTGGATCAGACCAATGACCCACATCTAGTCAAGCACTCTGTTTTCATGGTGGCCAACCAGTTGCCCCAATGGGAAGCCGGTAAGCAGGATTTGAGCACAAGAGCACTCTTAGTTTTCGCCATTGGATACAATGCACCCTTTATTAGCAAATTAAGACATGGCACTCCAAAGCTTGCCATGGTTCACTTCTCTTTGGATATATAGGTCTGCTGAGGCTGCTTAGGGCTACCACATTTCCTTGCCCGCTATAACTTGGCTTGCTGCCATCAGTTCTTTCCTGGCCAGCTATTTTTACCAGGAAAAGAGAAGAGGCATTGCAGATACACCCAACTCAGCATAGCCTGGGGGAATTTGTGGAGTAAACATTATGGTTTGTAGACTGATAGGCAGGTCTTCCAGGCAGGGCCAGAATACGATGGTGGCGGTGTTATGAGAGAGAAAAACTGCTCCTTTTCCCTTATGGGGTACCCAAGAGCCCATATAGAGTCCTTTTGTAGGTTCTCTATCGGTAGGAGAAAATAACAGAGACCAACCAGAGAATATTGAAAAGCAAAGCAGCTAGTAAGCCTGATCTTTATTAAAGCTGTTGCAACAGGGTCCTCGCTCACCACACACAAGGGGTGGGGTGGGACCCAGAACAAAGGTGTGCCCACCCTTATATAGACGTTTTAAATTGCCCACCCTCAAACTCCAGACCACCCCCAGAAACATCATACATACATCACAGGGGGCGGTCTAAAAGAGAATCCTGAGTTTGTTGTTTATCTCCTGTCTGCCAGGTTACCTGACTGCATTACCTGGGTTTTGGCCACTCTTTTGTTATGATAACTCATCAATTCCTGAATCCAGATCACAGGTCACAGGCTCACCCTATTCACATCTTAAATCCTTAATGCAGGATTTGTGAGCACAGAGACAATGGACAGATTTCCCCTTTCCTTCGACCTTGCAGAGAAATATTTGAGGTCATTTGAGGAGAGAGAAAATGGTTCCAGAACTTTTCTGTGCGTTTCAGACATGTGGTTCATATATTTATGTATGTGTTCGCTTGGTACGTTTATGAACATCTATTTTATATATATAAGACCTTAAAATTCTTATAACAGCAGGTTCTCAGAGTTTGTGATATGTACCAGGTGTTCTCCATGGATCTCATATCTGTCCCTTGTGTTCAAGGACTTTGGGCTAGCAAAAAAGAAAGGGGAAAGGGGAAAAAAGCGACTGCATACTATATGCCACTATATTTTGTATTACACCGAGAAATTAAAAAAAGAGACAAATTATATATTTACAAAAGAAAACAAGCGAGAAAATCCGTAACACTTTTTTTTGCCGTTATTAGCGTCAAAATCCATGTATGATTCAGTGCACAAGATTGTCCACGTGTGTCTTACATACCGCACAAAAATAGAAGATTTTGTATTCTACATTATATTACAACAGTCAATAAATATATCAATAAATAACGGCTGCATGGATGTAGGTTAAGCTGGTTTGAGTTAGTCCTTGACGTTGTCTTTGGTGTTGATTCCCATGAAGAGTCAAGAGTCCATTCTCTCAAAGGCAAGGCCTGTTATCTCATCCAGGGAATACAGCCTTGCCTTAAAAGTGTAAAACAAAGGCTGGAGACAGTACAGTAGGTTGCAGCGGAGGGCAGCGCACTCAGCGTCAATTACACTTTCCAAAGAATCTGACAAATTCCCAGCTTAGTATAAATAAAGCACCAGGCCTATTGTTTCTCAGCTCCAACACCTTCTTATCGCAATGATTTGTTGGAGGGCGAGTGGCGGAAACATGACATGTGACTCGAGAGAGCACCGTCTTGTGAACTGACAGCTTCATAAAGGCAAAGACCCTCTCTTTGTCCGCAGAGATATTCCATTCTGACACGAAGCACAGTATAATTTCCCCTCTCCGTAGAATCTCAACAAGCATGCAAAGAGCATTGGGTCTTGCGGGTGAGGTGGGGTGGGGACAAATTCCAAGTCACCAGTATTTTCTTGGTCTATTTCTGTTGACAGTCATGGAGCAGGTCATTAATGCAAGAGGAGAATATAGTTCTTGGCACCAAATTTTGAATTGCCAGCATTTATGCAATTGGAATCAGGCGTGTCTGTCTTAGGATAAGCCCCCACCAAACTGGTTATGCACAATGATCTTTCAAAGGAGAGGGTAGTGAAGTATTGCACCTTTCAAAAGTTGTGTAGGGTGGTAACCGGGTGTTCTATAATCTGAGTCTGTAACTGGACTCTCTTATGTATGCTTACTTGAAGTTCTGTTCTGCTTTTAAATGATTAAAAACTAGGTTAAACAAAGTTGTGCAGAAAAGGGGACTTTGGTCAGTGCATCATCTCTACATGTCAATCATATCAGAATTACCTCATTGTCTGTAACTACTGGAGATGCACAAACCCCCAACTCCGCCTCTGGTGGAGTAGGCCCAAAGCCTTAGTAAAGGTGAAGGTAAAGGGATCCCTGACCATTAGGTCCAGTCGTGACTGACTCTGGGGTTGCGGCACGCTTTATTGGCCGAGGGAGCCGGCATACAGCTTCCAGGTCATATGGCCAGCATGACTAGGCCGCTTCTGGCGAACCAGAGCTGCGCACGGAAACACCGTTTACCTTCCCGCCGGAGTGGTACCTATTTATCTACTTGCACTTTGACGTGCTTTCGAACTGCTAGGTTGGCAGGAGCTGGGACCGAGCGTGCTGCACAATTTGTGTCTGAGGCAATTTCTAGTGACATGGGGGTGGGGGCTAGATTTGTGCACATCAACATTACCGATACTGTGTCCAGCAATTTTAATTTCTTCTGAATGCATCATATAACCATCCGATTGATTGAGTTCGTTCTCAGAAATATATTTAAAAATAACATCCTTTGTGTGTACAGTATACTGCAAATCCTGATTTGGACACAAAAAGGGGGAACTGAAATGGTTCTCAGTGGCCAGATTTGGGGGGGTTAGTTCACACAGTCAGCAGAAACGACTGCGAGGCATTTTATTTTGTGGGGGAGAATTGAACCATGGGCAGTTTGAAGTGGTATAATCTGGCATAAAGGGAGAGAATTAACACTGGATTCTGCTGATTGTGTAAACTGACTCTTGAGTAAAGTGAAAATGCACAATCCTGCTTTCCCCAAGCCAACCGTGAAAGCGAAAATACACCCCCTCTAATCTGTCGCCCATTTCCTTTGTCTCTAATTATCTGTACATGCCTCATTAAATAAGCTTATTAAGTCTGTACAAATCAAAACTGTACAAATATACAGATGAAAGAATTAAATAATCTGAGGAGGACCCAAAGCCCTGTGGGTGGGAAGCATCCTTCTACTATCTGCACCCGCACTCTGAGACAGCCATGCCTTCGTAGTTGAGCTTGTAGGTGACAACCCCATTATCTAAGAAGAGTAAGGAGATGGGATCCAGCTTGGTAGGTACACAACAAGCTGGAGAAGCTTTCTGGGGATCATTCAAGTGAATCAAAGTCCGGGCCTTGGCATGAGTGGTCGTGAGGTGATCGTCCAAAGGGAAGGAACAGGCTCCCCTGCACTGTGAGGCGTCATAGCCTGGAGGTGCAATGATCCAGGAATCCCAGCCAATCTCCTTGAAATCCACATAGAGCGAAGTCTTTTTGCAGCTGCTCCCCTTGGCGTTCCTCCTTATCCGGGATGTGGAGTCGTAGATTATGTTGGATCTGATCTGCAGAAGTTTCTCCTTTCTGGGGCTGGTATGGAAATCATTCATTTCCGGGTCCTGCAAATCTTGCTCGTGCTCTATTATCTCATTCAGTTCGTGCTTCTCCTCTTTCTTGGCATGGCTTCGGTCGTCGGAAAACACAATGAGTAAAGGCTCATGTTTGGTCTCCGAATCGATGTCTATATCTGCTTTCCCTCCTCCGACGGCCTCCTCTCCCCCTCGGCTCTCAATCTGCACCTCCAGCTGATGAGTGGTGGAGTCTGAGTGATGCCACCTCCTGATGGCCTCCGTGACCTCAAACGTTTTCCATTCATTGTCGGTGCTGTAAATGTGCCGGGATGCCAGAACTTTCATTCTCCTCTCCTCTTCCTCCTTCCCTCTTCCACGGTCATTCTCGAGCACTTCCAGGATGGTGACTTTCCTGCTGAGACCATTGTAGAACATCCTGTCCTCCTGCACCAGAGTGTAGAGCCTCAATTCCGCCATTGTTATTTTCTCATGGTGTGGAATGGAGACGTTGAAGAGAAGAGGGTACCTCCGTATTCCATTGAAGTGGATGGGCTGCGGAATCTGCTCTGAAAATTAAAAGCAATCAAATGTTACCCTTCTTCCCTGTATGGCCAGGATCACCAACGAAAGGGCGTCTATGCCGAGCAATGGGTCCCAAACCTTTTCAGGGCCTTTTCCCCTTGGTTCCATAAACTCCTCCCCAGTGACCCTTGCCTCACCCTATAAAAAGCATGGTTCAGAATAGCAGTGTGCATGGCCTACTGAAGATAACAATAGAATAAAATTCAAAACAGTAACAGTTAATTGCACATTTATTCAAAATCCAATTAAAATGATTTAGTTTAATTAATTCAACAAAATGGATAAACTTGATCCAGTGATTCTAGCTTTTAAAAGTCTGATCGTCTGCCTCTTAGTACCCCTCCCACTGCCTGCCCCACCCCCAGGAGGTGGAACCACCCATCTCGGGAACCTCAGGGCTAGAGGGGACTTCTACTCAACCAGATTGACTATGACCCAAGAATCCTGAATATTGTAGTTTTGGGAGAGTTCGGGGGATCTTTTCTAAAAGACCCCCATGGAAATTTAATGCTGAGCTTAATCTGATTGACTTGGTGGTCAAAGGAGAAGTGAGTAAGGCCAACGCAAAACTAGAGGAAGGGCAAATCTTTATACATTTCTGTCTCACATATTGTCAAAGGTAGCCAGAATTGTTTGGAGAGCTTCTACAGGAGGTTCTTACAAGAAAGAGGTAGGAAATACGCACTTGGTGAAATTTTGAAATTCAGGAAAGCAAGATAAATGTGGCAGGCCTGATGAGGCCCACAGGACAGAGCCTTCCTCGGCATTGGCTATAGTCACCGCAAGGGTTTGCTTGCTGGTGAAGGTCATCTTGACAGCTCTAAAGTTGAGAAATGTGTGTTTAAAATCTACTGGAGTTTACATGAAGACAGTCTGGGCTTTCATATGTGCATGAGTGCATTAGTAATCTCTTTTAATCAATGTTCTGGGAGGGTGGTAGTGTTAGTCTACTGCAGTGAAAATGAGAAAGAGTCCTGTAGCTTTTCAAAGTCCGTATAGTAAAAGCTCTGGTTTTCCCAGTAGTGATGTATGGAAGTGAAAGCTGGACCATGAAGAAGGCTGATCGCCGAAGAATTGATGCTTTTGAATTCTGGTGCTGGAGGAGACTCTTGAGAGTCCCATGGACTGCAAGAAGATCAAACCGATCCATTCTGAAGGAAATCAGCCCTGAGTGCTCACTGGAAGGACAGATTGTGAAGCTGAGGCTCCAATGCTTTGGCCACCTCATGAGAAGAGAAGACTCCCTGGAAAAGACCCTGATGTTGGGAAAGATGGAGGGCACAAGGAGAAGGGGACGACAGAGGACAAGATGGCTGGATAGTGTTTGCGAAGCTACCAGCATGAGTTTGGCCAAACTGCAGGAGGCAGTGGAAGACAGAAGTGCCTGGCGTGCTCTGCTCCATGGGGTCATGAAGAGTCGGACACGACTAAATGACTAAACAACAACAACAACAAAGCTTTTCAAGACTCACAGATTCATGATGGCGTCATTAGACACAGCTGCTGAAGTGGACTCTTCTCTGTGAAAGCTGGTGCAGACTTTTAAAGTTCTGCTTGGCTCCTGCCTCTGAACAGTTAGCGGTGCCATAATTTGCAAGTTAGTTAAGATGGAGTGTGAGAGCGTAAAGCAAGTCAACCGTGATCTGTGACTAAATTAGCCCTTTGGCTTAAGCGACTTTCCGAATTGGAATGTTAAAATGATCTTAGTAAGCGTTATTGGCAAAAATGCTGCTTCTCCAAGTCAGAAGCACATCATGAAAGTGGGATACACCCATCTCGTTTTAAGAATGCATTTCATGGTATGGCTTTTGTGATCAGGTCCACCACGCTGATTCATTCAGTCTTAGAGATTTGTATAGGAAAAGGTTGCACTTTGCAGGCAGGCTAGGAGACCGATTTATATAGGGAATGTTTCACACCAAGCTGTTTTAAAAGGAAATAATGTCCCTCTCTGCATTCACCCTTCCAAAAATATCAATTAATCCAGACTGCTGGGTTTGGGTTGCATTGACTTCAGAATTTCTAAATGGAGAATTTCGGTTCATCCTGAGTCCTTCCCCATAGCTGACAACAGGACTGCCAGTGTCTAAGCTGCATTCATGGAAACAATATTCCAGAACACGATTCAAAGGAAACTGAAGGATCTCAGTAAGTGCCATTGTGTCTACATTTCCTGAATCTCAGTTTATAAGATGCTGATTATGAAAACAGAAAGGAAAAGCATGCCACTCTCAAAAAAGTATGATGGTTATTGAGAAGTGCTGAGAGCTATGTGGACATTGAACATCTTTTGCTTTCATACAAAATCTGAAAACTTGCAAAAGCCCCACATATTTTTAGTTGGCTGAAGGCTGCACCCCTGCCCATTTATTTGGGAGTAAGCTCTATCAAATCCAATAGGATTTGCTTCTGATATCACTGATTCTTTAGAGTTTTGGAAAAACCTTCTAGGTAGAAGGAAGTATTTTTATTGCATCGATTTTTGGGGTGGGAAGCTGAGTATCTAGGAGGAAGCAGAGTATCCCTTTGAATGGATAGTCCTATTCATCCAGCCCTCCAGATGTTGATGGCTGCCACTTCCATAAGCTTCAATCAGCACAGTCAATGTTCAGGGATCCAGTTGTCCAACAACATCTGGAGTGCACTATGTGGCACATCTGATGACCAAGTTACCCATGTAAATACCAATGGCGTGTAGCTCATGTGCCACTAATACATTGTGTTATATATATTTATATAGAAAATGAGCATAATAATTGATGAAAGATTTTGTTATCAAAAGCAATATAAAAAACAACATATACAACCCCCCCTGAAAGTTCTCTGACACAATATCCATTGAAATCAGTGGGAGCTGAGTGGGATCGCAGTGGTGTGTTTGCGCAGCAGCTCATGCAGAGGAAATGCTAAGCAGATTACTTCTGTTGTGCTTACTTCTAGGAACATGGGAAGCTGTTGGTCCTTCTTGCTCAGTATTGTCAACAATCCAAAGTTTTAGGCAGGGAAAATTCCCAGCCCTACCCAAGAGGTCCCGGGGATTAAACCTAGGTCCTTCTGCATGTGAAAAAGATGACCCAACACTGAAAAACCACTGAGCTACCAAATAAGGCAACCATGACTATCTTCAAAGGAGCATTTTAAGTGAGACTTGGGCAATGGGAGGAGATTCTCCATTTAGATCTCAAAATTAGTAGTCACCTTTTCAAAAAGCATCCCTGATAGATATTTAAAAACCAGGTGTGCCATGCACTTGAAAATCCAGCAAATGGTTCAAATGACTTGCAGTCATTTGTCAAACAGCTGGGCAGATAAGGTGTGTGGTCCACCAAGTAGCAGGTCAACCAGCTTGACACCTGCTTACCTGGAACACTTTGCTAATAAATCACCCATCAAACTTCCCCTCTGCATCCTAACTGCAACACCTAACAGGCTTGTTTAAGAGACCTTACCTTCATTTTTGAAGCTTCTGATGATGTTAGCCGATGGCATGGAGGTCTTATCAGTGGCAAACCTGTTAAAGAGCTCCAGCATGTATTCCGGAGGGTCCACTTTGGCTGCTGTCTCTTGCAGGGGGATGTCGGAGATGTTGAGCGCCTTCAGCAACTCGTTCTGCAAAGTCTGAAGCAAGGCATCCTGTTCGTCAAAGAACGGCCTGTCTTCCTCCAGAAGAGGCATGTCTAGGCTCATGATGGGACTACCGTTTGCAAGGTGCACCAGAATGGAGACGGCTGCCCACAGCTGAAAGCCTGCGGGTTCCATGGCCTCGTTCTAGCTGGCCACAGGACTCGACAAAAGCGTTGCTCTGGTGCCGCCTATTTTATCCCCCTGCAAATGGGTATCAACGTCTTGTGTCACTGACGGTTGACAAGTCTGGAAGTTGGAGCTTGTGATCCAACTCTCTGTCTTTGCCTCTCGTTTCCACACCCCCATCCAGGTCCCAGTAATTGGATAGAGCTGGCGGTGCCTCCCATACAAGCCCTTCACTCTCTTATCTCCTCCAGTATAAGCTTGTTCACCAGATTTCGGTTGCTATCTCACAATCCTCCTTCCTCTTAATGAGCATTTTGTAAACATTCCACATTGGGATGCTATGAAATAGAGCAATTTCCCCTTGCTTTTTTTCTGCATGGGACCTGACTCCCCCCTTCGCCCCTTGCCACTGCTAACGTCTTAGGACCCAGCTGACCATTTTGAAACCAAGTCTCTTTGCTTTGTTGCGATTTCAGCTAAACATGCGCATGGCATAGGAGTATCCATGGTCCATGCTATAACCAAGTTTCTGCCAATCCAGTCAGCAGACCTCTGAAAAGCAGCAAGTAAGTGTTTGCTCCAAGGGGAGACTGAAAAACTCTCAGGAGTTGGAAGTAAAAGCTTAGGGCAAATGATGGTTTGGAAGACTTTCAATGCGCAAGGAGCATATGGACATGAGAAGAGCCTGCTGGATCAGATATTTGAAAATGGCTATTATATCTCCTCTTCTCCAAGCTACACATCCCCAGATCCCTCAACCATTCTTCATATGGCTTGGTTTCCAGACCCTTGATCATCTTGGTCACCCTCCTATTCACACCTTCCAGCTTGTCAATGTCCTTCTTAAGCCAGAGTGCCGAATGTAATGGCAACATCATATTGATTGTCTAACAATTCTGCACCAACTCCTTATTGCATGTGATTGGAGAATTCAATCATTGTTGGTGAAAAGATGAAACTATTCCTCCCTTGGAGGAAGCCTATTGTGTCACTGCATGAGTCCCTTCACTGAGCTCACCTTCCAGTCAGGAGGCACACCCAGCAAAGTAACCCTCAAAGTTCTCGAGATGGCTAGAAATAATAAATATTTTGGGGAAGTGAGGAGTAAGTGCATTGTATTAATTTATAAAGCGCTGAACAACGGAGGTCCAAGCTATCTCAGGGATCACCTGAATCCTTCTGTCTCAGCTCAATTACTAAGATCATTTGCAGGAATGTCTTTGGTCATCTCCCAGGTTGGCAAGGCTCATTTGACAACAACAAGAAACCGTGCCTTCAATCACATCGGCCTGGTCCTGTGGAATGCTCTGCCACTGGAGATTCAGCAGGCGCTTCTGTTTTAACATTTAAATGCCTGCTGGTTTTTTATTTATTTTTATTTTTTGTATCCCACCAGGCCCATGCAGGCAATTAAGAAGATATCTTTCCACAATGGTTAGTTGATGTTTGATTTCAATCATTTAATGTTTTTTATGGTCTGGTTTTATGTATTTTTGTTGTAAGCCACCTTGATAAATAAATAAATTTCATGCCTTTAATTTGAAAAACAAAGTGTGTTTCTTCTTCCAAAATGTGGGGAATTCTGACCTTTCTGCATCTACTGGCAGGTTGCAAGAGTCCATATTCATGCATTTCTCTGGCGGACATGATAACTCCCTTACATGGGCCATGTCAGATGCTGGAAGACGAGCCATCATTGCTTAGCTCCTTGAACTAGAAATGGCATGGAGCATCCCAAAATATGTGCATGAGACACAGGAAGTTCTCCCCATTCCTCTTCCACATGAGCTGGCTAATGGGTGAGGTAACTGTTGGGCATGAGAGGGGAGATAAAGAAGTGTGACCTCGAAAGTGTGATGAGCAAGTGTTGGAATAATTACATTTCCCCTTCTGTCTTTCTCAGGAGCGGCTTCCTCTCCATTGCACCTCAGGGCTGCTCTCTCATCTCCTTTCCACAGACAGGCCATTCCCAAATTCTTGATCTTCTTTGGGGTGGGGATGTGGTGGTCACTGTGGACGATGGGCTCCCTCACAGGTGTGACGGCCTGGGACTCGGGCTCGGACTCGGAGCCAGAGGAGTCTCAGTCCGCACCAGACCCTTTGCCTCAGGCAGCATCGGAACCAAGTCTGGGGGCCTGATTCTGAAGAGCCCCAGTCTGCACAGGTTCCCCTGCAACAGATACCAGCTAGGCCCAGTCAGGGGCCTGAGCCTGCCCTGGCTCCAGATGCGGGGATTACCTCGTTGCCTCCAGCTGGGCCATCACTTACAGCTGCTCCACTACCGGTTTGGTCAGGGGAGGCTGAGGCAGCCCCTGGGTCTAGTAACCCACTGACGTCTCCCTAGATGCAGAGACTAAGGTCTGAGAGGAGAGACCTGAGTACTCGCAGGAGGAATGCTCGCCTTCGGGCGACACAGGGAGGTGAGTCACCGGGGGATCAGGACCGGCCTTTACCCCGACAAAGATAAAAGGCTGTCGGACCCCGCCCCAGGTTGTGGGAGCAACATTGCTGTTTGCTAGAACCTGCCTGAGACTCTGTGCCTGACCTAGCCTGATTTCCTGCCTTGGCCCTATCAGACTGACTTCTTGCAGAACCCTTGGATTCGGGACCGGACCTGGACCGCGTTGCTCGGGTTACCCCCGGGCCCAGCACAACAGGAAAGTATGCTAAAGAGATGGAGTTCCGTGTGGTGTAGTGGTTCTGGTACTGTCCACAGACGTGTGAGACCACAGTTTGAGTCCACAAGTGCCCATGAAGCTTGTGGGGTGACCTTGGGCCAGTCACTGCCTCTTGGCCTAAACTACCTTACCGTTTACACACGGAGCACGTGAGAGAACTAGGTAGAGACAATGATAGCAGTGGAGGAGAATTTGCAAAAAACGAATCCGTATCTTTATCCTACCATAAAAAGGGCCTGCTGGATCAGGCCAACGGCCCATCTAGTCCACCATCCTCTTCTCACAGTGGCCAACCAGATGCCCCAGTAGGAAGCCTGCAAGTATTTCCCCCTCCCGTGGTCTCCAGGAAGTGGTATTCAAAAACACTGCCACCTCCAGCTGTGGAGGCAGAACATGGCCATCATGGCTAAAGGTAAAGGTAAAGGGACCCCTGACCATTAGACCATTAGGTCCAGTCGTGGCCGACTCTGGGGTTGCGGCGTTCATCTCGCTTTATTGGCCGAGGGAGCGGGCGTACAGCTTCTGGGTCATGCGGCCAGCATGACTAAGCCGCTTCTGGCGAACCAGAGCAGCGCATGGAAATGCCGTTTACCTTCCCGCCGGAGCGGTACCTATTTATCTACTTGCACTTTACATGCTTTTGAACTGCTAGGTTGGCAGGAGCTGGACCGAGCAACGGGAGCTCACCCCGTCGCGGGGATTCAAACCGCCGACCTTCTGATCGGCCAGTCCTAGGCTCTGTGGTTTAACCCACAGCGCCACCAGCGTCCCCTTAGCCATCATGGCTAGTAGCCATCAATAGCTTTATCCTCCATGAATGCATCAAATCCCCTGATTTCACTATGGGTGTAACTCTGTGTTGCATGCCCTATAGGATGAACTGCTTAATCACCCACCACTGAACTCATGTAAGGCTCCAGCAGAGCTTCATTTCCCTTTGAGATTATTGCGAGATCCTCAAGTCAACGGAAGGCTCTTTAACAAAGAGGCTCTTGCCTCCAGAAGGGGGAAAGTTCTCACTGGACATTTTTTGAATTCTCTCCCTTGTCAACCCCTTATTTCGTTGCAAGTTTGGTATTCGTTTGGGTGTCAGATAAGCTGAAAAGAGTGTCTTCCATGACATTGACAAAAGCAAGACGACTGCCCAAAATCTTTCCGCAAATTTCCAATGTTGCCTGCCTCGCTCTGCTTTGGTGCTATTTTGAGACCTGCATTCTTATCCTTAATGAGAACTCCACTGGGAAACTCTGAACCCTCGAGAGTCAAAATTCCCAGGAGCAATTTCTGAATGTGTTTGTAGAAAAGCATGTGGGGCTTTCCCCCCCTCTGCTCAGCGGGGCTGGAGGCTCTGCTCCATGGAGTTTGCTTTTCTGTCGCTGGATGCTCACAGCTCAAAAAGGGCAGGTTTCTTTCCAGCTTTGAAATGAGCTCCCTCCGGTTATCAGTGCCAACAACATTTAAGGAGCAGAGGGTTGTCTGCTAGAAAAATGGAATCTTTGCTTTAAGTTAAATCAGTGGTTCCCAAAGCACCCCCTGGGAGATGGTGGGGCATGGAGGAGTTGGAAGTGGACCCTTCCAACTTATTTTCAATAGACCAGGCTACAGCCTGGAGTGAAACATCTTCCTTGCTTCATATGCAGAGGCGTCCCTTGGCTCTCTTGTGCCCATAGCAAGGCGCTATATTGCCATCCACCACCACCACCCCGTCCTTTCAGCGTTGGCCCAGGGAGCATGTGGATACCTTGCTGGTATTTAAAGTTTTGCAGCCTTTAACAGCGTTTCCACCACCATCGTTCAGCCCAGACACTGAGGTCCAGCGCCGAGGGCCTTCTGGCGGTTCCCTCACTGTGAGAAGTGAGGTTACATGGAACCAGGCAGAGGCCTTCTCGGTAGTGGCGCCCGCCCTGTGGAACGCCCTCCCACCAGATGTCAAAGAGAAAAACAACTACCAGACTTTTAGAAGACATCTGAAGGCAGCCCTGTTTAGGGAAGCTTTTAAAATTTAATGCTGTATTGTTTTTAACACTCGATTAGGAGGCGCCCAGAGAGGCTGGGGTAACTCAGCCAGAGGGGCGGGGTATAAATATATTATTATTATTATTATTATTATTATTATTATTATTATTATTTATTTATTTATTTTGTTTGTAGATACAGTGCTGAGTTGACACAAGATAGTCAATTATTGGCAATAGCTATTGAATTTCTTATATGAATGCGTTATTGTACATCTGTGATAGGTGAAGGTTTTTGTGCATGTGGTATATAAATATTTCAAGTATAAATTTATTTCACCCTTTCTTTAGTAAGAGTGCACAAAAATATTTTTAATGCAACATCCTTTGCTGAATTTTATTGTGTTATTTTCTTCCTTAGTGGGCTGTGGAAATTGCTATTCTGAATAATGTGTTTTATAGGGTAGGAGACACTGGGGATGAGTTTATGCAACCAAGGAGGGAGTGCCCCCCCAGAAGTTTGGGAACTATTGGGTTAAACATTGTTACAAGCAAAGGTGGAATCAGACTATATTAATTTCACAAAGCATGGGCATTATTTTTATTTGTTTATAAGTGAGCAGCCACAGCACAGTTTTCACATGGTGCATCCCTGGAACTCACCTGTTTGCACCAAATCCCAAGAAGGCTCACAGAGTTGTTAATTGAATTTATATCCTACTTTTCCTCCAAGGAGCTTCAGGTGGCCTACTCCCTGTTAGAATTCCGGCTCCATGATTGCAGTCATGGGATTGTTGTCTTTCACATGACGGTGTATGTTTTGACTCCACAGA